CACAACCACTGGGCTAAATTGTGTCAACCAGTGAATGAGTTGGTTTGAAATGTTTTTTTTTTTGTGTGTGTGTGTTAACTTTCAGTGGTTTTTCTTCAGAGGTATTTGATTACATTTCATAAAAACTATTTGAACGTGTCACATTTTGTAACAGATTTTAAATTGATGTTGAATAAAATGAAACTTTCTTCACCCGTATTGCTATTTTGTAAGGATACAACCTGCTATAAACTGCTTTGAGGGCACCAGGTGAAATACAGGTAATTATTTCATAGAGAAGTAGTGTCAACTCTCTACATGAACTGTTTCCAGGTCCGAGCAGTTAGTATGCATTGTTCTGTCAATATGCTGAAGTGCCCATGTGTTCCCAGTTCTTCTCTTGCTGCTGATGTGAAAACTGTATGCCGGTACTGTGAACAACCAAAGGGGCAGTGATATCTTAGCCAGCTGCTGTGGCTCAAGTGTTCAAAAAGCTGCTAAATTTCAAGACTAATGAAAACAGGAAAAAAGGAAGACAAAATAAAGGTCATTTTGTTTAACTTCATTGCAAATGATCAGTATTCACCCAAGGAAAGTAGAGTATTAGCATCCAAGCTAGTCTGTATCTTGTACTAGTTAAATTCTGAACAGTGTTTGGAGTTAAGACTGCATGGATGAGCAGATGACCATGTTGCTCTGTTGGATCTATGTACTCATCATTTGTTGTCACAGTGAGGTGGGTTTATATTTACAAGTAAACCAACAAAAAGAGCAGGGGAGAAAAGTTTGGATCCAGATATCGATTACACACCAAGAGCGACATCTTATTCAGAACAGTTTATTACAGACAACAAAAGGATGTAAAGTATCATCCTGATCTTTACTCCAAAACACAATGAGTCCTTGGCTGAGCTTTAAAAAACCCTGCATTCAACTTGGAGATTTGATAATATGATGCAAATGTTAGGAGAAGGTATTACCCAGAATACTTTGTATCTGTGTATGAATGTGTGTGTGTGTGCACATCCCCTTTATCATGTCCCCACTGCTGTGTTTCAGCAGGAGGAGAGACATGATAGGAAGGATGAACTTGACTCTTTCACAACACCACAGCTGGCTGCACACGTGTATGTGTGTGTGTTTGTGCTTGTGTGTGTATTAACTTATACATGTGTACAACGCAGCATGCAGGTGCAGCAGATGTCCAGCACACACACACACACACCACACACACATCTGTGTACTCTAACGCCGTTAACATCTCCACAGCAGCAACCTGGCAGGTTGAGTTAGTGGCATTAAAGTACCCCTCCCTACATGACCCGTCAGGTCACCATGGCGATGATAAAGTGCTGAGTTGTGCACATGTGTCCTTGTGCCAGCAGTTTCCAACAACACCCCGAACACGCCCTGGTAATGCCCCTTATCTGGAACACACACACACACGCACACACACTCACAAACACAAACACACAGCTGGGGAGAGGATGGAGGCAGAGAGAGGATTCATTTCTCTCTGCTTCATTGTTGCTCTAACCTTAAATCCAATTAATTCGACTTTTATTATCCCAGACACCTTTTCTTCAAATGAATCCTTCTGAGTGAAAGATTTATGTCTTTCTGCCTTTAACTCTCTTTTTATCTCCTTACTCTGTCTCTGTGTTGAGAGTTCATGGCTGCTCTCCTTCAATACAAGAATCACACAAAGGACAAGTACTGTTTAATCCCATCGTCTCCCAGCCCTAAAGACAGACCAGCTGGAGGCCTTTGTGTTTGTGTATGAGTGTGTGCCTGCTTGTGTGCGTGTATGTGTGTGTGTGTGTGTCGTTGCACGCTACATGACAGGTTACTTAAACCGATGCTCTCTGTTCAACCACAGTGTGTGCATCTGCAAGTGTGTGAATTGCTGAGTGACACTCTTATCAGTTTTTTTTTTTTTCATGGGTTCATGTATTTTTTTGTGAGAGGGGGTGTGTATAGGGGCTGCAGCAGCAGCAGCAGCAGAGGGGGGTTATGGGTAAGTATTATTAGGGCCCCTCCTCTACCCTCTAACAGAGACACACGAATATTCAAGTTCGAGTTGCGTCGCCTTTTGTTTTCGGGGAGGAGGAGGAGGAGGAGGGTGCTGTGGGTAGCTGGATGGCTGGATGATTTGCTGGGACACTGTGCCCCTTGATTTTCCCAAAAAAATATCCCCCCTTTTGCCTCCCCCTCCTTACACCTCCCCCCCCTAACCTCCTTCCCTCCCTCCAGCCAGTGTAGTGCCACTGTATTGTCTGCTCGCAGGCGGGCCGCTTGTTGCTTGCCTTCTGTCCTGCTGTGCTGAGTGCCTGACAAAGGGGCTCTTTTAAATATGCAGACAATCCTCGATCACTCACACACACTCACTCACACACACGTTTGTCCCTGCTTCCCTCTTTCTCTCGCCATCAATTCTTCTGTGTCTAGACCTGGACTGGGAGTGTTTCCTCTTTTTTTTTTTTTTTTTTTATAGAGAGAATCAACAAGTCTCACACATGAAAAGGATACAGAGGGCTTTTCTCCCAGTCGGTGCCTATAAGCTTTAAATGAATGCTGCCTGAGTTGCTCTGTGGAGTGGTCGACTTGTCAAGGCTAAAAGCTGAAATCCTGTTTGTTGTGCTCTTTGTGGCAGAGCTTTGTTCTTACTGTATATTTAACCAGCCTCATTTTCATGCACAGGAATATCCGTGACAATAAAAAAAAAAACAGGCTGCATCATAAAACAGCAGTCTTTGACTATTTTTCCTCACATCATATATGAATAAATTACAAGAGGATGCATATATAAACGTGTCTGTATTCTTGAAAGACCGAGGGTGTAGATGCTAACAGCTGTCTCGAGCTGATTTTGGAAGTTGCTTCAAAGTTGTTGAGGCTCTTCTCGCAGCCAAAACTGCAGATGTCAGTTAAGAGGGACGAGCTGGAAACTGGTTTGAAAAGATGGCACAACAGCCGAACATCAGGACGCCTCGAGTCCACATGACACTCTTCTCCTTATCCCCCCCTCCGCCTCCCCCTTTTTCTTCCCGCTTCCTCTCCTGGTACAGGGGCCCTCCCTGGCAGCTTGGCAGAGGCCGCTCCCCTCACGCAAAGCGGCAGAGTGCAGGGGCCCGGGCCCCAGACAGGAGCCCAAGCTGGTCTCAGCCTCCCAACATGTTGAGCTGGCCTGCCTTGGGCACAGCCAAATGGTTCTGCAGCTGCCCCTTTGTCCCCCTTCCTTAAGTAAACAAAGGACAGAAACAAATTAATGACCTACATTCACAGCAAACCTCGCACTGCCTCCTCGTGCACAGAGAGCGAGCGGTTGTCTATAAGCAGATGTTCACTTACAACACTGCAGATTGCAATTAATGATCACCAAGCAGCGCAAAACCAAAGGATAGGAGTCGTGTATATTCTACAGCAGTTATCAAAACGTCTGCTGTCTGTCCGAAATGTAATTGTAAAGGGCTCTGAGCTGAAACAAAAGTAAAGAGACATTTAAAAGTAGTAAATTTAATGATAAATCAGACGGTTTAACCCAAATATTAGTATTCATTTCATTTAATTTTGATCGCTTTCCTTAAATGATGTTGAAAGTTAAACCAGGTTTAGGTTTTACATCGGTAAAAAGATTAAACATTGCTCAAGCAAGACTGAAATCTGTGCAGCACTTCTAAGTTTCTTAAAGTATTATTAGGCCTCCTTCAGACAGAGGACAATGTTATAAAGATTAGGAGTGAGCTTATCGTGTGAGTGTGCGTTGGGGGCTTACTGAAGAGACCATCTGTGGCCTAATGAACGCTGCTCCTTGGCCTCTGAGTGCTGGGGCTTAGAATACATCTGTAAGAGCAGGTTTACTGAGCAGCAATACATTAGCTAAAGCTGATTTCTTTGCTGGAAAACTGTACTTGAGGAGCTTTGCAGTGAGCCTAAGTGTTTACGTGTGTGTGTGCGTATGTGTGTGTGTGAGCGTATGTGTATTGCATGGGTTTGGATCTCGGCAAGCTGCTGCATATTTTCTTCTCAAACACAGCCTACACCTTGACCGGTGCAGCAGATATATCAGGAGTTGAAAAGGCGCACAAAAAGCACGAAGAGAGTAAACACACATAGACCATCATGCTGTGTCCATGCACGACTGGTAGAGATGCACACACACACACACACAAAACACACACATGCACGTAAACAACTTCCACCCACACTGCTAGTCACAGAAGAGCAGGATGCAGAAACCTCCTGCAACTGTAACTCTGCGTAAGCATGTGAGCCGCTCATGTACCAAAGTTTCTGTATTGACCCCGTGCAAGACTCACGTATTATATTTGACTATTCTGTGAGGTCTCAAACCGCACGGTGAAAATGTCATCAATGATATATCCTCGGTAAAAGGTTCAGGAAAAAGAAGAGGAAACTTTACACATCTGATGAATTTCAAGATTCATATAATTTATTGCAGTTTGCACACAATTTAAAAATGTCAACAACAGCACACCAAAAAATTACAAAACTAAACACAATTAGAATTTAGAACTTACTCCCCTTGAGTAAAAAAAAAATAATAACCCAACTATGATTGTCAAAGCTAAAAATGACTAAATCTGAAAAAGGAACGTAAAATAAAAGCAAAAGAAATGTTTAATCTCAACAGGGAGCAAATCGATTTAAATCAAAATCTGCTTGTTTTTTTTTCCCCAGACAGTGATTGTCCTTTTTCAAAACACTCAGTCATTTCAAGCCCCCCACCCTGAACCTTGATCCCTCTACCCCATCAGCCTTTCTATAAACTGTCTATGTTATTTGAACATTTTATTTGATACCTTGCTTTTAAAAAAAAACAAAAACTTCCACCTTTGTTTTCAAGTAAGCACAGCAAAAAAGTGGAGATGTTTTCTCAGGGTGGCTACTTAACAGCGTCTTACTCCCTCGACTCCACCCTATACTCAAACTTAAAAAACAGAGTTAAATAAAATAAAATAAAATAAAAAAACAGCCCAGACTACAGCAGTTTAAGGCGGTCAAGTACAACCAGAGGGAAAAAAATCAGCAGTAATGATCAAAACAACAGGATGGAGTGAGCCTATATGTAGAGACGCTACCAGTGAAGAAAGAACATTTCCGAGGAAAAAATGAGAAGATGCAGTGCAAACTGCTGCAATGTCACCCACACTGTTGCATTGGCAAAGCCTGTAGGTGCCACCAGATGACAGGACGGCACATACGACCACCCCACCCACCACATGCACATCAATGGGGGTGTGCACACATACATATACACGCACATCTAAGGGGGATTGTGGAGCGTTCACTTGAATCTCTGTGTCAAATGTTTCTGGATTGTATAAACGCTTGACCATTATTTGATATTCCGACAAGGAATTTGAGACACAGAGACCGAAGGAAAGTAAACTGGTCAATAAACCCTAACCCCAAACATACACGTGTAAAAAAAAAAAGAAAAGAAATTTCTTCCAATCACATGATGAAAATATAATAAGACATCACTTTCAGATAAATTCAATAAATTTCATGAATTTATACATGGTTTTAAACAGCTATTTCCAATGCTCTACAGTATCAAATACTTCCTTAGCGTCAGACATTTTTTATTAATAAAGGCATCTTTTCAGCAAAAAATTGATTTTATGTCTTTTAGCTTAAAAAGGTGCATTCAGGCATGCCAATTCTCTCCCATCGAACTCATCCGAGGATTATGTTTGAAAAACAAAAACGTGTGTTATAGTCGAGTCACACTGCTCCGTCTAATGTTGAAGTACTGCACTGACTGAGTTGGAAGGTTCGGTCTACACCAGAGTGGCCCATTCAGCCTGGCACAACATAGTTTGACCTAACATGTGCGACAAAGATATCTGTCCCTTTAACTTAAAGCAGGATAGCTCAGTTCCAGCCTTGCTTTTTTTTTTCTTTTCTTTTCTCCGTTTCTCTCCACACTTGAGCCGAGTTAGAGCCTCGTAACTGCACTCAACAGACTTGAAACAAGGAGTGCCAAAACAAGCAAAAATAACATGTTTAAAAATGGCTCAACCGGGTCTGGAGCTGCAGAGGACGGAGACATGGGAGATGGAGAACGAACATACAGCAGTGGAGAAAATTAATGCCTGAGGAGGAGCAGAAGGAGGAAGTGCTGGGTGGACATTGATCTTCAGTAGGTTAAAATGACTGGTAATAACCAAGCCACACGCTCATAAACACGCACGCTATACAAACAAACACACACGCACGCACGCACACACAGCAGAGAGATCAGTGCATATAGACACAGGTTTAAAAATGCTTCATCTTATCACTTCAACATCCAACAGAAACACATTCGGTAACATTCTTCTAGGAGCCAAGCGACAGACCTACAACCAATAGAAAAAAAAATATCTTTTCACTGTCCGAAGTGTTCAAAAATTTCCCCCTGATGCAAAAAACCACAACTAAAAGGTTTAAGACAAAATCAAATTTTCATGCATTTTTTCCATAGTTGTGAGAATAATATTCAGTTTTTCAACAGACTGCACCCTGGAGTAGTATTCACATAAAAAAAAAGGAAGAAAAAAAAAACAAAACATAAGCCCATTGTCAAATATTTGATCAATTACAATGTGTACAGTAATACAGCAAATTCACATTTCTATTTTAAAATATACAGGTTTGGACTTCATGCAACAACAGCAGGTCCCATTACAAAAAAAGTAACAAAATAATAATAATAATAATCATTAATTTAAAAAAAGTAACGGATTTAAGTTCTAAACCTATAGCAGAACAATATACAACAACTTTAAATTAAATACCTTTTCAACAGATGAACAGATTTCAGAGATGTTTTTAAAGACTGCCAGCTACATTGAAGAAAAAAATCTATTAATAACAATAATAATTATTATTATAATAATTTGTAAAGGTCTTTTCATTTTTAGAAAATACTTCAGATTGATTGGAAGTGAAAAAAGGAGGCTGTGCATTGCATGAGTGCCATCAGTTTGTCTGTCAGTCAGTCAGCTTTACCCTGAACACACAACAGCAAAGAGCTTAATGAGAAGCGGGGAGCACTTCGCCAACGACACCTCCATGCCAGTAAGAAATAAAATTAATTCACAAAAAAAAAAAAAAAAAAAAACACTCACACACACACTCACGCACATCAGGTGAAATTTTTGCCAGAGTAGTGCAGCATTGCCACTCACACACACACACACATCTTCAAACTGTGTGTGTGTGGCGGTATCTACTTGCGGTGATCACAGTACCCGTTTAGTGTATTGTAATGCTTTTTTTTTTCACTTCAGTGTGTTCGACCTGAACTCCTGCAGTGGTGTTTGCTTTCTGCAGAACTGGGACTGTAACGCTGGCCAGCATTGGAGTGTTGTGTCTGAGATGAAACACAAACAGAGTGAAAACTCTTCAAAAAGGCGAGACATTCTCCCATGTCCTCAGACGCAATCAAACCAGCGAACAGAATTTACGCCAAATAAAAATAAGAGTTCAGAATAAAATAGAAATAAAATTACTCCAAACAGCAACAACAAAAAAACTCAGTAGTAACATTTTCATGTGCTATTAAAGTGCAATTGAATGAGATTTTGCGACACACAAGAACATGACTCACTTGAACCCAGAATACCAAACTTTGCCACCTCCCTTTCACCTCCCCATGCCTCTCTGCCTTTCTTTCTTTCTTTCTTTCTTTCCGCTTTCTTTCCCTTTATCAAATCCCGCAGTCTGATTCTACTTCCACAGTTCCTGGGAGCTGTCCTCGATTGCCCAATCCCTGACATTGGGCAGTGCCAGCGGTTCACTCTTCACTGACAGTGAATTGACCAGTTCGCAATGGAATTTGCGAATGTGCCGATAGAGGTCCCCGGACTGTGTGAAGCGCCGTTCGCACCATTTGCAAGCGTGTGGCTTCTCACGCGTGTGAACCACTGCGTGGCGACTGAGGTTGTGTGAGTACTGGAAGCTCTTGCCACAGGTGGTGCAGGTGTAGGGTTTCTCACCAGAGTGTGTCCGCTCATGGCGCTTCAGCGTGTACATGCAGGAGAAGGTCTTGCTGCAGATGGTGCAGGTGGGCACGTTGACATCTCCGGCAGGCTTGGAGCGGATGCCCTCCTGCTCCCTGAAGTGGGAGCTGAGGTGGAGCTGAAGGATGTGTGGAGAGGGGAAAACCTTGTTACACAGCGGGCACATGAAGATCTGGGTGTGCTGAGCTGACAGCATGTTGGAGACGTAGGGCAGCAGGGAACTATCCATACTGGCCGCCTCGGCCTGCGCTCGCTCATTTTCACCCCCCAATATGTCCTCGTCGTCAGCTGTGGCCGAAGGCTTCTCGTCCCGCTCCAGCTCGGAGGCCAGAGACGCCTCTCGCAGAGCGGACAGGTGCGCTTCTAGGCCGAGCCGCCTCTGGGCTGACAGAGGCCCTCCGACCCCGTGGTGGGTCAGGCCCCCATTGGTGCTGGGGATTGTTGCCTTGGTGATGCCACTGTGCTCCATATCATAGTCCCCACCTCCCAGTTCCTCTTCCTCATCTGAAGCCACACCCCTCTCCACCTTTACCCTTACAGCCAATGGGCTTTGTAGGCTGTCTGGTGTAGCTGCCCCACTGAAATAGGACTGATGGTGGTTACTGTGGTTGCTACCTGCAGTTGGCTTGACCGACAGATCCAGAACGCAGTCAGCTGCATCATTTGACACCCTCCTGCCCCTGTGTCCTCCACGTGAGCTCACAGAACGATGAGACCTCTGTGAGAGGGAGCCGGTGGAGCTGGTTGGGCTGCCGGCCGGGGAGAGCAGCTTCCCACCCTCGCTCAGCCTTTCCCCACCCTGCATCTCTGCCTCTCCGTGCCCCGGGCTGGTGGTGGCCAGGGCTGGTGTCCCCGGTCTGTCCGCAGATGGCAGCCTCAGCCACAGCGGGCCTTCCCCAGTCTTTCCCTCCTCATCTTCATCACTGTGCAGCAGGTCAGCTGTGGCCGGCCGGCCCGGAGAGCCGTCTGATAGACTGTCGGCCTTATCGGAGCAGCTGGACCCTCCATCATCCTCTCTGCGCGTGCTGTCCGCCTCCGCCGTGGCCTTTTGCTTCAAACGTTTCTTGCACACCTTGACAATGTCATACATGTGCAGGTAGCTGGCTGCTGCCAGCACATCCTCAACGGGAAGGTCCTGGAACTGCAGCTTGCCCTCATACATGAACTCCAGGAGCAGGGAAAAGGCTGGGGCTGTGACAATGTCACTGTTGAGGTGCACCACGTCTCTCTTGTCCAGCTGGTCCTTGTAGAAGAGGTGAAAGTACATGCTGCAGGAGGCCAAAACAGCACGGTGGGCCCGGAACTGGGCATCGCCCACCAGCACTGTGGAGTCACACAGGAAGCCCTGGTGCCGCTGCTCACTCAGACACTGGAGTAAATGTCTGCTGTGGTCTGGGAACTCCATCCTGCCGTCCTCATAACCTGCAACCAAACAGAAATATAGAAGTCAAGTTAAAAACATCGGATAAAAATCTTGATCTCCGTGAATTTACTCCTCATGTGGGCTTTACAACATATTCTGCTGGGTTTCAATTAAGTACCACATTTTGATTAAATGTTCTTTTATGTAAAGGCAAATAAACATGAAAAAATTACACCAAGACATCTAGATGAAGAAAAGAATTCAAAAGATTAAGTTCACGGACAACAGATACAGACGAATTCTTAAAGGAGACAAAGCAAAAGAAAAAATTACATTCACTGAGAATTTAAACGTAACTGTTTAGTTCAAGTCTAAAGTGAAATACGTTTGAGAGGTAGAATTTCAAGAGTTGGGATCATGACAGTGTTTTTGTCAGCTCTCCTGCTTTTGTTAACGCCGCAATTTCTGCGACAATATTATCCTGAACAAGGCCAATTAAAGTAAAACGAGAGAAACGCAAGACAGAGGGATAAATGGCACAAACACATATGGTTTCAGATGCTGAGAAAAAAAAAAAAACAGAGAAAACAGGATCGTTCAGCGAAAAGAAAGAACTACGAAAAGGTAGGTTAGAAAAAAAAAAGACCGACAAGTGATTTAAATTAATTACAGGTAAACTGAAAATTAGAAAATCTGCTGTGAAGAAACAGTTTTAATTAAGAGATCTTTTTGTTTTGTGTACGCTAAGTAATTATTTCAACATCAGCAGGAAAATTGAGACACAGATTCAAAAACAGCATGCAGGTGAGCGTTAAGACTTACACACACAGTCTTTAATGTACAGTAATGATACCAACTGCTCCTTTCTCAGTTCTATATTTAATTACTTTATTTAAAATTAGAAAAAAAGAAAACAGAAGAAGAATTACTGATGATTACACGGAGGAAAAATATTAATTTAAGATTTGAGTAATTAAAGACGACTCGCAGATCCACAGAGACACTTAATCTCAGGTAAACCACGAGCGACAGATTCTTCCACTCTGTCTCTCCACTCTCTGTTTCTCTCTAACTCCTCTGCCTGCACTACTGGATTGTCGCTGCTCCTACGCTGGTTATTTTTATTAACCCACTTTGGCCTGGCCTGGCACAGCCCTTTTAGGTAACCGGCTTTCAGCTGCACACACTGTCCTCACGTACATATTACACACACACGCACTTAGTACCAGCCTACCTACCAACCACCTCCACAGGCTAAGTCGAGCAGGAAAACCGGCCAATTGAAATAGCACTGTTGAAAACGAAAACAGCTTGTCCCTCCTTTAACCTGCAAGCTGCAGCTTTAGGTGTAAGATTAGACAAAAGAAAAAAAAAAGAAAAACTGCATCAGTGTTCTTTAGGTGTGCTCAAAAAAAGATCATGTGTTAAGTAAATTAAATTAAAAAAAACGGCAAAAATCAGAGCACAACGCGAAAAATGATTAAATCCCACCTGTTAACCAAGTTGATTTGTCCTGCCTGAGAAAATACATGGGTCCCGCTCACTGTTAACCAAAGCAGTTAAATCACCTCATTTGAATGAAGCTAAACCAAGAATGTCTGTGTGTGTGTCTGCGCGATGTGTAAATGTGTGTGCGCCCTCCGGCTCGTTCAGACTGCTTTTAATGAGGGGGCTTATGGGGACAAGGGTGTACCACCTCCCACCCCCCCACCTCCCCCTGTCCGGCCAAACCCCTCTGCCACCTCCTCCTCTTTCTCTCTTACACACACACACACCATCCGTCACTCACAAACTCCTTCCTATCTAAGTCTTACAAGAAAAAAACCCTGCACATCCGCCCCGTAAAAGAAACTGCCCTCTTCCTTAACTCCCCCAACCCTCCGCCCACCACCACCCAGAAGAGAAGATTTACAGTACAATCACTGTAAGTGCCCTGCTCGTCACAGCATCAATCCTAATCCTTAAAGATGGCTAAAAATAAAGACGGCGGTGGCGGCGCAAGGGAGGGAGCCGTCGGCGGAGGCTCAGGAGGGCATCAGCCCCGTCAGCCACCCCGGCCTGGCCGGCCCAGGGAGGCAGGCAGGGGTCTGAGAGAGAGAGAGAGAGAGAGAGAGAGAGAGACACTCGCACAGAGGGACAGGGAGGGTTAGGGAGAGAGAGGGAGAGAAAGAGAGGCTGGGACGACTGGGGAGGGAGGCTTACCCACATCTGATCCAGCTGACGGGGGCCATATGGCAGCTGCTAGCCAGATAAAGAGATTAAGACTAGGAGGGAGTGCGATTACAGCTGTCTAGCCAATTCAGGCAGCTCAAATCTGCAACTTCTAAATTAGTCTCCTCCACTCCAGCCGACAGGAGGGGAAAAAAAGAGGCTCGAGTGGACCGCACATGCTTTCAAGTAATTTTACAGCGGGTTAGAATTAACTAAAGGGGAAAAAAAGAGAGATGAGATTAGGATTAAAAAACAGCTCTCTTTTAGCGCTACTATTCAAAATCATACATCAACTTTGAGATAGATTATATACTCTACATTCTTTTTTTTAACTAATTAAAAAAAAGACTTTTTTAAATTTAAAATGCAAATAAAACAGCGTTAGTTTATATTATGATTTTTCCTTAATTTTAATGAATACACCAGAAAAAGAAAAACTTTAAAAAATCAAATGCGGTACTCTCACCTGTAACTTCTCTGCTAATCATTGTGTCTAAAAAAAACTTTAACCGTAAACATGATAAAACAAAAGCTCCGTTTTGATTCGCTGGTCTCCACATGACAAACTAAAAACACAGCGGAGTGTTCCCCCGACGGCAATTACCCCTTAGACAGACAGCAACAACCAACACGAGTTTACTACTGAAGCACTCACCAGTACTTTCACACAGCGCTTGCACCGGTTTGACACACTGAAGATCTCCTCAACAAAAACAAAATAACTACTCCGTTATCCCAGACTCCGCTGGTCTATTCGCACATAGACACACAAAACAAACGCACACACACAGAACGATACCTGCAGCAGTATGCATCAACTTGATTAACTCCACTGTAGCAGAATAGCTGGGCTCTCTGGCTGGGAATGGCTGTATCTCTCCCTCTCTCTCTCCCTTTCTTTCTTTCTTGCTCTTTCTCTTCCTCGCTCGCTCTCTCTGAATCAATGAGTGGGTAGAAGAGAAGTGAAGAAGAAGAAGAAGAGGGAGGCAGGCAAAAAAAAAAAAAACCTAAAAAAAACCACGCTGTTCAAACTGCGAGGGACAGATGCAAAGTGGAGGAGATGTTGGAGGGGGAACGAGATACCACCTCCCTCCTCCTCCTCCTCCGAACTGGCGCTGATCGGCAGCCACAAACACACACACATACACAGCGTGCACACAGACACACACACACAAACAGCACTAACTCTCCCAGGCTGCCGCTGAGACTCACAATAAAGGACTGGGGAGGGGTGGAGGCGGTGGAGGGATGGAGGAGGAGGAGGAGGTGGGGTGGATGGCAGCCTGTCAGCTGCTCTGACATCATCCTCAGATGGAGATGCTACCTCCAGCTGTGCTCTTTCTACAGCCATATGCTGCCTCCTCTACACTCCTGCCACCAGACTCCTCTTTCATTCTACCAACACCAATACCACACAACTTTGTCTCCCTTTTCTCCCCACTTCTCTCTCTGGGAAATAAACTCCGGGTCTATTAAATGCAGTGGAATGCTGATTTGGCTCGTGGAAAACAGAGTTTGCTCACAAAATCACCACAACCACCTACTGCTACCACAACTACCAAGAAAAAGAGAAAGTTTGCCAAATTCACAGAGGTTCAGTGTCAAACTTTTTAGAGCATTTTTAAACACTCGTTTATCTTCATTTCTCCGTCTCGGTCTGCTTCCAGTAACCATAAACAAAGGCCAACGCAGCACATTTGCAACTGACAGACGCACGCAGCTGATATTGTTTTCCACTTCTTCACGGTTCAGCGCTGCTGCCTCCTCCTGCATTCATTCAGTCAGTCATTCATTCATCCATCCTTACATGCATCTTGCACACACATACACCCCCCCTTTACCCGGACCCCTAAGAACAACTGACAGGAGCAAAAATTGAAACGAGGAAACAATGGGGACAAGTCAAAAAGAAAGAGCCTAATGAGTGTGAATCATTGACAAAAGGTGTACAAGCCTTTTAATTGGCCGGGGAAAAACTTGATAACAAAGCATTACTTCACTTTCGTTTTGGTGAAAGTGGAAGTGTGACATTCCATATGTTTAATACAGAAACTGGAGTATGGAAAAAACTACTTTCATGTGTAATAAATCATTCAATACGTGTGGAAAATTATAAATCACATTCAGTCAAATAAATGAAACGTTCACGCCTATCCCTGATACAAACTTTACACAGATAAAATAAACCTCTTAGCATTGAATTCGCTCAGATGTTCATTATAATTAAAGGACTAAAGATTAATAGTGATTTCCACCGTTTCCGGCGCGTTAGTGTTAATTTACGCGTCAACTGCGTAAGTTTACTTTTTTGAATAGAGCGACAACTAAAGTAAAACATGAGCGGAAAAGTGGGAAAAATGTATCCCCCTTATTGTGTTTTAACTTTACCAAAAACTGAGCCAGAATAAACTTTATCTAACAATACCACCGGACTTTCGTTCGCGCATTTAATACCACAGATAAAAAGTCGCGTCACGCTGCAATTCATCTAATTTCTGCTTTTACTTTGACTCATTTTTGCACCGTGACAGCGCTCAATCCAACATCTGCAACTACAAAAGTTCACATTTCCTTTAATAAGTTTGTTATAAATCGCAACAATACTTCTTAAACTTATTTTAAAGCAGCTCGGATGTAAAAGTGACTTTTCGTTGCGACTTCCCCGGAGAGGAAATGCGCATAAAAAGTCCGAGTAAAGCTACACCTGACAGCTTGGGTGAGTTAAATGACCAAAACTCAGCGTTTTTTGTGTTTAGTTCGTTTGCGGAAGACATAACAAACACACACACACAGAGAAAGAGAGGCACGGAGACACACTGACCCACGCAGCTAGCTAAAACCGAGCAGAGCTAACAAAAGTAAGGCGAAGGGGCTACATTATTGAGCTATTTACAGTTGTTCGGGAGGCCCCGGTGCTATGACAACAGCTGCTAAAACACCGCGAGGGGAGAGCTAACATGGCAACTATAAGTGCGAGGAGACAACACAGTCATGCTAAGGAAGGTTTAGCTACTTTTTCCCCTCCATAACCCACCCTCTCTCTCTCTGTACTGAGCCTCCTTTAATCGGACTCCGGTATTAGAGGCAACACTTACAGACAACACGGTCCAACGTCTTCCCCTCTTCTGCCCCCGTCAAACCTTCCCCTCTTCTTCCTCCGTCCGAGACAAAACTAGATTGACTTTGGACTAATTTCCATAACAGGCTGCCGTTGCGAGCAGGCAGGCGGAGGGACGTGTGCGGGGAGTGGAGCACTCTGCGGCGGCCAGATGTTTCCGAGCTGTTGCTGCTGCTCAACTCGGGGCTGGGAAAAGGAGGCGAGTTGACTGGCACGGCACGCAAGCCAATGGTGCCGGTGAGGAGGAAAGTGAAGGCAAATTGGAAGCGGCCCTCCAACTGAGGAGAGGGAGGGATATGTCTTCTTCTCTCGTCGGCGTAGGTTGACACCGAGCAACAACAGCAGCAGCAGCAGCAGCAGACACACTCGGAGTGAGCAGTCAGGAAAGGAGGAGAAGAAGAAGAATAAGAAGCTGGGCCAAACCAACTGGTTCTGCGAGTCAGTGAGGCGGACTGACTGGCGCAGCGGAGAGCGAGCGAGCGGAGAGCGACGCAGTGCAGCATGGGTACTGTAGTCAGGTCGATGAAAGGGCGGAGCTGATGTGAGCAGGTGCACCACCTTGTCAGAAAAAAAAGTACTCCTTTGGGGTTACTTTTTACTTAGCTTATACGGTGGCCGAGAACTGCCACTGCTGCAAAGAAAAAAGAATGCAAAAAAAGAAGGCACAATGGAAGTTACTGATGGAAAAAAAAGAAACCGAAGCCTGCTGCAAATAAAAGAAGAAACGGTGCAGATAAAAAAAAAAAAGAAGCCACAACAGAAGTTAATATCGAAAAAAGTGGAAGGGTTATTGTTTAATTTTGCTTCGTGTGCTTTTAATGTGTCATTTGGTTAGGCCACGTTGTGCCTGAGTTAATATGAAGTTGAACTGGAGGATGCTGGTGTAGTGTTAGCTTCAGTTCACCTTCGTATCAACTCAGGTGTTACAGGCCTAACCAAATGACACATTGAAAAGCACACAAAGTGAAATTAAATGATAACCTTTCCACTTCTTTGCTCATCTTCTCTTCGTCATCTTCTGTGCCCAGATCGTAAAACACCGGTGCATCATCATTCTTGGTCCCCGGCAGCTCACGTCCATTGTGGCTTTTTTTCTTTTGCATCCTTTTATTTTCGCAGTAAGTAACTTTTTTCCATCACCACTTTTTTTTTGTGTGTCGTTAACTTCCATTGTGGCTTTTTTTTCCCATCTGCACAGTTTCTCTTTTTATTTGCAGCAGGCTTCATTTTTTTTTTCTTTTTCTTTTGCATCAGTAACTTCCGTTGTGACTTCTTTTTTTGCATTCTTTTTTTATTTGCAGCAGTGGCGGTTCTCGGCCACCATAAACTTAACCCAATTGATAATAAAAAAAAAGGAACCACATGTTTGTTTTTATTTTTGCCTCCATTCTTGTTTTAATGTGTCTAATTTATGTGTTATACTGACTTTTATATTTATTGTTGAATTTTGGACAGGTGTTATAAACTGCCTTTGTGTGGCACCAATAATCATGATCCATACTGGTCCCAGAACAAAATGAAGAAAGATCAAGAAAGTAAATGAAACTTTTATCAGCAGGTGAACTATAATGCAGCAGTTTAATTAGGCCATACTGTTGGAAAACAACATTAATTAACATAGGACTACTATCACATGGACTACCAAGCTTAATCATAGCATTTTGTGCCTCCAATTTTCTTTTAAACCAGTTCAAATTTAGTGCTTTCCTACACTATGCCACTCTGTGGATTATCATTAAAAACTCATATCATGTACTTCAAATGACCTGCCACTTTTGGCAAATGTCATTTAAATTGAAGTTAATATTATCTGATGATAATTCAAGTGGTTTCATCTTAGAAAATGTTTTACATGGATGCAGGATCATTATCTTTGGATTGAAAGGTAATTTGAAATGGATCACAAAATTTTTAATCCATAAAATTAGAAGAATAGGGGTTATGTTACAGTCATTGAAATGATGTAGACCCAGATTAGTTTCTAATTAATATTCCAGATTATTATTTTAATTTATTTCCCCCACCATGATAACTTTATGACAGTGATTTTTGTGCAAAAGCCTGTTTAACTTAAACTCCAGCTATAATCATCATCATTTAACCACACTGGACTTTGTTGTTCCTTCACTGCCACAAGTTTAGGCATGATGACCATTCCAATTTTTTCAACTTACAAAAAAGAGAGTTAGTTTTAATCATTTATTTGCTTCATGATAACTTTTAAAACATTTCTACAAATATTTTTTTACAGTGTTGAGGGTAACTGAGCAGTAGCGGTTTGAGTTGTAAGCTTCCTACATAACAACCAGAGGTAGAGAATAGCAAATGTAGGACACAGAACAACATCAGCAGCAGCGTTTTCTCCTGTCCAGAAAAAGACAAACTGTTTCACATTTCTTAGGAAAGGAATATTCAGGAGCTAAAAACAGGATAAGCACAAGGGACTCGAATCAAAAGGGATGCCAGAAAGAAGAAAGAAATTGTGTTACAATTTACTTTTTACTACTTTAGTATACTGAGTTCAAAATGTGAATGGGGGTAATGTATTTTTAAAACCCTGTCAGCTGACAGTCACTGGAATAAAAACAACTCTCTGGTAGATCTGTCACGGGAGCCTAATATGAAAAAGTTTGTGCAGTTCTGGCTGCCTGAGTGAGTCTGCAGGCCTATTTGCATCCTGTAAACCTGTCCCAGTAAACTAATTGGCGTTACTAATAGATGGCTGGATGAACCCCAGCCCTGTATGGTAATGAATTCACACGATCTGGTGTCATAGCTGAAGAAATTGTTAAAATGCAAATGAATGATGACCCTGTTATGTGTCTTTCAATTTAGGCATCCACATTACCAGTGCATGACAATGAGCCCCTTGTTCATGCACAAAAATACAATCAGGCCTCCGGTGCAGGAACAGGTCAACATGAGGCCTGGACAGAGAACAGCTGATTTAAGGAGAGGCCTTTTAAAATGAGCTAATTTGAACAATATTTTTAGAAGTTCAACCTTATTTTGATTTTATAACTATAAACTTACATAATATAATTGTTCATTTCACTGTCAGACAGTCTCTTGTGTAGGAAAGTGTGTAAAAATGCACTCTGGATAGCCTTGCATGCATTGTAGTTCCTCATGTTTTGGTGTGTAAATGACTTTTCTACAAAATTTTCTAAACTTCTTCACCACTTACGTATTCCCTGTCTGATAAGTCTCTTTTGCCACTAACAGATGTAAAAATACAGCACTGTCCTTGCATGTAAACCAATTGAGCCTGATGTTTATGATAATCTGTAACATTTTTTCATCCTCCAAAAAGACAAAGATTGTGCTTTAAGAAAAAGAAAGAGTTTTCCTGGCAGGGCTTTCCACAACTGGACAGCAAATTTATCCCAAAATTATAGTTCTTTTTCAAACTTGAATATAGAGGAAAATTATCACATTGTCGCACGTCATCCGACAGACTTAGAGGAAATCAGTCCAAATGTCTTCAGAGTTATGTATTTATTTTCTCAATAAGAACAACAGTTGTAATACAGTTTAGTTTCATTTCCAACACTGTTTTTAGGGCACACCCTAAAGAAACTTGCCGAAGAGTCATATTCCTGAGCAAATAAAGCTTTCTGTGTGAGTGATTTTCCACTTTCTGCCTCCGGAGGTCGCTGTAGATCCCAACTTATACACCTTCATTCTTTTTTCAATTCTGTCCAAAAAAGCCATACTTTACAGATAAGATCACACAGTGAAAACATCAAAGAAGTGCTGATGGACAGGGCAGAGACTGAAGTACTTTGTCATTTCGTGCTTTAATGAAGTGCTGCGTATTTGGATGGAAAAAATAAATATTGTGTATATTGAAGTAAAGCAAGACAATCAAGCATGAATTAGTAGGCAGTCTTAACGGTTCATGCAAGTTCATGTCAAGAAAAAAAATCTGTTGAAATCTACCAGAAAGATCGATTCAAGGAAAAGCCTTAGGTAACAATTCAGACTGTTTAACTGAGTACTTCAGAGATTCTGTCTTTGTTTGACAGTGTTAACTATATTCAGCTTTTCATCAGGGTTTTATATTTAAAGGTGTTCAACACAGACAGCTGTTTGCAAGTAAAAAAGAATGATGAAGATGATCCTTATCTGTACCCCATGTGATGCAGCCTAAATGGCATCTCAGCATGCTTTCTCAGTGATTTACTTTTTGAAATCATGTTAAATTGAGCATCCAAAAAACAGCTTAATGTCATCTTCTCTCCTTCTCTCCTTAATTTTGTCTAAGAATCATTTGTTAATATCTCTTGAGCTTTTTCTTTACTTCCACTTTTCCATTTCTTTCTGTTGACAGAGAAATATCCTTACATCAGTTGCAAGTTTTCTGTGAATTTGACTAGCAATTTTACTGGTAAATCTGGGGATAAAGATGTTTAAGCTCATTTAAATTCACAGTAAATTCTGTTTTTAGCGTTTAAAGCACTAGGGGTCCAAAATAATAATTTAAACCCATAAGCAGTAGCTCAAAGGGGATACAGAAAAGGCTAGATTCGGGGTAAGTGCCTCACACACATGACATTTTATTAGGCAACTCTTGCTGATTTGAGGGAGGACCATAAAGTAAAACTGTTTGTAGTAAAGTTTTAATAAGAATTTAAAGTGAACATGTTAATTTATGACACAGAGAGTCTTCTTAAAAGTTTCAGTTTCTCTATCATTGGCAACATGTTTTGCAATAAGTGGGAAATGTAAATGTGTTTTGGACCTTGGCCTTTTTACCTTGGAACACTGGCAGGAAATGAAAAAAAAAACATATTGTAAACAAATGATAGGCAGAGCAAAATTTATTCAAGCAAAGTGTGGTAATATTTTAACTAAGTGTCTGATTTTGGTTTTAATAATAATAAAATGTCATTAGAATAAATATAAAATTGACTCAAAACAAGCTCCAAACTTCCAGTGAATAAACCTTAATAATTAAGAAACCTAAGACCACTTTCATCCATCTATTTATCAATGAAAACATCATTCCATTCAACCATGCATCCATCCATCCATTAAAACATCAATTCATTCTTCCTTCCATCCATCCATTCATCCATCGATCCATCCATCCATGAAAATACTAATCCATTCATCAATCTATCTATCCATCCATCCATCGATGAAAACATCCATCCATCCATCCATGAAAATACTTATCCATCCATCCATCCATGAAAATACTTATCCATTCATCAATCTATCTATCCATCCATCCATGAAAACATCCATCTATCCATCCATGAAAATACTAATCCATTCATCAATCCATCCATCCATGAAAACATCCATCCATCCATCCATCCATCCACGAAAATACTAATCCATTTATCAATCTATCCATCCATCTATAAAAGCATCCATCCATCCATCCATCCATCGAAGAAAACATCAATCTGTTCATCCAGCCATTCATCTATGAAAACATAAATCTATTCACTTTTTTATACACTCTTACATGAAAACATTAATTTTTTTATCCATTTATCTTTTATCTTTAATTTATCTTTTTACCTACCCATCAGTGAAAGTTTCAATTCATCCATTCAACCGTAAATTTATTCATTCTTTTATTATCCTTTTTTCCAAAAATCACCCATCCACATCTCCATCCATTTTTCATCCCTCCATACAATCATCCATATCAGTCCATCAACTGGCCTTTGATCCATCCATCCATCAATCCATCCAGACAATATTGTAAAAAAAATCTTCCTATCTACCTACCAAGCTTTCCCTCTTTTCATCCATGTGTTTTCCCTTCCATCCATTCATCTATCCATCCGTCCATCTTTCAGTCCAAGAACCTCAACATCATGCAGCTGCAAGCATTTTCCACAGTGTGTCCAACAGTTCCCCTCATCATTTCTGTAATAGAGGCGATGCAGGAGGGGAGACACTCTGGGAGACTCTGGCCGGCTGACAGAGTGAGAGGAAAGAAAGGAGGGGGGAGGCAGACAGATGTTTGAATCTCAGCCTGGGACCTGATGAGATCCAACCATCCTCCAAGGCTTAGACAATAACCGAGAGAAGGAAGCAATGTCTATTAGGACAATTGGCTGCCCTCTTTCCTTTCTGTATCCAAGACAGCTTGATCATCCTTTTTTTTCTCCTCCCAGAGGTGAGCAGTATCTCCAAACCCATGATAGGTTTTAACATCCTGAACAAAGCCTTCAATAAGGGGGATAGAGGTCAATCTGTTTGAGGTGAAATAATGGCCAACATATAATATTTTGACGCCAGATAGAAGACACAAAACCTCATAGAAAAATTTTTGGGGATTTCATTTAAAAAGTGCTTTTCTTGGCCTAAAAATCAGATCTTTTAGATCATATTTCAGGATTACAACATGAAATTGTTGCTTGAAGATTCTTAATTTGGAAAATAGGGCTAAAAAATACTAAGGCAGATACTCAGTTTTTCTATTCTATCATATTTCAATTCAAAGTACAGACTTAACGCACTTGTACCTGTCAAACAAGGCCATAAACTTTACTTAGAGACTGACAATGTGACAACTCCCCAAAAGTTGTGAAAAACACACCTGGTGGTGACTGGCTTCAGTTAAGGTCATGTAAATAACAATTAAAAACTTTGGTCCAAATGTGTTATTTTGTTATAGAGTGTATTCTTATTACGCTGACTTTGGGTCTGTATCCACTAAAAGTGTCCTCCACACCACCAGGAACCTCTATAATTTCTGTAGGACTCTCATCAGCGCAAACTGTTGCAGGATTAGTTTTCCTCCTGACTCAAGAGTCAGTTACTGTAAGTTGTTCATGCATCGCAGACTGCGCTGACTTCAGAAATCCTCTGTGTCTTCAATGTATGTTTATCATGTGCTTTGATTAGTGGAGAGGTTGCGAAGTCAAAATCAACTCCACCTGCTGATACCCACTCCAGCACCAAAAACATTTGCAGCATTTGGTTTCACTACATGGTAGGAGAAGGTGGACACATGTTACCCTCACAAAGTCAATGGATAAAACCAGTACAGCTCTCTGTTCCTTACACTCTCCAAAAGAAAAAAAAATCAAGTCTTTTGTTTTTCCAACTGAGGGTGGGAGGAAGTTGGTCATTACAGTTTAATAATCTGATAATCTGGCCCAGTGTGGCTGCTGTTGTAGTCTGGAATGCAGCCATTTCGACTGAGTGTAAAATATTCATGAGCATCCAATGGAAGCCCATCTGACTGGCTGGGGAACAGCTGCTGGGTCTCTGTGCCTCTAGAGGTGCAGCATCTGTCCATTTGAAGGGAGTGAATATGTGTTTGTGTAAGTGTGTAAAAAGTGTGTGTCTCCAAGTGTGTGTGTCTGCCTTTCTAGACAAGTGAGTGTGTATGAGAGCCCACACTCTGATCTATGTGTGTGCGTGTCTCATGGGGACCAGACATCAGGAGGAACAACTGTGTATTTAACTTGCTTCTCTCCAGATGGTGGCGGATCATTTTAGAAATGATCAAAAAGCTAGTCTCAATTTTATCAGGATATGTGCTTGTCAATCAAATATCACTTTCGCTCGTACACAGGAGGAGAGCAGCATGTGTGCAGTCGACTCTGCTGCGTGTTTAAGTGAAGATGTCTTGTACATCTCAAGTCTCTGCCTTTCTATATGCAACTGTTGTGTCTCACTATCAGCACATCTCAGTCTCACAGTATGTGTGTGTGTGTACGTGTGTGTGTGTGTGTGTGGGCTGTTCGCACCCGTGCGTGTGAAGCTCACAGAGAGCTGTGCAGTTCTGGCGACGGCTGTATGATGGACATCTGGAAGCCAAATTGGTTAATGGCGCCTCCAAGCCAACAGCCAGCCGGCCGTCCCTCCACCGAGCTAAGTGTGTGTGTGCCTGGAAGTGTGTGTGTATTGCAGGGGGTGGGCTAAAGAAATGGAGGGGGGGTTCTACATCTGGCCAGTTGTCCGACCACAGACAAACATCCCTGTTGAGCATTTAAGGGCTTTTATCCTCCAATTTCTTTTCATTATTATTATTTTTAATTTTTTGTTTGTTTTGTCAAACTTCTTTTTCTTCATTATCACAGAAAAAAGAAACAAACAAACAAAAAAAACAGTTTTATTTTTGGTTCCCACATCACAAAAATGTTGCATGATGCAGCTTTATATTTGGGTGCTTTTTCCTGTAAGAAATGTCTATGTCTGTACATAGGAACTGCACACAGCAGCTTCAAAATATTTTTTTTCTGCTGGGCAAACTTGGTCGCCTCTCGTATTTTCCCAAATGTACAATCTTATATTTGAGCAACAGGAATTCACCTGAACTCTTGTAGAGAAAGCAGCAGTGGAAGGAGTAGGCAGTAAGTAGGATCTAATGTTTTGGATCGCCGAAAATCGCCTTCAGGCAAGGAGTTCACAGCTGTGGAGAACGGACTGGTAATGCTCGGTCACCTCTTGTGACTGGTCAAAATTTAGGAAACCACAAGTAAGGCCCAGCTAGAGGACCTCAGGCTGCAGTCAGGCTCATAGAGAGTTATCAGTTCACAGCTCAAAGAAAATGTTTGAGTTAAAAGTGATTGCTAACTTGTGGGTGTCTTTGTGAATATTATAAGGTAGGGAACCCAGGCTGAAGGACGGATTATAATGTAGATTTAGAGTCATTCAGCAGTAGAAAATTTTAGGACATCTTATTCTAGACAATGTACATCCCTTCACTGAATTTGAACCCAGCACCTTTTCACTCAACATCACAGGATGTTTGACAATGTGCACCTTTTCGGTCATGTCACTTCAATATTTGGTAACGCTGCATTAGAGGCCGTCTCAGATTTTAGTTTGAAGAAAGGATTACGTGTCCATCCAATGAGGGAAGTCCTAAGCCTCCAAAGCGTCCAAGCTGGGATTCGAACCCAAAACCATTTTGTTCCGAGGTAGCAGGGCCAAGCATCACACCACAGGCCTGCTTGTTAATATTTACCTATAAAGTTATTTCTGTTTTAATTTTCTATTGCCTTGTTTCAAAAGCTTAATAAAGACTTCAGTGTGAGAAGCGCATTCCATCCCTGCTTAACATGGAAAGTTTGTGTTCAGGATTTGAACCCTGAACTATTCCAATCAAAGGTGTTTGCTCACAGCATGGGTCGGTCGTTTTATCTCAAGTCTTTTCATTTCACTGTTTTATTACAATGTTTTCAAAGCTGTGTTTAGAGTGAGTGTGGCAAAAGCATTTAATTCCTGCTTTGTATGACAAACAAGGTCATTTCTACCTTTGAGGGGTCAATCATGGTCTCCCTCAGGTGGTTTAAAGTTTGCAAACTGAATTTTGTTAGCGGCAGTCCTGACAGTCAACTTACATGACCAAGATCTGCTGCTGGTTTGTGACAAAGAATCATATCAGCACCTACTGTTTGGAAATTACAAGAACAGAAGACCTGAATCATTTGCATTTCTTAAAATTACACTTCAAGAAAAAACTCCAGACCTTAGAGATAGCTTCTCTAGTTACAGCTGCTGGATCTATCCAGGACGAATAAACATACAAACAAAGAGAGTAAGAAGGGAAAGGGAGAATAGGAAACACTAACATGGACAGATCTTTAAATAAATACAGCCACAGCAGATGCATAACCGCCATAGTCCAAGCCAAGACTGCACAAACAGCCGTGTGATCTCTTCAAATCTTTATTGTGAGATATCAGAGATCTTGTTGAAATAAAAAGCGTCACTGTAGCCTCTGTTCTGTGTGTCTGTCTCTCTGTCCGCTTGTCTGTCACTGCAGTCCAGATGTCAGAGGAACCAGCCAACAGCTGTGACAGGAAATGAGCCCCCAGGCAGTGAAAAGGCCAGTACACTTCCACACGAAACAAAGCCAAATATGCACACACACATGCGCACACACACACACACACACACACACACACACACACACACACACACACACACACACACACACACACACACACACACACACCACTGTGCGATTCTGAGCATCTCAATGACCATGTTCCTCTAAGATTCTCCATGGGTGTATAAATATCAGTAAAACACAAAACAAGGTATTGTGTGACAGTAACAGTATTTGTGTGTTCTCATTGTTGGATTCATCATTTTTAAGTCAAAATGTGTGTATATGGGTGATATTATGCCAGCCTGCCACATCGCCAGCCCCCGAGCCAGCGGGAACATTTGCCTTGTGGCTTCAATTCCCAGGAATCCCTAACCTGCGCCAGCTGTTGAGAACATGTTACCTGTGCCAACAATGTGCCGCCTCTGCCCACCACATCAGCTGCCGCTCTGTCTCCATCTGGGTGCAAAATTGGATTTTTGTGCATGTTGTTGTTTGTCAGTGGCTTACTGTATCTTTAACTCTCGCCACATCTGTATTTGTACTCACATCTGCCTCTCTCATGTGCAGAGTGTAACTGTGTTTATGCACGTATTGATGTTCCTGATGTTGTCTGCTCTGCATGTCTATGTGTATGTGTAAACTCTGTGTGAGTATGTGTGTCTCCATCTGTGTGTGCGCCGGGCCTCCCTTGCCTGCATCTGGAGCGCCATTGAAGAGGCTATCCAACAAGCCTGCCAAACAGCCCAGATGTTAGTTCTGTAAGCCTCGGGCTAAATGGGGGGGAGCCATACTCTCTCTATACAGGGATAGTAAATTACAACCTTTTTTCAATTACAACCTTGTTTTTAATACTTCCTATGCTGATCTATCTATCTATCTATCTATCTATCTATCTATCTATCTATCTATCTATCTATCTATCTATCTATCTATCCATCTATCTACAATAATAAATACATGTATACAAATGAGCTTTTAACGTGTCTTACTCAGTCAGTACATTAACATGCATAGCCAAGTCGAACTACAATTATAGTTCAACTAGGCGATTTTTAAATGGACCACTGTTCTTATACCAGTTTACAAAGACAAAATTAAAATACTGAGACAAAAGTGTCTTCTGCAGCTATGATAAGTGCGGACATGCCTCCTTTCAGCTTGCTACTGTCAGGTTGTCTTCTGGCTGACATATCACGTATTGGACAGTCTTTTTAAAGTCATTTCTTTGTTTGTCAAGGTGTTGTTTACTACCTGCCTTCCTTGCAAGAAATCCATAGAAATCCAATTCAATTTCTGGTTTTAAGTGCGTGAACACTTGAGCATGCGCAGAACGAATCGTTACCCGGGTGTATTTGTCCAACAATGAGAAGTTAGATTTTGTGTGATTTCAGTCAGATTAATGTTTTCCAGTTTTTGTTGTTATCTTCTTTTGTTTAAGATTCATGTCAAGTATTTGACTCTTAAGAAGCTAAATGCTCCAACGTGATCGACCAGCTAGGTCCTAACTGTGTAGGGTGCTATCTGGTGCTGAACAGATTGGTATAAAGGGCTTTTAACTCGTTCATGAAACTGAACCAAAATGGTGAACCAAAACAGTGAGCTGACAGACAGATACTGAGCACAACTGGATGATAAATGTCAGTTGGTTTCTTGCTACAAGTCACTCTTTTTGCACTAAAAAACTCATTTGAGTTATTTTCATAATTTCAAGCACTCCTGCTTTAAGGTAGGAACTCATTTAAATCACATTAAACTTTCCCTGAACTAAGCGAATATCTTTGAATTTTCAGAAGCAGAAAGCACAGGTGAATGCCGTTCTACAGTTACTGGAAAGAAAACATTATCACAAATCAATTTTGGTGACTGTTATTGAGCAATGAATTTACTTTTGTAAATGTATTACTGTACAGTAAGCCTTGCATGTCAACATCTTGTATTTTTATACAAATAATCACCAACGTCCTCTGTCGCGGTGGAATAGATAAAATGATAAAGTAGGTTATGTTACAGCTATCTCCTGTCCTTTTTGTAAACATTAAAGATGTTTTTCCTGATAACCTTTAGCAGAGACCCCTGAAAACATGCTCTCCGTAAACAGGAGAGCAGTTGGGAGATAAAAACAAAACACGCTCATTCACCATCAAACAGTCAGACACAATTAGCCTGATCATCTGGACGGATGTAGCTGTGATGTTGGGGCAGTTTTGGCTGTCCATGTGTGTGTTTGTGGTGTGTGTGTTTGTGTGTACCATAGTGACCACAGAGGTGGCATCTGCCAGAGCGGCTTTAGCTCTGTTTGTGAGATCCATGTGTGTGGACTTCCACAGAGCTTAAAGAACGTCCGCTTTTCCCCCCATATGGTGAGCTGTCACAGGGGTGACACTGTGCTGCCCTCCCCTATGTGAGACAGCCTTCATACTCACTGAGTAAACAACAACTGGACATGGGGTGATGCTGTTGTAGTTGTTGGAATATCATCATTTATTCCTCTCTTAAACCTGTGAGGAAAGATTACACACGTCATCAGAAAATCAGCTTCTACGGTCATATGTCAGTATTTATGTCTCAGTGATACCCAAAATCTGTTGATGGTTTTTGTAAAACACTCCTCTGTCAACAAATTCAATCCCACAGAGCTTTGCAAAACAGATTAGACTGCTCGTTTTACAGAGGTCTAATTTGTCTAACCATTCGGTATCAAATGATACAAACTGATTCAGTTTGAAGGCTTTAGCAATAACGTCCTTTTATAGTCACTGGAATGAAAAGAAAAAATGTGAAAGGAGAGAAAAAAGTAATCTCTGTAAATTTACTGAATCAGCCATACTTTCTCTGAGTCTGCACCGACAACTGTCTATCAAACACAGCTCACGACACATTTGGGAAATGCAAATTGCTGAAAGAAGAACATGAGCAAGAGACGTCTCCTCCCACGACAGATATCTGTCCCTTTCTCTTCCTGCACACAGATGTTACACAGCAGTTTGTTATGAGAGGGAGTCGACGACAACTCTTTCTGTGTCTCCCTGAGGAGCGGGTAGCCTGGGGAGAATCACATTTACACATTAAGTGTTAATGTGTCTCTGTGAGCGAGTGTGTGTGTGAAGACAAAAGGGAGGAGGAGACTGAGAGAGAGAGATGTGTCTTACAAAGGCAGTAAAGGGGGCGCAGACCAGAAATAGGAAGTGACAGGACTGGAAACCAGGGGCCCTCAGGGGCTATTGGAGGCTTTTGAGGTGTGTGTGTGTGTGTGTGTGTGTGTGCATGTGTGTCGGAGGGGGTTACTGCTGCTCTATCCTCTGGCTGTGCTCATACTGTGTGTGTTTTTGGTGTTAATCTCACCCAGTTGTTGGAAAGTCAAACACAGCCTGTGCACCCAGATGTTGACAGATGTGCTGTGCACAATCTAACTTCCTCTTAAACTCACACTCACAGTCACACACAAACACAAACACAGTAAGAGATCATGAAAATCTCCTTCCAGCCCTCCTCTCTAGAGACAGTCTTCTTGGCTTGTGTGTTAGAGATTTGACAAATACTACAGTATTTCCAAATACTGCCTGCCAAGTGGTGAGCTGCTGTGGTCCCAGGAGGGCCATATCCGCTGTGCTGTCCCAGATGTTCTTTTAATAACGAAAACAAACAAAATTTCACTCATCCAGATGTGTTTACTTCATATGATGTGATCTCAGAGAGGTGGAGAGTCGAATGACAGATAGACAAACAGCTGGAGCCGTCAGTATAACTGTAACTAATGCAGCTCTCCCTAGTGGCCTGGAGTGGTGCTTGCACACATGCAGCTGTGCACATGCAGGGAGGATGTGGGATACTGGGAGTGTTGGGACATTTAGATGTCATCTGTCACTGGTTGAGCTGGTGCTGATGTTTGAGTGTTTCAGCTGTTATTTTTCATCCTGTCACATCCTGTTTGTCCTGCCCTGTCAATGAGTGAGTTTAACAAACAGCTTTATCCTGCACTTGTATTTATTATGATTTTTTTTCTTGAATGTTATAAGGTTAATCTATTCATATTATTCAGTTGGTCTATTGTTTCTTTCTTTTGAAGGTTTTTTAAAATTCATTTCTAAATGATAAGCACTGCATTAATAAGATTAATTTGCAGCTCAAGAAAAACATCTATGATCATTACTCATTTCCTATAATCACCATATTAATGGACTGCAGACGCGGTAGTTCTTTTGCCTTAGTGTCTCGGTCTGATTGCATTTCTAAGTGGAAATTATCATAAGTGTTCCTCCTTGAGCTGCGCACCCCCGCTGCAGTCAATGGACTCGCCCATAGGACTCCGTACAAACAAGCGGCTGCTGAAAGAGAGTGGGTGAGTCTCTTTGCTAAAGAAATTCAGCAAAGTTGAAAAGATGTTTGGTGGCTAGTGCTATGGCTGGGACCCCATATGAACTGTTGATGAAGTTAGGTGCTGTTCTGAGCGTTATTTGTGGCTATAGAGTGGCGTTTTGGTTGAGCGCGTGGCTCTCTATATTGCCATCGTGAGGTTTTTCAAGGATACTTAGAAAACGTACAGTATTTACAGCCTCACTTTTGATCACTTCAGACAAGCAAGTCATCAGATGAAACACACCTTCAAACAAACAGACCCCTACTGCGCTGGGCTTCAGTCTAACCACCCCAACACACAGCCAAAACAAAGAGCACATCCACTTCATGTTACTGTTAACATCAAACTCAGAAGGGAGGTAACACAAGTTTACCTGATAGCTGTGCAACAATTCACTTTAAACACTGATAGCTGCTTTGACAGGAGGTGATGCTCTTTGGTTGGTGTGTTTGCTGTGGCTCTGCTCTTAAGTATCAAGAATTCATTATTTGTTGTTGTTTTTGGTCACTCTGGTATTTTCTTTTATTTATCAGCCGCTGCGGAAACCATCTCATTCCTGAACTGTCTCAGAGTTTCTAAGTTTAGCCCTACATCACCTCACTACAAGGTCACACCTCAGCAGCAGCAGCAGCAGCACCTCAGCTCCTCTCTGGAACAGAAACAGATCAAAGTTCTCCTCCCTCTCCTGCTTTCTCTCTCTCTCTCTCTCTCTCCCCCTTTCTCCTTGTCTTCCTCAATGCTTCATTGACTCTACCCCTAAGCATAACATACACTGATGGCACCCAGTGGATCTCCAGCATGCAGCTGGAAAAGCCTTGACAGAAAAGGAGTGAGAGAGTGTTTAAGACAGAGACAGAGAACTTCCATGCTCATGCCTTACTGGTTATAATCCAGAGGTGTTCATATCACTAAAGGAGGAATGTTGGGTTTTTTGGCTGCTCCAAATATCTCATGCAGGTAATGTCCGGCTTCAAATACAGGGACCCACATACCTAATAATCACTTCAAGATATTTATCACAGCAGCTACGCCAAACCATCTATGAAAGTGGACAAACCACTTAAGCAGAAGCTTCTAAGTTCATTCTGTCATCCTGTAAACAAATGTAACAATATCCTTCAAAGTGTAGACTCATTGTTACGGTCACTGCCAAGAGCACTAACAGTAAATCAAAGCTTTTACTCTGTGGCTCAGCTCTCTCTTTATCACCTTGCTGCAAAATGACTCTTACATTACTGCAGCAGCTGCCGCTAAGCAGCAGTCAATCACATAGTTGCTTTTACCATCACTCATAAAAAAAGCTCTGCCTTTACATGCTGTCACAGGTACTAGAAACACCACATGCAGACACAGACTTTGAAAATGAACATCTGCCAGGGCCGATAGGAAGAGCGCGCACTTCCACGCTGATCTGCATATTTCAGTGCTAACACGCTAACACCTGTGCACCAAACATTGTCCGTGTGCTTTCAGAATTTTGCAGTTGTGGTGATAACTGAATCAACAACAACTTACTGAGCATGTTTTATTTCAACTGATAAAGGATTGACTGTGTCTAAAAAAAAACAAAAAAAAAACAATGGTTTGGAGTGCAAAGACACTTGATGCAAGCATTTCATGATAAAAACTATGAAATAAAGAGTTTTAAATCTGCACTCGGGATATGTTAAAAGCTGAAATTCAAGATAAGTTCAAATTTATGTAAATTTAAGTGGGTGCCTTACTGTCTTCATGATTTTGAACTTTGAACTCATGGAAACAGCTTCAAAACTTAATATGTCTGACTAACTTTACCACCTTTGCCCTTCCTGAACTTAATTCATCAATTTCTTGGCCAAACCACCAACCTGCCTTCTAGACCCAATACCAGCAGAGCTGCTGAGGGAAATCCTTCCCTTAGTTAGCTCTGTGTCTTTATTGGCAGGCTATGTACCACTGTCATCAAACAGTATCAGTCTGCATATCACGAATTTAAAATTTGCATATCTAGTTGACGTTTATTACCTATATAGACCTTTCTGGAAATCTCTGAGCTCCCTTGTTTTGTGGGTTCTTTATATGGACCTGCCTGACTCCAGCTGCTACATTAATATCAGCCTTACTGTTATAATCACTGTAAAAATGCTTATTTCAATTTTAGAAAAGCTTGACCGCTACAATCGATGTATTCCTATTATCATTATTAGTATTCTGATATCAGAGCAGTTCACTTTAACTTCCTTAAATATTAAGTACTATATAAATGAAGAGCACTGATTGGTTGATATACTTGTGATTAAACCTAAGACTAGAATTTTTTATATATATTTTTGTAAATAAAAGCAGAAGTATTAGAAAAACAGAGCTAAGATTTGGCCACAATAGATAAACTTTTCAAGTGAAGATAATGGATGACTGGTGGTTTGAAATGTGAGTTTATGGCAATGTGTGTTTAAATTTTTTTTTTTATTATAGAATAAAGTGCATAATTGTAGTTTCTCACTGCGATAAAGAGGTTATTGCAGTATAATTGCCACTCATGTGAATTAATTTAAAATCTGCTTTCACTCCTCTGGCCCCCAGCCCCTCTTTTTTAGGGCAGAGCAGCTGCACATCGCAAAGAAACCTGAGAAACCAGATTGCTCCAACCTGGGGGTGGAGGGTGAGGCTGAGTACACAGGACAATGAGTGTGTGTTTTGCACGAGAAAGGGTCAGGGGACAGGGTGTTTTTTGGGGGAATGCAACCTGTCCTCACGAGAGCAGAAGGTATCAACACACAAAAATGCACACGCACACTCACACACACACGCACACGCAGTCATACACATGCTGCATTGGTAAATGTGTGAACATATGCAGGCATACAGGAACATAAACAGGCTGTAGACAAACACATGTAGACAGAAGTGCACAAACTAACACTTAAACCAACACACATGTTCACTTTAAAGTCACATCATGTTGTTACCCCCCGACAGTACACACACACACACACACACACACACACACACACACACACACACACACACACACACACACACACACACACAAAAGTGTAGTACTTTTTGCCTCCAGTCGCTCCATTTTTCTTAAGCTGTTTTTTTTTTTTTTTTAATTAAAAATAAAGATCATAATTCTTGTACTGCTGACTGCTTTCTTTTCCATTTACACACGTCACTTGTACTTTTACATAAGTATGATACACTTTCAAGTACAGCATACTTGTGTGTAATATCAAACAAATACTTCTACTACTTCAGTAGAGAAGAAATCAGATGTTTCAGGACTTTTATTCAAATAATATCATAATGGCTGACTTTCACTTTTACCAAAGTCATTCACAAGTCTTTTTTTTTTTGTCCCAATTAATCTATGATACCAATATTTCTGCATTACTAAGCCATATGGAACCAATATCTTTGATTGACATTCTGAAGCATTTTGTCTTATTTATGGACCAGACAGTTTATCAAAAATGAAGGCCACAACTGCCTAACAAATCAACACTGAAACTAATCATCAGTTGCTGCCCTATCTGATGAGTGGTTCTACAAGTTTACAGTAAATTCAAGCAAAAAAAATTAAAGATCTTGGATTGGTTTCTTCTTGTCTCACAGGTTAAAGCTTGGTTACTGTTACTCTGATGTTAGAGAAGTCAGAGTAGTTGATCACCTATAAATGTTGAGTGATGAAATGGGGATATGACAGAAATATGAGCAGGAATTATACTTATGCAAAAATAAAGTGTGATTTCATTTACACACATACATGAAATTTTGAGTTATAATAACAATAGATACAAAAAATAGCATATAGGCCAAAGACTGCTTTTAAAATACATATTTTTTTTTATATGGTCATCTGGTACATTCCAGATTTTACACCTGAGTACAAAATAGGTGACCCAGAACAGAGCAGAGCGGAGCATGCTGGACCATACTGGCTCCCAAGCTGTCCTGCTGCACAGCACACCTTCAACACCGTGGCTGCAGCTGCTCTGTCCGGTCTCGTGTGTGTAAGAGTGTATGTGTCTGTTCACGTGTATACGTTTCCCCAGCAAAGAAGTCTGTCTGACCGCAGCTGTCCCTACCTCTATGCGGGTCTCCAGGGCGAGGCCGACCTCTCTCCTGAAGCAACTTCAAAGAGACCAGGGAGGGACAGAAGAGGTCCAGGATGTCAGCACTGCCAGCACGGCTGCTGCTGCCCTGAGCTTTGGGAGCTGGGGAGAAAGAAATGGAGTTAAGGTGGGGGTGTGGAGGTGTGGAGGTGTGGGGTCGGGTGTGTTGCAGGAGGGAGTCACAAACCTGGGGGACATACAGGGTAGAGTGTGGCAGCAGTGCAGAAACAGGAGGTATGGGGCTTCGGGTAGAGATGTTGTTACAGTCAAATGCTGGAAGTTTAGCAGTGTGTGTGTGTGTGTGTGTGTGTGTGTGTGTGTGTGTGTGTGTGTGTGTGTGTGTGTGTGTGTGTGTGCATGGCTCAGCCGGGGCAGACCCATGTGCTGTGGCATCACCTCAGAGTTTAAAGGTAGTATCTGTGCCTGTGTGATTCAAGAGGCAGCATACATCTGACCCACGGGGAGTCTAGGGTCCATTCTGGAGAGAACTGCTGGCACAGTGGGCTCCTGGGAGCCTCTTACGTGGGGTCCAAGGGGTAAAAAGAGATAAGACACAATAGAGGGGAATGATAAGTTATCTGTTTTTAAAGCACCACAAAGTGAGTTGTATAAAATATTAGCGATCAGACGTTTTTCAGTTAAGATATTCCTCAGAGGATTTCATCTACTTAAACACATGACCCTGGTGAGACGATGAGATGTCAAAAGGACATTGACAAAATTAAAGGGACATTCCGGCATAAAATTAATTTAGGGTCAAACACACTGTAACACCAAGTTGGACACCCCCGCAAGAGATGAATGTTGCTGACCACTTGCTTCTCTAGTTATGCCAACTTTAGTAACGACACCATGATAGCAATACACAGAAGTCTGAGGAGCCATAAACAAACCTCAACCAAAACGCCACTCTATAGCCACAAATAATGCTCAGAACAGCACCTAACTTCATCAACAGTACATATGCCAGCAAAGAGACTAAACACAACTCATCTACTCTCTTCCAGCATCCTCTTGTTTGTAGCAAGAACTCAGGCCAGACCATCATGGACTGCTGTGGGGTGACACAGCTCAAGGAAGAACATTTATGATCATTTCTTCATGGAAATGCAATCAGACCGAGACACTAAGGCAAAGGAACTACCGCGTTCAGAATGATTAATGTGGTGATTACTACTTCAAGGAAATGATAAAGAAATGATCATAAATATTCTATGTTTGATGCTAAATTAATTTTAGCCGGAATATCCCTTTAAGGAAAACAGACATGAAGCAACATGGTATGGGCTTTGGTAGCATCACAGGTCTGGTTGATGATAGTAGTACAGATAGTAGCATATTTAAGTCCATGCGAAGATGTTTAAGGATGGTTTTATACAAATAAGAGGTATGGTAGGACTCTGTACTTGGGGACAGCTTGTATGTAGCTAACATGCTAAGTCTTCATTTTGTTTACATGCAGGATAAAATCTTATCAAACACATGGGACCCCTTCATTTTGTGATGTCTATGACTTACGTTTGACTCAAATTTACATACATAAAGTTGGTTATTTTTGGTTGTTCTTTGACTCAAAGCAGGACCAAGAGATGACTAAGACTAGGTTGTTTTATGTGTGTGTGCGTCTGTCTTAGCATTTGTGTGTCACAGAAACGTGTCTGGCCACAGCTATGGCGACAGAAGGGGTCCCCTGTGTTGCCTTTTTCCTTTTCAAGCTGTCTCTTTACCCCCACCTCCATGACCCAACCTCAACTGCCCTCCCTACACACACACGCACTTGCACACACACACACACACACACACACACACACACACACACACACACACACACACACACACACACACACACACACACACACGCACACTCGCGCACACACACCTTCCCTGGCTGCTGGTTTCTGCTCACACTCCCTCCTCACACAGGGTTGTGAGCAAGAGGCCAGCTGATGGCAATATGTGCATGTGTGTTAAGAGAGGTTGGAACAGTACACACATAAATTATCTGACACGTTAGGTACACCTGTGTCTGCACTCTGTACTCACCGTGGCCCCATATCTACACCCTCTGCCACTGCTGCCCAGCTCCACACCCGGCACCATCTGGAGAGACTGTACGAATAACAGATGAGGTTGATGGACAGAAGGGATACCACTTTTTCAAAACATCATTCCCAAACTTTGAATGTGGAAAAGAGATATTAAAAGAGAGATAAGAGGAGCAAAGAAAAGGGAGACAGCAGTTTTAACTCACATAGCTTGTGAAGGACCAAACCTACACTGGGACCCTAGCTATAGCCCTTGACATCATTGAGGCCTGCTGAAAAGTCAGCTGACCCTTCAGGCTTCATCAGACATGCACATGAATCTAGAAATGATTAAAAAAAAAGATAAGGGCAATGGTTTTAAGTTAACATTTGGTTTTAAAAACCAGTTTATTTCTTAAACTGGTTTATTAGTGTGTGAATGGCTTTGCCCCTGACCCAGTAAGTAAAATGATCAAAAAACACTCCTATAAAGGAGCTTCTACAAGAGGAGCAGTCACAGGAGACTCTAAACCCGCAGAACACAGGACAGCTTTGGGACAGTCTTCCTTCTCAGTCAAAGGTTCACAGATTTGGAATATATGACCATCAGAAATAAAAACATTAAAGGAACCCAAAGCCTCAATATCAAAACAAAACTATAGCTTAAACAAAGACATATGTGTGAACACTAACTTACATATACGTATATTATGGCATTTATGTGTGTTTATGTGTGTGTATGTATGTATCTATGTGTGTGCGTGTGTATGTATATATGTATGTATGTATATGTAAGTCTCTGGATTTTTGTGCATAGAAGAAACTGCTTGTTTTGTCTGCTTTCTTGTTGTTTTTATGCAAACATACGATTGCCTGTCTGCATCTGCTATAATGTTAGTTTTTATATAGCGGTTTATGTATCATGTGCTGTATTTCCCACTGTCTAACCAGGGACAAGGACTGCAAATTAGCCACGGCTAGAAGTCCTGCATACACAACATCGTTTTTTTATTTAGATGCAACAATGCCTGATGTACTGTCCCTGCCAAATAAACGAATAAAAAAAATGTGCAAAGACCAAAAACTGTGCCTGAAACAGAAACAGATGTAGCCTACAAGGCACTTCTTGCCAGCTCAAAACAAAACATGTACATTTAAAAAGTGTAAAACAGACAAATGTTTGCATTTACATTTTTAAAACCACTACATTTATTTCTTTTGCAGGAGTCAAAAGTGCACTTGCACTAAAACAGAATAAGCTTTGTTTACAACCCTCACAACATGACTAAGCCCTAAGTCCTGTTCACTTCAGAAGATGAAAGTCATAGGAGATTTGATTTTAAGCACCAAGTTGCTTGGACTACTTTAAAATAAATGTGTATTTTGGTTGTTGGTGTAAAAACTTCATATGCACTTGAAAGTTAAACTGGATGGTAATGATCAATTGATTTGAGCTAAAAATATACTTGTATGGGATATTTACCAGTTTAATTTATCCCCTTGTATTTTGTATTGTTATTGAAATTGGCTATTGAAAATCAACTGTATGTGATGTCAGACCATCTTATCTCGCTGCTCCTTTCCAATCAGGTAGGTACTGATTTGAAAAAGTTGGGTGCTCGTGCAAATTCTGTTGTCCACTTTCATGTGAGGGACGAACAAATAAACCAATAAAATGTTGTGAGGGTTACATCCTCTCTCTGCCTTCCTGGCTGACTGTCACAGACCGCCTTCACCGGATCTCGCGATGCTTGGCTTATTAGCCGGCAGACACACACACACACACACACACACACACACACACACACACACACACACACACACACACACACACACACACACACACACTGACAGGATGTTGGAATGGGATGATGAGAGAGCTCCACAGTGAAGGAGGAGTGCCTCTCACACCGACCTGAAAACGTCCAAATCGGAAAAACGGGAAGACAAGGCGTGACGGTTGCATGTGTGAGTATGTTTCCGTGCGTGTGTGTACGTGTGCTTGCGTGTCCGTGCGCGAGAGAAAGGGGTTGCCGTTTCTCCGCGTGACGTCACGAGCTTTCCTGAGAGTCAACACAGCCGTTGGCTGCGGTAACGGCAGCTTCCGCGGCTTCTCGGAAATCCGTTTGATGTAACTGCAAACGGTCGTTTTTCCCCCCTGTTTCGTTACCGCGTTACGGTGCCGACGAAGGTTGTCTGGCTGCGTTTAGCTGAGCTTAGCTCGCTGCCGGGCACTGCTTCACGTTACTTAGCCCCACTCCAGAGGGAGGAAATTAACCCGAGCGGTTTATGAACAGCAGGTGCACGGGAATACCACAGCACCTGCCGATACAGGTAATACGGTTAGCCTGCTAGCCACACTATTGTTTAAGTAAGAAAAATGAAATAACCCCACTAAAGCTTGAAAGATCATTTGTGTTCATGCTCCTAAGACGGTAAAGGTGGGGGGCGGTGCCGTTTTTGACATGTCATTTGGGAATGAACGATAGCCTATATATAAGTGGGGTAAGGTGGGAAAGTATGGCGTATGTCCTTTAAAATTGTGAATTAAGGTCCGTGAATCGTTTTCCTGTTTAACATTCATACTTGTTCCTCCCATGTTGCATGCAACATGCGTCAGTTTGACAGTGACGTCGATGATGCAGTGCTGGTATTCATTCATGGTCTCCCCAGCAGCAGCAGCAGCAGCACTGCCTCAGATTGACAAGCGTTTGCACGTTCACATATGTTTTCCAATGGCCAGGTCCATTCACTGTGAGTTACTGCCTAAGTTATATTTGAGAAAACAGTACATCAGGTTGACTCTCAGGTTACTCAGAGAAAAAACATGAAAGGGTATTCAACTTTAATAGGAGAAAATCATATCTCTGATGTTAATGTTGGATATTTAATTTTTGATGCTGCTGCATTAAAGCCAGACTAAAAAACAACTGGACCTATAGCCCAAGTCTTATTGTTTTAGTTTAATATCAGACCACAGCTGGTATTGAACACCTTCAGCATTTATAGGGTTTATTTTTTCAGAAATAGGCCAAAGAAAGGTATATATATAGACAGCAGGGTATCTCAAATACTACCCTACTCTGTGAATAAGTCAGTTTTCCTTATAATTTCATTGACCAAGGAGAAAAGATGTGAAACCCTAATTTCATAAGAGTTAGGAGGATGCTGTGTGAAATGTTGAAACTGAAAAAAAATTTAAAAAGTATATGCTTATTTTGAGTTGGATGCCAGTGTCATTTCTCAAAATGTTGGAACAGGAGTTCGATTCTGTCGCATCACCTTTTCTTTAAAAAACACTGTGAAATTTGTGAACTGGAGAGCAGTTTCTGGAAATTACAAAGTTAGATGTTGTCCTACCCCAGTTTTTGGATAAGCTGCTCAACACCTCGGGTTCTTCTTGTAGTATTTTTTATGTCATGTTGTTCCAAATGTTTTCAATAGTTGACAAGTTAGTGGTTCAGGCAGGCCAGTGTGAGGACCCAGACTTTTCTACTGCAGAGCTGTGGTGTTGTAATATACCTATGTGCAAAATGTGATGTGAGATCTTCTTGCTGTAAAGCTTTCCTGACAATAAGTATTGTCAGGGGGACAACACATGTTGCTCCAAAATCTATCGTTAAGTGTTAATGGTACCTTTCCAAATAAATTAACTGTGCTGTGGGGACTTGTGCTTCCCCTTACCATTAGGGATGATAGCTTTTGAACTGTCTGTTGATTGCAAGCCTCTCCTTAGAGCAAAGGATACAGCATCCTCAGTTTCTAAAATGAATGTCAGTTTTTGATTTGTCAGATCCCAGAACAGTTTTCCATTTGAAATCGGTCCATCTTGAACAAACTTTGAACTCAACATTCGAGAGACTCAGCCTCTCTGGAATGCCCTTTGATACCCTGTCATGTAAGTCAACTGTTGCAAATCAATAATTTTATTTTTAGGGACATGTTCTTCTAGGTGTTTTTAGCATCAGTGACTTTTTGCTCTGGTCCTAAATGCTTTGAAATGTGTTGCTGGCATCAAATTTAAAATGAGCATATATTTTTGATAGACTGATACATTTTTTCCATCTTAACATTTGATTTGTCGTCTTTGCAGTCTTTTCTATCAAATACAAGCTTTGGATGATTTGAAAACTATTTAATTATACAAACTTTATAAACTTTTTGTGGTGAACCAACTCTTGTGGAATCGTATTTGTGGATTTTCCCTTCACTTTTATTTTCACCCCTAAACTACACAGTTTAGTTAAACTATTTCTTTGGACAGTAGCTGATGTTGGCCGTGGTTTGGATAGAAGTAACTTGCAGGGGTGAAGTGAGTTGAGGTAAAATGAGGTGACCTATGCTGATAGAAAGATCCCTTTGTGTCAGGGTCTTGCTCATCCTGGTGAGGGTTCCTGTCTAACTTCACCACCCTGCATCCTTACAAATGGTTAACCGATAACAGTTTTCCAATGGCCAATGCTGATTATGGTAAAGCAGCTTGGCTGATAGCCAATATATATATAAAGCCGATAAAACAATGTTTGTTTTTTTTTGTTTTTTTTTAAGTAGTAATGCATACAGATGACAAACAGTTTTGCTGAATTGGAGTGACAGTTTTATTAGATAAAATAAATATAGACAAAAATTATTAGGCTCAGTAAAATATTGTCACAAGGGACTTTTGGATTTCTGCCTAGCTATCTGGAATTTGTAAGAAAGAAAAAAATACAAGGTAAATATCAAAATAATTAAACGATATTATTCTCTGCACCATGGCCACCAGAATTTATATTAAACACTAGTCAGTCTTGGATTTAGTTTGCTGTTAAATGTATTTTCAGTTGAAAAGATAATGGCGATATTGACCTGGTGAGGGTCGATGCTAATACAATGTTGATTATGTCAAAATGCCATTAACTGGTCTGATTAATCGGCTAACTGATTAATTGATCTGTCTCTATTTCTTACGTTATTCTTTACTTGTATACAGCTATGTACTCTCACACTTTGCATCAAAGATTCTACTTGTCAAATGGCATCTTTGATACACGTGGACTATGGTCTGATGGCATAAACTGTACACGGTTAGCCAGAAAGATTTCACTGAGCAACATAAATGTTAATTTTGAAGACCTTGTTTGAAAAGGTCTTCTGCTATTTAGAATTATTAGTTTGATGTGTTACAAACACAGCCAAGACGAAAAAAAAAGACATTAAGAGTCACAGTCAATATGAGCAATCCACTCCTGTTAATTTATAGAGTACCCTGTATTTTCTGTGAGATAGATCACTGCAGATCTTCCTCATATAGTGCTGGCTGGGCTGGCCTAAAGTTTGGTCCAGAATATCAATCTGAGTCCTCTCTCACTGAATTAAATGAGGACAGGTTCAGAGGTGTACAAAAATCAGTTTTTTCACAGTTGTCATTTTTAATTTCTCTGTTGTGTTACTTGACTCATTTAGAGTCAATGGTAAAGTAGCTAACAGTTTTCTCCCTGCCTCTGCTTTGATTCTGTTTTCTTATTTTTTCCATTTTGTGTTTTTTTTTCTTGCTTTCTGTTTTTTTGATGACTTGTTGGCCACGTTGCTGCCTTTGGTATTGAGTATCAATAAATAGATGTTGTCTGGTAGGTGCTACCCCTGGCATTGTTGATTCATTATAGCAGTGGGTATCTCCATAGCAACAGCTGCTCTGGTGACAAGGGGTTGCCTCTGTTTGGACAACCATCTCTCTTTTCCTCGTCTCCTTCCCTCCGTTTCTCCTTCTCCTCGTCTCTACTCTCCCTTTTTTATGCTTGTCCTAATTAAGGTGAAGCTAACTGAAGCTTCATTGAATTACACTGAAGATTTAAAGTTTAATCCTCTATTGTACTGTGCCTATAAAAGGATTTGATCACCCTTGATGTAATTGCAAAGGCGAGTCATCATTTCGAATTTATTCATCTCAATTTGTGCAAAGTTTTGGTTTAATACAGACTCTTGGTTTAAGCGATTGGCTTAAAGTTCAATTCTGCTCTACATGTCTTCAGTTTCAATGCACTCAAACCTTTGGACCAGGGTTCGGATGGAGTACTTCTGCCTCCCATGAATCCTGCAGCGATTGTCATTAGATGAAATATATTATATTTAGAGAGTTGTATATCATAAATGTTAAATTAAAAGAAAGCTTAGGCTGAGATTCTATGTGCAGCTACTGAAATGTCTGATCCTGAAGCCTGCATCTGGTTTCAGATCGGTCCCTGTTCTGCTACCTCAACATCATGAAAAATCTCTGTCGCCTGCCTGGGTGTGTACGTGAGTGTGTATTGCAGCCTTAGTTATGACGCTGCAGTCCCTCTAAGTCGGCACCAGTGCAGACACTAGCTGATCTGAATACTGATTTCTAAGCTTGATGGGGACTGCTAGCCCACCCGCCATATAGTGCTGGTATCCATTCAAGCTGAGCGGCATAGTGTTGTTGTGCGTTGTGTAATACAGTGTAGTAGGGTGCATTTGAGGTGAGCACGGCAGCTATGCAGAGAGTAAAAGAGAGTGGGGAGGGAGAGCGGGAGTGAGACGACAGAGAGGTGCAGAGATTTGGGCAGAGAGAAAGAGAGTGTGAGAGCATCCCTAACTGTCGATGCTGCTATTTTTAGCCTAGCCCTACTCCACCGTCCTGAGATGCTCTCCCACCTCCCACATATAGACGAGACAAATCAGCCTACACATACCCACGTTTTGACAAAATACTTTGACATGCAGGAAAATAAAAAGCACTGGAAGGTACACTGGCTTTTGCACTAGAGTCTTCCTGCCTACCAAAACAGGTAAGATCTGTGAATGAATAAAAGGGACGATTGTTTGGCATTCAAGGTCAGTTTTTGCTTCATCAAGAGCTTTGCAATAACTCATCCTGTTTATCAGAGAGAGTGTTAGATAGAAAGAGGAACTGGGTGTAAGATTGAGTTGGGGTAGAGAAGAGGAAGCATTTGTCCTCTCACAATAATAAGTTGTTTGTCTTGTCAGATTGTATGAAATGGTTTTAGAGGGGAGAGTGGGTGCAGCAGAGGAGCAGGAAAATAAATCCATGCCTTTTTTTTTTTCTCCTTTCACTTCCTTCCAGGCTGAGTCACTGCTGGTGAGGAGGAAGGTCTGGAGAGGGAACGAGAGAGGAGGTGGAGGAGGTGGTGGAGGAGGAGGGGGAGAAGACGAAGAAAAGGGAGGGAGTGCAGGGAGATAAGCCACAACAGGAAGCAGAGCGACACACGCGCTTACGCTTACACTTACACATCTTGTGTTTGTGTGTCTGAGAGGGAGACTGCGCGAACAAGAGGGTGAACGGGAAAGGAAGGAAGGGAGGGAGAGTGACGCGGAGGCTGGGAGAGCCGCCCCCCCCCTCCACCCCCCACTCCTCTCCTCTCCTCCTCGCCTCCCTCCTCCCTCTCTCTCTCTGTGGAGCAGGCGTGTAGCGGCATCAGACTCGGCGTGAAGGAACCATGAGCGATGTCACCATCGTTAGAGAGGGTTGGCTCCAGAAAAGGGGTAAGTACATCCAGTACCTCTCTTCTTCTAGTCCCCTCCTCTATACCTCTATTTTTCCTTCTCTTCTTCTCTGCCTCTTGTCTAGACTGAGGGCCTGGCTGTGCCTGTCCACATGTGCCGGTGGGAGGATGAGAGTGCTTGCAATCGAGTGTGTATGTGTGTGTGTGTCTGATCACATGGATGTGTATCATAATGTAGCATGCACCTGTATATATATGTGTGTTTTACCCCACAGGGACATGTCTCTTTATTATGAGGCTGCTGTTTTGCTGCTCAGGTTGCGCCTTTAAAATAATGCATGCAAGGGTATGTGCATGTATTAAATGCACGTGTGCGTGTGTCTGTGTGTGTGTGTGCAGTTAACAGCATCTACCAGACCTCATGTTACACTGTTGGTGCAAATTGTTCTGTTTACTATTCTGTGAAATCAAGTTAGTTTTGTCTCTCTAGTTGGGGTGTAGATTTGTAGAGAATGCTGAATGATGCCACTGAACCTCATATGACATGGAGTTGAGGGGTTGATCTGGGTGGAGTCTTGGAGGGGGGTGCTTACAACACATCCTGCTAGCAACTAACTGAATGAAAAGTAGAAATGGAAATGTACTAGTTGAGAAGCATAGTGCAAAGTGAGTGGTCCCCTGTTTTCAGACACTCAAAGATCAGGTTTAGTTTGTGGATGCTGCAACAGGTAAAAATCAACTGTAGTGGGGCCGGTCTTTTTATTTATTTTGATTTAACCTTTATTTAGTCTCTTTTATATGGAGTCTAAGAGTGATCTATAGTAGCTCTATGATATCTGCAGCATCAACCAAAAGGCACTGAGGAACTTTTTTCCTCCAACAAACTGAAACTTGCATCTTAGCCCAGGATTTCATGTCACTTGTGTGTGCTGATGCTGGTTCCTTCAGGGACAAGTGTCCTAGGGAACATGTGTGATTTAGGGGGAGAGCCCCAAGGACAGAACAGGGGGGATTTCCAGACATTTAGACCAATAAGCATCATCCTTCTGGGTATGTGATGGTCGTCTAGGAATGTGTAACACAAACTGTTGAACAGGAAATGACATGGACACATAATGGACAGCAGGCTTCTGGGTAATGTAGGCTAGCACTCTGGCATAGCAGGGGGAACATGTTGGACCACAGAGAGCTCCTCACTCCACAGTGAAGATGCTTTCTCTTCCTGTGTCACACACAGCACACACTCTGTAGAGCCGAAGTAGAGGGGAGGATTTTTGTCTGTTTGTGCCAGCATGCCTGTGTGATCCTCAGACAGTCGTCTGTGCATATTAAGAGGAACACATCGCCCCCAGTCACGACGCAGCGCTAGCTGTGTTCGTCAGTGTGTGAGAGAGATGGCAGGGAAGCAGGGGGTGTTTGTTTGTGTCAGGAATATGAATGTTTGTCTGCATCATATGCTAAATTATTGTCTGTATTGGTGTGTGTGTGTGTATGTGTGTGTGGAGAGAGGAGCAGGGTCGGGGTGCTGACTCACTGTTCAGGTCGTGATACAGCAAAGACTGCAGTCTTAGTCATTAGACAGCTTTTTACTGAAATGAAATAGAGAGAGACCAAGAAGGGTGGTGAAACCTCTTCCAACACAGACACAAGTGCATACACAAACACACACTTTTGTATTTATACTATTACATACAGTTGTATTTTGTCTGTTACTTTTGAAGTTTTCTATAACTTAGACAACTGCTAACTTCTTGTGTATCATTTTGTGAGTAGACATTTTTAGCTTGGATTGATCAAACTCTTAAAACATAGATACTGATCACTTCTTGTTGTTGTAAATGGTGATTCAAGGTTCCTTATAATTTCAACAAGTCATTTAATTCAGTTTATCTCCTCTCTGCTGTTCTTGTGCACAATAACTGTTGTGTTTCTGTCCACCATTGTTCAGTTATGTTGTTATGTCAACATTACCAGGAATTTTAGGCGACACACTTGCCCATGACTGCTCTTCTGATGTGATAATCTGGCTGTTGAGGACTTACTGTTTGAACCTGTACATTATACTGCCCACACATAGTTGAAGTTGTGTGTGTAAGGCTCATGTTTTAATGCAGAGATGCTGTGATGATGCTGTTGCTCGTACAGTGCCCGCCATATGTTCTTCAGCTCAGGAATTCTGTGTTATATATGCGTAGGTTGGCAAACAATAGTTTATTATGACAGCATGTTTACAGTTTGCAACAAAAAGTGAGTGTGTGAGAGAAATGGCAGCTAATACTGAAAGAACAACTGAATATTACTGATTGACTGAGTTGATTGGATTCACAGAGCCTCTGTTCAATTCAGCTTCTTTTTTATTTAGTTTTCAATTCAACTGTATATTGATTCGTTTGGGAATATTTCAGTCAAAATACTAATTTTGTTTCAATATAAAAGACATCCACAGAGAATTGATGCTGTTAATTGTACTGGGAACCTTCTGGAAGAGTGCGCTATTACAAGTATTTGGGTTTATAGTCATACTGATACCATGTGGATTCACTGATCAACATTAACATTGATCACTGGCAGTGGTGTATAAGTGTGTTTTCCTCAAAAACATGTCGATCAGCATCGGTCTCCAGAAGACCAAAGATTTTGCACAGGATTCAAAGAATCAAAGATGAGATCAAATCCTCCCTCACCTTCGCCATTATAGGAGATGTACTGTGATAGTTCTTAAGTTAAAAGGTGTTTTTCTTTCCTGGGTCAATAAATTGATCCAAATTTGATCACAGAGTACTCAACATTTTTAAAGATCATTAAGAGATGGACAAAAAAAATGTGACAGATCATACAAATGGAAACAAGCTTTAAAGAGTAGTAAAATAAATCCATAAAAAACACGTATGTAACAAAAGCAAGCATCAGCAAACACTTCTTTTACACGTGAACCACACAGCACTCATCATCTTGGCTCACAGACACAAACCTCAGTAACATCACCCCTGCAAAGTACAGTACACAATGTCCTCAGATGACCGTGCCTTTCAGTACTCACTCTCTCACTGCCATGGCAATGATTTCCTTCCTGCTTTCATTAAATCAGAGTGGGGAGGGCATTCAGTTGCATTTTTTTATTTATCTTATCTATAATCAACAGCAGATAAATAGCAGAATCTGTCTGATACAAAGCAACAGACCTGCAAGTGAACCACATTAACCATGGCTTGAAAAGATGTTTTTCTCTACTTACATTCGAGAATGACTGGTTAAATAGCACCATTAAGACAGGTTGTTTACAGATCTGTACCAACTATTAACAACATATTGTTTTCTTTTTCTTTGACAACATATGTTACAAGGTTGTTTTAGCACGCCTTAAACATCCTAATCTGTAGTGAAATCCACAAAACGCCAGCCCAGGCTGGGAGTTTACCGTCTGTCAACACATGTGAGGCCACAGAGGTCACAGTCAGCCACTGTAATAGAGGATACTGTTACCTCCACCAGCATCAGCCCACACAGCAGTCAGCACAACAGATGGCCAGGAGGGACGAGAGGGGAAGACACACTGAAGGAGAAAGGCAGGGACAGCATCGTCATCTTTCCTTTGACATTTTCCCTGTAGTGTCTCTCTGTAAATCAGAAAAGACACGACTTTGTCAAAGTAGAAACCCTTTAGAAATCTTAAAAGATCAATGATTTGGTTTGTCTCCCAGGAGGGTTTCTACTACAATCAAATATACAAGAAAAGGTTAAAAAGACGAGCTTACTCCTCCTTTTGACTCTTGTGTTTCAGATCACTTTTGATTTGTCACAAAACATGTTACATGCAAGCTTTTGAGGAGTTAAGAGAAATACGAAAAGTTGCAAACTCAAATGTAGTAGAGTCACTTCATCAGTCAAGGCTTTGAAACAAGATTAATTGGATTCTATTTTTGCAATGAGACCGTAGGTACAAGGTTTTCTCCTGCTCCTGCACAGAAATGACATTTATCATAACATTTATCAGTCTCAGTGTGATTATCACAGCTCAAAATCATGATTGCCATGTTGCCTTTGGAAACCATTTTGAGAAATTGGCAAATATATATATTTTTTTACTTTTGATTGACATTAGTGACAATAGCTTATTAACATACTCGACAAAGGTCAAAACCAGCAAACTTTGCTGGAAAAAACATGTTCAGGGAAATTTTATTGATTTTTTTTAAATGAGCTGAAATAGCTAAAGGGACACTCAGCTCTCCTTATCCTTTAGTTTAGTCAGCATTGGCAAAGCAAAATAAGCTGAAAGAATACAGTTTAAAATTTTCAAACTTGATAACGTGACAAGCAAACGTAAGGTTTTTAGTGGCTACATAAAGCGCTGTGTTGCATATTCCTTAATAAGCTTTTAAAAGACTGCTTGGTATGCCTTTGAACCGTTGAATTGACCAGGAATAGAGATAAATTCCTCAGTTTTTCTCACCAAATTTTATCCAAGTCATTTCATAGTATTTAAGGGGCTGTGTACACTAACCCTTTTTTTATTAGTAATGCCAGTCCCCACAACTTTGTTTTCGGACTGCTTCTCTTTGGCCCTTACTGTTGCTCATGGTTGAGAAAGATGTGCCTTGGCATTTTCGCTTCCTTTAGTGGTTGTGACCATTAAGCCCATTTTAAAATGCTCTGTATGTGTCATATTTGTTTTCATCCATAGAAATGATAAGTAACCACAACTGAAATTGAAATTAGACCTGGATAGTATCTTCTCTGTAAGGACCTCCACTGTTGTTGACAAAATTGGTCCTGGCTTGCATTGATTCTGATTGGTCAGTAACCGAGAAGTGGCATAATGGTGGTGTCCCAAAAGCACAACAGTTTTCAGCTGAGAGAGTAGCAACTGAAATCAGCCGATGCTCAGGTGGGTCTGCACTAAATCAAGAATTAATCTAACACCACCATTCAGAACCTCCAACCAACATAATCTTACTTATGTGGCAATTACTTCAATTTAATGTAACTCTGTTAATACTTTTTAAAAGTTCTGTTAGTACTTTCCCCTCTGTGTGAGTTCACAAACTATTCCTTGTTTGGCTCCATGACTTCACCTTGTCCAGTCTGTGAAATAGAAGCAATATGGAGGAAAACTCAAGCACCAAACCAACTGAGCAAATTCAGCAACTTGTACCTCAGAAAAAATGTCATGTGTGTTGTTTTAACACATTTTTAGTGACAAGACTGAACACAAAGAAGTCAAATTAAAAGAGTATTGAAAAAAAGTTTAGTGTCACTTAAATTGAAGTTACCGAGTATGAAGAGTACATGGCTCAAAAGAAAAGACAGACTAGCGTGCAGCAACAAGTGTCTCAACACAGCAGCTGTCAATAACACACATCTACAAGCACTACACAATGACAAGGGTTCATCTATGATCCTATATGCCGATTTTTTTATTAGAAAAAGACACTATCCCAGCTTTGATAGTCGAGCAGTACCAACATTGTCGACAAACTATGGGGGGAAAAACAAAAGAATCATGTACCGATCAAATTGAGGTAAAGCATTCAGTTAATGGAGATATTTACTGAAGGTGTTATCACCTAGCACTACGTAGAGGGCATTTTTGCACTGAAAAGTTGAACATATTAAAATCTAGTGCCAAGACGCATCCTATACATCGATTCGAATGTGCTGTGTCTGTGTGCCTTTCTATGGCTTTTTATCTCAAAAACTGTTCATCTATAGCTCCTGATATCTCCACATCATCTAAGAAGAGAAATCATATATCACAATGGTCAGAAATAGTGTCTTGTGCTGTTTTTGAAATGTAATGCTCTTACTTGATGTATCTTGGCATGATTTTTTGATAGACATCGGTCTGAAAAATGGAGTGGCACACTCTGTCCTGTTTTCTCCGTTCTGTCATTCCCCTCGTCTGAATGCCTTTGGGAACAGTACCTGCCGTGCTGTATAGGTTAGACTGCTGTGGGGTTCATTGGGTGCAGTGCAGTGAGGCAGCCATCTTGGCTCAGTAGGTTCAGTGAGTTCAGTGTTGCTGGAGGCTGGCTGGCTGGCTGGATCAGGTGGCAGTGCCAGATCTCTGATATCAATCACCAGCCACCGCTGCTGCTGCTGCTGCTGCTGCTGCTGACTGTTGTGTCGCCCTTCCGCTCTTCTCTCCTCCTCCTCCTCTTCTTCCTCCTCCTCTTCAATCCTGCCTCTGCTGTAAAAGCGTGTCAACACAACTCACCCCTTTTATTGCACTTCACTCTCCCTTTTCCACTCCTCTGTCCATCCATGTATCCTTCTATCTCGCTGCTCTCCTCTTTTAATCCCCACCTTTTCTCGAACTCGCATCCATATACAGGACCATAGCAGACAGGCAGACAGTGCAGGCTTTGTTATGAATGGCGTCCTCTTGCACATCCGGAGGAAGTGTACGCTCCAGTGTGGCTTTACAAACTGTCTCCATTGTCCTCAGAATGACTCACTCTACACTGCAGAGAGTGGCAGTCAGCCAGACAGACAGATCGACAGCAGGACACAAACAGACAGACTAGTCTGCAGAGCCCACAGACAAACAGCACAGGAAAGACAGGCAGAGAGAGAGAGAGAGAGAAAGTTTGTGACAGAGGGAGACAACTTTCCTATATAGAAACGACCTGCAAACAGTGGGCCTAAATATCAAATGAATGACAAGGGTGAAACATACACACTAGCAGCAGAATGTTTGCACCCTTTTCTTGATGACTTTTTCTGAAGTTATGAATGAAGAATGAAGTTATTTACTGGTGAAGTGAGATATTAGTCCATTTAAGCTGAAATAGGAGCTTCATCAGGCAAAACGGTAGAAAAAAAAATGTTCTCTTGTCTGATGCCAAAGAAGAAAATCTTCTTGGACAACAAATATGGTCTATTAGAATCAAAACCTAAAAGTAAAGTGCTACACAATATTAAGGAGCAGTTAATTCAGGCAGAGGGTAGACTATGGACAGGCATCGAAACATATTGTGATGACATGTTGCTATGGAGATTTGGGAATAGAAATTTCATTAAGAATAAAACACATTTGTGTTCGTTGTTCATGCTGTTAGTAAAGTAATGTATGTAGCTTTAAACTTCAGCTTTCTCTTGAAATTCGATTCCTAACTTGAAATTTTAGTTAACTTGAATAAAACATGATGCATTCATCAACCTCCTACATCAAAAGGGTGGCTCTACTGTGCGTACTTCTTGTTTGTCAAAAGAAGAGCTCAGTGTGTTCTTGCAACCCATTATTCAGCTTCTTGTTATCCAGATCTCTTGCTGTGTATCTGCTCCGTGTAAAAAAAAAAAAAAAGCTACACACTTTGGGCCACCATCATCATCTTTACATTGTGTTTGTTGGCTCAGATTTCCAGCTCAGTAACTGTCTCCTTTAAACAGCCAAGTACAGAAACATGCTATGAAGTTTAGTCTATGATCTCAATAGCTTGCATCTGTGGACTCTGCAAAGTCAGTGAGTCAGTCAATAAGATCAGTGGTAAGAGGAAGCATTCTTGTAAAGGCCATTCAAAAAGAGAGATGGATTAATGGATGGGTGAGTGCATGAACTAATACAGAGTGAGGAAGGCTGGGAGAAATGAATAAGTGGATCAATGGAGTTCTGATAGCTGCAGAGGGAAAACTTGGGGAGAGGAAGTGAAGAGGCAATGGAGGAGAGGTTGCTAGGATATTGTATGAATCGTGGGTTTTTTGTGCGCCTCATTTTCTCACATTAGCTTCTTTTTCTCCTCCATTTTAATGAACTATCATGATGTTACTCACGAGTCCATGATCAAATTAGGGGGGTTTCTGCAGTGGTTATGAATCTGGAGTAGTTTTTTAAGTTTATGCCTAAATCTACACACAAATTTACTATTGATTTTAACAATTGTCAATAAAATAAAATGATTAAAAAAGGTGCTACTTTGGCCCTGCTGCTCTTCCACTTTGTACTGTTTTTACTCCCAGCTTTTACTTATCTTACCTAGTGTTCCACCCATTACGCTATCTAATGGGCTACACATCATACCAGTAGTGGCCAGCACTTAAGTCTGGGTGCCATTTAAATGCATGAAGACAAGAGCAGCTCGGAGCAGGAATAGACACCCTGGTTGAGTTAGCTAAGGTCTGAAGGCAAAGTAGCAGGTATCTCTGACGATAAAAAGATTTACAAAGAACCACACTATTCTTTCAAAAACAACACAACTCTGACAAGCCTGCCCAGTTTCCTAGTTACACCACAGAAGATGCCTAAATTATGACATTTGTTTAATGTCAGTGTGTTATGTACTGAATAAATGTTAGAAAACGGAGAAAGACTGATTTATCTGTCTGCCAATTAATGGCACTGTGCGACAATAGCCATCATATCAGCATTGGCCCTCACAAGGCTGATATCACAAAGGTCTGTTAGAAACACTTGGCCTACAAGGACAGCAAATCATATCAAAAGCAGTCACTGACCAGTGTTTTATTAAAATTTTGATATGATGTAAAGATGAAATTACCAGCTATGCTGGAAACTGACTGTGTAACCCAAGGTAGTAGACTTTTTACCAATTCATGAAAAAATTATCTTCTACCTAGCACTGGCTAAGATAAGCATGTACAGGGCATTTTAATGTGCTTGGGATAACGGAGTTAGACATCACTTTTTTTTATCAACTGCATATTTTTTTATTCCTTTATTATCGTAAGATAGAAATCCAAAATTCTCTTTTGGCAACATTTAACGGGCCAAATATTTTTCCCTCTTATTTATTTTAATAAAATATTCACTGAGGCTTAGCACTTTTTTCTTATAAAAAACAAAATTAAAAAAATTGTAAAAATTAGATAATGTCATTATACATCTTCCATCTTGACAATCTCCTCCCACTCTCTCATTGGTATGGACATCAGACATCGAAAAAACTTGTAATTTGTTGATCACTATCACAACTATGCTGACCAAAGCAATTCGAGTTCAAGCAAAAAGTTAAATCTGTGTTGAACTGTGTTAACCGGCAGATTAGGTCAGGGGGTAGAGTGAAGTCAAACATGTTGAGGTACTGTATCATGGGCAGGTTGAGTAAGGCTTTGGCCTGATTAGAGGAGGCAGGCTAGAGTGGGGGTTGGTTTGGCTGATTTAGGCCTACAGATTAGTGCCTTGTGGTTATTAGCAAGTGTAAGTGTTGGCTGCCGGGAGAAGGACCCTAGTTTGATCGGATAACATCACATATTTCGCAATCAGCATAAAATATTGAATTACAGGAGTTGAAATTTTTGAAGTTGTATAAAGCTTGTTCCAAACTGCTTTTGCTTTAGTATTTTTCACTTTATTGTTATGATAAAATACGAAGTCATTTGATTTTTAAGTAATAAAACATTACGTTTTATGGTATCTTTTTAGAAATGCATTTCAGAAGATGACAGGCATCAGATGCCAGCACATTAACAGAAGTGAACATTCCAGAAATAGTTCCTGATAAAGATCTGATAAATACAGACCTTTTCTTACAAGTTCATTGATTTCACTGACATTTTAGCTCGGAGTTATGATTGTGATGCCGACTTTATGGTTCTTGATACACAGTTAATTTAGCATGTTGATGCCAAATGTGCTGGAGTGGATGGAAAGAGTGAGCTTGGCCACAGCGTTGTGTTGATCTTTCTGTTTTTGGTGCAGGGAGAATAGTTTTGAACAAGAGCAATCACACTTGCACTGATTGAGGATTGTGAGCAACATGTGATTGTCAAGGGCAACTGGACAATCGTTGTGAAAATGTTGCTCCGAAAGTTAAATCTTTGATGTGTCCTTCTCCTCACTTTGTTGCTGCACAAACCTCTGTGTTGCCTAAGTTGTAAAACATGACTGACATCAATCCCAGAGAGCATCCTCTGTAACAGAAGGTTTTGTGACGACCATGAAGGCAGCAGCTGTGTGAGGCTGCTGCAGACTGATAGGACAGGCTGACTAGTATAATGTGAGCCAATGCCAGTAACTCTGTGCTTGCTTTTCTAAATTGTCCAGCAAAGGTAAACAAAAATTTAGCAATCCATTCACCAGTGTTAGGAAGTCTAGCTGTATGGGGAACAAAGGCAGCTCAAGCCTCTATTGTCCATACACTCACTGGTCACTTTATTAGGTACACCTGTTGACACATATGGCTAATCAGCAAATCACATGGCAGAAACTCAATGCATGAAAAGTGGTCACAACAACATGTTGAAGTTAAGAGCGAGCATCAGGACGGGGGAAAAAGGGGATTGAGGTGACTTTGGCATGGTTGAGGGTGCCAGACAGACTGGTCTGAGTGTTTCAGAAACTGCTGACGTGGTGATGCACAACCATCTCTTGGGTTTACAGAGAACGGGCCAAAAAAAGGGAAAATATCCAGTGTGCAGCAGTTGTGTGGATGTTAATGTTAAAGGTCAGAGGAGAATAGGCAGACTGGTTGGAGATGATAGAAGGGCAACAGTAAGTCAAATGACATGATAGGCAGTTTTATATTTTTGAAACGTAAAGGAGTAATGTATGTTAAAATCAGTATATGGCAATGCTCTTTTTTTATTACATTAAGCATCAACATCCCCATGTGTATTGAGAAAACCTCTTAATGTGTACAGAGCAGGCGTCACGTTGCTTTCACTGCTGTTTCCTGATGTTTTCTGAAGCAGCCCCTGACGACAGTGACCCCACTTAGCGCTGTAAAGAGCAATTATTCTTCCTGTCTTCAATTATGTTGTTAATATCCATCGAACACTGAAGTGTCAGTTCAGCTGTTAGCCCCCACCCCTCGTCACTCACACTCAGGGCTGAGGGGTGGGGTCAATACAGGCAGGCAGGCATCTGCTCATGCTCATACTGATCTGAGCAAGAGCGCTGATTTGTGCTGTCGGTTGGATGAAAGCTGTGAAGTTATCATATTTACTTACATATGGTGCTGGGTTAGGATTTCACTGTGGCAAAACTTGATGTTAAAATGCTACAAGTAACTTCAGTAATAAGTAATGAGGATTTGCATTTTTTTTTCAAATCAATCTGATACCAATACCTGATCCAATACCACTGTTGAATGAACTGTATGACTTGCCCTGTGAGTGAAGGCATCAGGCTTGAAATTAGCCTTGTTAAAAAAAGGTAACAAATTAACACAATTTACTTAGTTATTTATTAAAAAATAACAAATTGCAAATTAGCACACAGCGAAAAGAAGTGAGACTTCCTTGTATTGAAAGAAAAATTAATAAAAAAAAAAAAAAAGGAAAAAATAAAGAAGACGCTGGATCAGGGTCATTCATTCGATATCCGATCTAGTTAATTTTCCAATATCGGAGCTGATATCCGATCCAAATATCGGATCGGTGCATCCCTAGTTGCTACAGGTGTCACCTAGAAGTAAAAAAAAAAGGAAACACTTAAGTTTCTTTGAATTTTTCCCAGCAACCCTCTTAAAACATCTGGTAATTTTGGTGACAGTGAAAAGCAAATGTGTGCTGCTGCTGCTGCCGCCTAACGCAGGTTCTTCTTTTCTCCGTTAATGCTTCACTGAATAGTTGATCTGGGTGCTGATGTCATGTGGCCAGGTTAAAGGGACAGCCAGTCTATTTATATCCCCCCACCTGTAATCTGTCTCTCCTCAATAGGATTAACCAAGCCACTATAGCGTCAGCTTGCTGTGCTATACAGACACACTAAAAATATAAGCTGTGGACAAATATGGGCATTCAAAAGGTCTACAGTGTGTACAGTAGATGTACTAGGAAAGGAAGGATAAATATACATGTGTTGAACAAACCAAAAACCGAGACACTTTGTAGAACTATGAATCTGTTACAAGTGATTTGGCTTTCTTTTTTCTTTTATGCACATTTCATAGAGTTTCAGTGTAAAGATGCAGAGAGAAGAGACCAAACAGTGACAGACTTACTTCATCCACCCTCAGCCTCCTCCATCTCTTGTTGCCAATCTCCAGTCATTAATTAGCTGTTCATGACAAAATTCCCCATTCCCAATCTGACATGAGTGTAGAGCAGCGGACTGCAGTGGTAATCATGTCAGCGAAGCTTGGCTCAATGTTCTGAGGGGGCTAAATGTCCCCCATATGGTCCACTGGCTGGGGCCTGTACCTCACCAAGTTCTCATTAAACTAGTGCTTAATAGCAGCTAGGTAAAGAGGGAGACATACACACATACACACACACATACACAGCTGCAAGAAACAAATCAAGACATCTGACAGGGGATTGGGCACAAAAGGGACAGAGAAGGTGGTGTTTGTTAGTTTGTGTGCAAGTGGTGTGTATGTGTGTGCGTGTGTTTTGAGAGTCTGATGCTGTACAATTGTTGACTTGCCATCTGTCATCAAGAAAAGACTTCTATCTGTGCATGTTTGTGTGTAGACAGAGGAGAGATGAGAGGAAAAAGAAAGAAAGAAACAGTGAGTGAGGTGCAGATGTCTTGCAGCATAGATGCTGGAACATGAGGTTTAATGGCAGACTGTTGTATGAAAAGAGTTGGAGAGGGAGACCAGCAAAGAAAAGAGGACGTACATCTGCCATGTTCTGATATTGCTCTGGGGTTTGAGTGCTTCCGTGCAATATCTTGGGTTTGAATGGACCTGGGAAACAGCCTGCTCATTAAACATCTTGCAGGTCAAGATGAACAAGTTCAGACAGAATCAAAAATGTTCACATATACAGTAGATCAGTGTATTTTACAACTTTATACAGAATTTGAGATTTATTATCCTTTAAAATAGAAATGATAAAGCGTGAAGAAAATATTGATACCTCTTTATGTACTGATGCATTTCTTGCTGTATTGCATATATTCTCAAATTCAATTTACCAATTTATTACACTTGAGTTAAAAATATTTTTTCACTAATCTTGCAAACTTTACAACCTCAACTCCTAAACAATGAAAAATGTTTTTATGCTTTTGTGAAGCATTTTAAATTTGATTAAATTTTCATAGAGAAACAAGTTGATGTCTTTGCACTATTTTCAATTATATTTAGGGTTTCAATGACTTGAAACCCTTTAAAATCTGCTTAAAATCTTTGAAATGTGCCATCTACTTCATTCTTTGTGAAAATACATGTAAATCTGTCAGCAAAGACTCTTATAAAAATCCTTGAAACTAGTATTTTATACTGAAGTGTAAGGGGCTTTGTGCTTGCTTTGTTGAAAAGCAGAACATCACATAGTGTTCTTCATTCATGCTGTGTCAACAAGCAACCATTCTCCCTTAGCAAGTCAAGCCACAAGGTACAGTATTGCTCTGTACTTAAGCCTGAAGTCTTGTGTAGGGGGTCGGTGAAATTTCACCTGTTGGTTGTACAGAAAAAGTCAAAAGAATAGTCAAGAATAATGAGAAAAATTCTGCATAACGAATACAGCAAAATGAATTTTCACAAACCGTTTGACTTTCTTCTGTTTACCATTTGTTTTGTGCTGATTACGACATGACAACACATGCTGTCATCTTTTGTTTACTTTGGTGCCTGATGCTGGCCAGCTGAGGTGGACATGTCAAAAACAGCCTGTAGGAAAGACTGACGCAACAACATGACAAACACCAGCCCTGAGGAGAGGAGACAGAAGTGTTTTCCAACATGCACTGACATTTAGGGCTGTCTGTCATTTCAGAGTGTGACAGACAGGCACACAGCAGTCAACTATTGCAATCAGGAGATGATTTCTTTGGTTTAAACTATGCAGAAGTTCATGAAGTTAAAGTGGCCTCTCTCAACCAAAAACGATATTGTCAACAAAAGTTCAAAATTGCATTGCCTGCGTTAATAGACTATTTGCTTGAGACACAGCGAGGTTGTATTTGAGGTTTGTATTGAGGTTGCAGTTGGTGTTGCTAAGGGTGGCCCAATCACTTTTTCACACAGGGCCATGTAGGTTTAGATGTTTTTTCTCCCTTAATAATACAAACCATCATTTAAAAACTGCATTTTGTGTTCACTTGTGTTGTCTTTGACTAATATTTAAATTTGTTTGATGATCTGAAACATTTACTGTAAGTGTGACAAACATGCAAAAAAAAACCAAAAACAAATCAGGAAAGGGGCAAAAAACTTTTTCACACCACTGTTTTAGGGCTGGGACGATACACTTTTCTCCCAATTCGATTCTTCAATGATTTTTTTAGATGCCGATTCGATTTGAATGTGTTTCTACGATATTGTCTATTTTCACAATTTTTAGTCTACCAGTGAAATAGTTGAATGATTATGATTGTTTACTGACTATTCCAGAAACCATATGTCCCCAAAATATACACATCAAATGTAAGTCTGTTTTTAAGATTCATTTTTAAATTTGAAAGAAAATCAATTTTTGGACAAAAAATCGATTTAGAAATTGTAAAACAAAAAATTGCGATACTTGTGTGAATAGCTTTTTTCTCCCACCCCTACACTGTATATACTTTCCTTTCTGTCATAAATGTGTTACTCATCCAAGTACATATTTCAGTCACACTTCCAGCAGACCACATGCTGACTTCAGTCCAAGATAGACAGTGGTGTAAATCTGCATTTTATTAATTGGCCTTGCGTTCAACCTTTCTTTAAGTTTGTTTTAGTTAAGATAGTACAAAATAAAAAAAATGAATTAACTGCTCCAGGCATGCCTTATGTGAATGCAGACAGACAGGCAGATGGCCATACACACTTACCCAGGTGGAGAGACAGGTATAGACATAGACACACAGGACAGGATGGAGCAGGGAGCAGCAGTTAGTGAGGTTGAGAGCACTTACTGCTGGCCCTTCAGTGCAACACATGAATGAAACCTTGAGAATGAGGCAAGGCTGGGCTGGTGTGTGTGTGTGTGTGTGTGTGTGTGTGTGTGTGTGTGTGTGTGTGTGTGTGTGTGTGTGTGTGTGTGTGTGTGTGTGTGTGTGTGTGTGTGTGTGTGTGTGTGTGTGTGTGTGTGTGTGTGTGTGTGTGAATATGGGGGTTCTAGGGGCAGGGGTGCACTTGACAGTAGTTGGGGTATAGTGCTTGATTGTTTACTCTTGCCTGCTGGGCTGGGCTATTGTGCTTGAGAGTGTGTGCTTATGTGTGTGTTAGTAAGAGTACTGTGAGTAAGCATGTGCATGTGTTTAAATATACAGTCAGCCAGGAGAGACATACAGCACAATTCTCTCGGAAAGAGGTGGGGGGTTGGTGGGAGTTTAACAAAGGATCAGGAGGTGCGGTGGGGGTCTTATGTCGTCCACACCCACCCTCTCACATATACACTCAAAGACGCGCACACAAAAACAGATGCACACATAACACCAGCTGCTGCCCAGAGCCACAGCCCAACATATCTGAATCAATGATACAGAGCCAGCCACTCTGGAATAATAGTGACTTACACACACACATGCATTCACATTCACGCACAAAGCTTTGCACCTGTTCACTACTGCTCGACCGGCTAGTTAAGGTCCCCCTCACACACACACACACACACACCACACACACACACACGCACACACGCACACATGCACACTCTCCTTGATGCCTGCCTGTTGTAGGAGACAGACAGCTGTGTCTGTCTACTGGCCCTTTCCTTCTAGTTCTGATCAACAGCAATTCTTATTGACTGATAGTTGACCCTTTTAGTGGAGGAAAATCACGGTGACGTAGAATAAAAAAAACCCAATTTTTTTTAATAATAATAATAATGATAATGATAATGATAATGATAATGCATCAGATTTTTATAGCGCTTTTTGTCAGTGACCTCAAAGCGCTTTACATTGGATACATCATTCATTCGCTCACACACTCACACCTTGGTGGCCCTGGGGCAGACTGACGGAAACCAGGCACTCATGTGTTTGAAAAAAATAATAATATAATGGCATTGGTTGGCCTTTCTCTTGTTGCCATGTACTAAAAGACTAAACATTAACAGAGCTCAAAGCAACAAAAAAAATCTATTTCAGAACAGAGTTTTAAAAAACAACTGACTCAATACATGTCATTCCAACATAGGAAGACAGACTAAGCATTAGAGATGGGTGTACAAGAAAAAGGAATAATAATAATAATAATAATAATAACTACTTTATTTATCTGGCACTTTTCAAAACAGAGTTACAAAGTGCTTCACAGCAGAAAAACTGAGAAATCGAGGTAGAACATACAGCAGCAGACATCAATACAATAATGGTGTAGGTCTGTATGTTCAAATGTATCCTGTGAGGAAGAGTAATTGAGACAGGAGGAAAGAACGAGAAAGGATGTAAGTGCAGATGTGATTAATGGCTCTATGGTGTATCATGTTAATAGAAGGAGACAATCAGATATGACTGAGCTGTCTGTGTTTCATGCTCTGTCTCTGGCATAAGCCGCCCTGAGTTTCAGCATGCACCCTGATATATAAAGCATGATCAATGCCTCCACCTCCTCCCATTAGGGTTTATTAATGCAGCATGATTATGAGACATAATGTGGATCTGTGTTAATGTCTTTTTTCACTGTGATCAGACTCCAGGCTGTGGTTCAGTTATTGTAGGTCATAGATAAACCACAGAATCACAACCCCAGAAAATCAGGCTTTGGGTAAACAAACAAAAGTTTGATTTAAGTACATTAATTATCAGTCATTGTTTTATAATGTCAATGAAAGAGCATGGGGTTCAAAGTGGGAAAGTAGAGTCTAATCACAAGTGATCGCTAGGGACTCTGAAGACTGTTGCAGTGGATGAACAGCCTCTCTGAGTGTCTGTCGATAAACTTGCACGGGCTCTTTTCGCTCTCTCCATCTTCTCCCCTCTCTTCTCCTGGATCAAAAACACACTTGCGTAAGTTTCCCGAGAGAGAAACATTAGGAAATAGGGAGAGAAGCAAAACTTTGAAGTGGATTACATGTAGACAGCTTAAAACTTTATACTCAGTTCAGTTCATCAATAATTGTGATACAGAAATTGATCAGGAGGGGTGTGTGTGTGTATGATGGTTTACCATGACTTGGACCAGTAAGAATGCAGATGCTTATGTTCCGCCTGCATAAAAAACTAAATGCTTGATATTTTTTTGTCCTGGAATTTGATTCAAAGCAAAGATGATAAAGATTATATGTGAAGGATTTCAACAACCAGGTATGAAAAGATATACAACATTTGTATATGAAATCTATTATGCAAACACAGTGACATCCAAAGACGAAAACAGAGAAAGGCAGTATACCAGCAACCTAAGCATTGTTATTTGCCTGCTGATTGGCTGAATATGCCTTTTCTAATCACATTGATTGCACTGCACTCTCACCAGAAGCAGCATGGCACTCCTAATGTTGTTGGGTTTTAGAATGCAAAGCCTTTTTTGACCAGTTTGGCCCAGTTTGTATTTTACTTTTTTGACATGTTAAGTTTCCAAACTTCTCAGTTTTTGTGTTATTTATGCAATGTGGTGACTGAATTACATGTGTTTGTGGTTGGATGGATTTACGTGGATGTAGAGGATACAAACAATCTTTAACATGGAGTAAACTTGCACTGCTGGTGGCTCAGTGGTGGGCTTGGTTATTTCTCAATGTGAATAGTACTGGTGGCACTGGGCACTATAGCAACCTCTGCCATCACTATACGTATTCCAGTGTTTGAATAGGTGAATATGAAAATGTGTTAACGTGTTGTGTCTATGCGCTTTGAGTCCTCTTAGGACTAGAAAAAGGGTGTAGGTGCAATCCATTTAGATTAGCCAAGTCACCCCTCACTTAGTGGTTCATTGACTCTGCCAATTTGAGAATAAGAATAAGAAGAACTTAATTTATCCCCTGAGGGAAATTCAATTGTCTGTAGTCTCATTTGTCTTGTCTTCAAAAGTCATCTACTATTTACAGAAGAATAATAGTCTGATGGCTGGGGGTACAAAAGATTTTCTGAATCTTTCTGTCCTGATAGAGAGGAGCCGTCCACCACCATTGGCCTTTTATTTCATCAAGGTGTTATGAAGTGGTTGGTCCATGGTCTTTAGAGTAGTCTCCACCTTCTTCAGCATAGATCTCTCCACCACATCCTCCACTGAGTCCAACTTGAATCCAACCACAGAGCCAGCTTTTTTCATCAGTTTGTTCAGACGTCTTGCATCTTTGTGTTTGATACTTCCTTCCCAGCAGACTGCAGCGTAGAACAGAACACTGTAGACACCACAGACTGATAAAACATCTGCAGCATCTTAATACCGATGTTTGTTGATTGTAGACTTCTCAGGAAAAAAAAGTCTACTTTTTTTTGTCTGCCCCTTTCTGTAGATGAAGTCCACATTCTTAGACCAGTCCAACTCATTATCTAGGTGTAAACCTAGATATTTATACGATGTCACCACTTAGATGTCCACGCCTCAGGTGTTAATTGGTTTGGATCTGTGGAAGTCTATGATCTTTTCTTTTGTCTTTGAGGTGTTGAGGTGGAGGCAGTTTTTGTGACTCCAGTCACTGAAGGCTCTTATCAGATCTCTGTATTGAAGCGTCTTGTCCATTTCTGATACATGCCACGATAGCAGTGCCATCTGAGTATTTCTGAATGTGGCAGGACTCAGTGCTGTGAAGTCTTATGTATACAGTGTGAACAGGAATGGCACCAGCACTGTCCCTTGTGGAGCCCCTGTACTGCTCATTAATGTCCCAGAAACACGGTTCCCCAGCCTGACAAACTGTGGCCTTCCTGTCAGGTAATCTGTGATCCAAGAAACACAGGAAGGATCCACTCCCATCTCTGTGAGCCTGTCTTTGAGTATGGTAAACCCTGGGTTCCTCCAGATGAGACAGGGTACAGTGAAGCATGTAGAGGACAGTATCATCCACTTCAATGTGTTTTTGTATGCGAACTGCAGGGAATTGAGTCTGTCTTTGACCTCAGGCCTCAGTAAAATCAGCTGCTCCAGGGTTTTCATGATATATGAAGTGAGGGCCACTGATCTGTAGTTATTACAGACATTTGACCTTTAAGTTGATACATTTACAAAAGTCAAGTTAATTATATTTTTACTAGACAAAAATAACAATCCAAACATGTTTTACATACAGCCCACACAAAAAGACTAATAGAATGATTACCTGAGACAGTAAGCTGGAAGCCGCTATAGTTAAGTGACCTTCACCACCACCCACTTCATGTAGACGTCTGTGTCTACATATGTAAGAAGTGTATGTGTGTGGGGGTGGGGGAGGTGGCTGGGTAACTACAGCCTCCTGTCTGGCACAGGTGGTGTTGAGCAGTAGCTCTCTAGCTAAGATGCTAACACTGCACTAATCCCAGTGCGCTTTAGGAAGCAACAGACCCCGATTCCCCCTCAGCTGTAAATATGAACAAACACTGATGTGAAAACATGCAAACACGTACACTACACGATTTAAACAGACTGAATGTGCCCGAAATGCAAGGCACCATCCAAAAGTACACACAACTCTCAACAGCTGACACATACTGACTTGCCCCCCCTCACCCTTCCCTATACATACTGTATTTATGCACACACACACACACACACACACCAGTGCTGTGAGGGGGGATTAGGATGAGTGGCGTCGTGGCTGCTGTGTGTCTGACAGACAGTCACTCTCAAGCTTGGTGTCAGCATCATAGTCATGCCATCAAGCTCCAGGGAGCCACCACCATCTACTGGACTAAAGTGGTACTGCAGGACAGGGTTGCACTTAGAGAGAGAGAGCAATAAAAAAGATTTCAAGAGTGTAAAGGAAGTACAGTAGGTGTGTTGCTCGGATTGAGTCATGCAGTTTGCTAACAGTTCTTTGGATTTCACAGTTAATATGTTTGTATGTAAGTATGGACAGTATGCACATGTGCTTTTTTCTGCACCAGCTGAAACAGAGGGGCATCTGGCAGCATGTATGTGTGTGTGTTTTCGTGCATATGTGTGTGCGTGTGTGTGTGTAAGCACACCCACTATAGTCCACCAGGAGGCTGTGGCTGTGTGCAGCTGGCTGGATGAATCTCTCAGTGGCCCCAGAGGGATGGCCATACTCCCATGGGTTTCCACTCAATCTGGCTTTCTTGTGGCTACCCTGCCCTGTCCCAGCTCTCTGTTACTGTCAAGGCCATGCTCACATGTACACTGAGGCCTCTCACTCTCACTCCTGCTTACAGTGACAGTGCTCTTCTTCCCCTCGAATTTCTCTACAGCATTTTTTTTCTTGGCTGCTGCAGCCTTGATGTAGTTTCCCTCTGCAGCCATAGGCTTAAACAATTACTCTAGAACAAGACCCCGGTTATGCTCTATCTTTAAACTGTATTAACTCTTTATCCTTTTTATCCATTTGTTCAAGTCTTCTAACGCTATTTCTTAAGCGGCAAAAGGCTTACTAAACTTTGACCGATAGCACAACCAGGAAGTGGGCTTTGTCGTCAGTGGTGGTATATTTTAAGTAGTTGTGTGCACAACACCCACACATGTACACACACAAAGAGTAACACCAGTCCAGTCCCGATGTGGTAATGAGACTAATTCATGTAATTGGATTGGCTTGGGAGAGCCGGGATTCGTCTTAAGATGTCTGAGTAGACTGGAGTTAGAACTGCTGGGGTCGGGGTCACGCACACAACCGTATCCTTAGAAACACACATGCATCACATTATAGATAGCACTCCTTTGAAAAAGTACATCTTTATTCATCATCATTCACATTTTCTCTACACATTGTTTGAAATTGTAAAGAGTGACTGTAAATGCTGCTCTGCAAACACATCTTCTTGCCAGCCTGTGCTGCCATGGACAGACTCTGAGACAGATGTCTTCCTCAAGCGTCTTACCGCACCACTCCCCACTTTCTTAACCCCACTGCCCTCTCAGTCACACGCACTCACCCCCACCATTCCTTCACTTCCTTTGATTACTTACCTGATGTTTAGTTAATCCCCCTGTCCCCTCCTTCTCCTCCTCCTCCTCAACATGCATCACTTTTTTTTTTTTTACTCAAGTATCAGCTGCTTAATCTCACTCACTCAAAGCTAAGAAAATCCTCTCCCTGACTGTTGTGTCTGGCTGTTCGCTGACCTTCGTTTATAAGGAGATCAGCCGATGCAGCCAGTCGATTATTCCAGCTCAAACTCATGATTGCCTGCATCCTGCTTTTGTTGTAAGAGTCTTTACTCATGCTGCTGTGCATTTATTTATAGTTTAACAGATTTCTAGGGCAGATCTGCAAAATTTACTTTTAACTTTTACAGCTGAAATAATTTTGTCCACTATGAGCTTTCAACTATAGTTTGTTTTGTGTTGAATAATATGCTAATAATTGTGTTCATAAAATTTCAGACATGTAAAGACAGTTCTCAAAGCCAAAGGTGACATTACCTTGCATGTGTTTGCAGTACAAGCAGTACATGATTTACTTTTGGTAAAAGCAGAGAAAAGCAGCATATTGTTGGACAAAGAGACTGCAACCAGGTAATGTTTGGCATTCTTATATTTGATAACTATAAAACAATTAATCCATGATCAAAATTTTTGCTCATTATTACATAATCAAAGCTTTTCAGTGCCAATACATCATTTACTTTAGTTACAAACTCAAACATCAACCTGCATAATGAGAGAGAGAAGAAGAAGCAGCTCAAGGTACAAAGTCAGTTTGCTTGTTTCTATTTGGGTTGGGCAGCTAATCAGCAGGGCAAGCAGTCAAACAGCTTTTAGTGTCAGTATTAGTGATCTAAACTCGAGGCGTGTGTGTAGATGTTATATGTGTGTGTGTGTGTGTGTGTGGAGCGTGTGTGTGTGTTCTTACGTGGGCAGACGACACATTCATCTCCGTGCCTGTGAGCTGCTGTGTATGTATGTGCTGGAACGTGGCAGATTCTCCCCACCACCCTCTTCATTCGCTTTTTCCCCCATACCTCTGAGCTCCCCCCCCCACCCCACCGCCCACCTCCCCTCCAGCTCCCAGAGTGCCAGTCACACAGCCCCGTCACTGCGCCATCTGCATATCAGCTTCAGCCTCGGCCAAAGCATTAAATTAAATCCCTGTTTGGGTTGATTAACAAATGGCTGGTGAGCTCACATAGTTATGGAGTTATTTTTTAAATTGTCATTAAGGTTTTTTCCTGCGTTTCGTTCGTCTCGCTCTGTGCTGAAATGTGGCATCCGGCAAAGCAGAGGAGCAGAGGTGTGCTGGCATCCTCAAGAAGCGGGGCTGAGAGATAGGAGGAGGAGAGAGCGAGAAGTTTGTGCAAGTTTCTGTCTCGTTTCTCTTCTGAATACTTTCAGCCTTCCTATTCCTACATGTTTCGAATTTATCCGTCCTTTATTTCATTCTCTCATTTTCTCCCTTTTTTTCCCCCTCTGTCCTGAAATGAATGGTTAATCAGTCTGCTAATTGAGTGGCAGTTAGTTAGTGCGTTGTTGTAATTGTCCAATCAGAAAGCTTGGACCGGACACAGTCACAGCTGATTCATCTCTGTCTCTAACTGCATAATCCACAAGCTGCAACTGGAAGATGTGCCAATAAGATTTATTTCTTCTAGAAAATCCCAAAATAACTCTGAAAATAACCTCTAGTTTACTTTTTAGTCTGCTGTTGGTCGCTCTCACCCAAAAAGCACAGAGTAAGGTCTGGAGGGTTAGATGCTCCCTGCTTACATCAGCCTCATTCTCAAACTAAGAAAAAGTCCGGTGGGTGTTCTCAAATTAATTTACAGTTTTTTAAGTAATGAAAAACGTCAAACTAGAAGAAGCACTTTACAATAGCTGGATTAATCTTTGTTCTGTCAGTGTTTTGAAGAAATTTAGCCTAGAAGTTGGTTATCTTTTTTCCCTCTCAAAGTCCTCTTTACACTCATCTTTCAAGTCATCCGCATTGTCCCATTCTACTGATATCCTGTTGTTCTGATGAGAAACAACAGACTCCTGTTGTCTTAAGCACTGTGTAATGTAGTATTTACTAATTGGCCTTAAGGGAAAAGTAAAGTTGTGCAGAAAACTAAATGAAACTGAGTGAGGAGTCCGAGAGAGATGGTGTGGGAAGGAGACCGGCTGTTCTGTTTTCTCCAGCAGTCCAAACTAGAGACATGTGGCTCCCCAGACAAGCTGTCCAGAGTGGGAGAGCTCGCTGGACTCATTACAGGCAGGGCCAAGACGGGATAGCTTGACAGAACACCATTGGATCATTCGGAGGATTGGAACAGTCCAAACTGAATTGTGCTGGTGTGTGTGTGTGCGTGCGCGTGTGTCCGTGCCCATGCCTGTGTTTGTTTGGAACGGCATGTGTGGACAACTGTCCATCTCCTCTCTCCGTCTGTGCCACCCCTGGCTGCCCCCACCCCCGCCCCCCAGTGGACGTGTATATACACACACACACACACACAAACACACAAACACACACACGCACACAAACGGTCATGAACAGACACGTTCACACATATACACACTGTCTCGCCTGGCCAGAAGGATTGCTTAAATGTTTTCAGTTGTACTGGACAGCTGAGCGATGAAGTGGCCAGTCACAGGCTTCCATTGGTTGGACACTTCATCTAGAAACTGACTCAGAGAAATGACTGGACTTGGACCAGCAATCCAGTCATCACTGCCAGTTTATAATAGTTTTATCAGTTAAACTTTCTGTTTTTACTCATCCAATTTGTCAGTCAATACATCTCCTTCTCTCATCCACTGGGAAGGTAACTCGACGATGATGATGATCAGTTTTTTATTGTTGTTTTGGTATAGTTACCTACAGGTACTAAAATTGATTACAGTAACAGCTGCATAGCACTTAAAAAAACAAGTTCACCAACATCACAAACTAAAGCTTGAAAGTTTTTTAAAAAGTTGAGCCATGATATTTGTAGATCAGTAACATCTACTCTTCAAATCTCAACACAAATCTACTCTCAGTTCGAAATGATAAAGGGATAAAGAGACTTTACCGTCTGTCTTCAAACATATTTTGCTTTGCCTTTTCCTCTGTCCATCCTCCCATCCCTCCAATTCAGCCCCTTTCACAGCCTCCTGTTTACGTGTAGCAAGTCTTGTGAAGAAGATGCTTTGTTTCTGAAAGAACAGAAGAAGGGAACGGGAGCGGAGGGGAGAGTGGGCGGATTTGTTATAAGAGGGAAAATAGAGACTGATAGAGGAAAGGTGTGATCTGGCAATCCTTATGACGCACCGGCACCCAACAGCTTTTTCATATCTGTCTATCTGTGTCTCCCTCTGTCCCTGTGTGGTGGTTTGAATCAGCTGCTACCGCCCCCCTCCTCCGAACCCACAACACACCATAGACACACACACCTCCACTACCAGCACCACCCAGAGGTACCGGCAGGCCCCGCAGTCGCACGGTCCCTTCGGCGGAGCAGGTGTTTTTCTGCGACGTGTTAACGAGCACGGCCTGCTGTCATTTCCGCTTTAGATGGATGTCACAAATAGAACACACACACACATAACACACACACTGCCTATCCTCCTCTCCCAGCAAATTAGCCCAAGAAAGGTGATCAGAGCTGTTATCGAGCTTTGTGAGTTCATGTTGAAGTGGATTGTGTGTGCACATTTACATTTTTGTTTAATAGTCTTTACAAGGTGTGCACGTGTGTGCACGTCGAGGAGCGGCTGGTTAATTAAAAGAGGTTGAGATGTAGAGCACATTTGTGCCCTTCTGGGGTTCTTGTTTCAGTCAAATGAGAAAGTAAAATGTTTACACACAGACTTTGGAAAGTTTCTCTCCTAAGTGCTGTGTGTCTCAGTGTTGCTTTTTGTACTCTTTGTACCCTCCATACCATGTGTGAGTCTGCATGCATGTGTCCTTTAATCCATCAGTGTGTCTGTGATGTTTCCAGTAAGTGTTATCCGCCTCTGTGGTGTGGAAATGTTTGACACTCATGTAATCCTGCAGCGGGTCATCTGATAAAGCTGCGGTGCCACCTTAGTGCCAGTCTGTGCCAGCCAGTTGGGTAATACTCTGCCACCAGCTGCTCAGCAGATGTTGTTATTTGTTGCCGTGGTGTAAGACGTGTCATGCTCCATGTGTAATCTTATCTTATCTCGTGTCATCTCCTCTCATCTCATCATATCTCATCCCTTCTCTTCCTTTTTTTTCCTTGCAACCAGTGGTTTGTGTGCCTGTCTACGTGTGCTTGTGTGTGTTTGGTGGAGGGGTCATCACCTCGACACCTGTCCATGTATCAGCCAGATGATGTTTCTGGCAGGGACAGTTTGGTTGTTGTGCTGGTAAACATGTTTTTCTCAATTTTTACATGATAATCCGATCTGAATCTGGCAAAGACTGTGGGAGTCACTGAGCTGCTGGATGTGTGTACATGTGTGTCTGTGTAAACACTCCATTGTGTACTACATGTGTGTGATACACTCTGGACAAATGAGCAGACAGGCTCTTATCTATCGAGGGAATAAAATCTGTATTTAATGTCATCATCATTACTGATAATAATACTTTCTATCATCATAATCACAATTACACTGAGTGCACTACCGCCCTCAGCGTCACCATTACTGGTGTGCTGATTATTTTTATTCAGTCGTATCTCTATCCATTGTCTGTTTAAACATGTTTAACTTAATTTTGCCTCTTTGTCTTTTTGTTCACTTTTTTTTCAGGTGAATACATAAAGAACTGGCGACCGCGTTACTTCCTGTTGAAGACAGACGGCTCTTTCATCGGCTACAAAGAGAAACCTCAGGACGCAGACCTGCCCTACCCCCTAAATAACTTCTCTGTAGCAAGTATGTTACCTACTTTACTCGTATGCAAATCCTATTGCACCTGTATCTCTTTCTTGTGCACACACAGAACAAAATTAGTGGCAAAAATACATTCGACTTGTCCCATTTATAGCTTTTAAATTCTTTTAGATTCTCCATGTTACTTGTTCAGAGAATCATTATGTTTTGGATTAACTGTTGTTGTCTAAGTCAAGGACTGTATGGTTTATCCTTCATTTTGCTGTCCATGCAGGGCTGTAAAAGTAAATAAATAAATGACAAATAACATCTAAGATTCAGCGTGTGACAAAATATCAATACAGCGATGTTGTCCTGGCTACAGTTTTTGTTTAACCAGCTCTAAATATTAATATGTGAATCTGTTGATAATATGGCACTTCAAACAGGCTTCCTCTCCAATTTGACTCATCTTGTTGTCACTTTTTCACGAGTCCTGTGGTATAGTAGCGGCAGGAAACTGGTCTAATGTGATGTTGTCATCACAGACAATGTTTTAGGTAAAACATCACATCATGTATTTTATTATGAGTTCATCCTGCAATCTACATCCCTGGTAAAGATATACATACGGTAAATTGATCGGCATTTTTTTACTGTCAATGCAAAAGACTTTTTTTTTGTAAGGTCTTATTATGGTGCTTATGTGCTGAGGTGTTTTTTACTGATCCCACACTACCTTCCATATGAGAAGAGTTTGGAGTTGTCTTTTTTTCCCCCATCTAAGAAAACAGGGCGCCGCCCTTGTGGCGATCCGTCAGTTCCTCCCGCTCCTGTCCCCCCTGTATGTGTTTGTCTCTTTTCTGTTTTCTTGAAAGGGTCTTTCTTGCTCTGTACTCGTGACATGTGCGATGACAATAATCAAATCTGAGTCTGAATCTGACCTCTGTTGAGTAAAGCAGCTGCTGAAATGTTCATGCAGCGTCATCACAGGGAGCCATAGTCGATGTACAACAGTTTTTTTGCTTTGTGTTATGATGTGTCAAAGCATCATGTCAGTTATCAGTCCTCACACTAGGACTCTAATTAACCATTTATCAGAATATCATTTGTCAGCACCTGGTTAACAAGCTCCATAGTGTCATTGACAAGTGTAATTAACCAGCTAATGAGTTAACAGGATTAATTTCAATGTGCCTTGGTCTCATTACCACCACCATCACCTCTCATTGTTCATTCATAAATGCAGACTGGCAGCTAAACTCTACCTCTGCTTTCAAGTCGTTTAAGCTTTTAAATCTAAATGATGCGCACCCTTTAACAAGTGTCACATAACTTTTTACGTCCACACAATCTGCTTTACATTAAGGCTGACCAAACCTTAAGTTTTAAAGTCACAGAGTCTGTTTTTTTCCAGCTTTACACTTCAGGCAGAGTCAACACAGTACTATTGAATTCTCTGATATCTGAAGCAATTCTTAAAGGAACATTTATATGTTAAAAAGTTCAGTTCTCTCAGGGAACCTAGCCTAGCAGTCTTAGCATGCCCCACATTCGCAGGCAGATTTAGTACAACCCTGTGGCCCCATTCCTGCATGTTACTCCCTGCTTTCTTCTCTGCTCTCTGCTCTGTCTTCTCACTTGGCCTCTGCTCACAAAGGCCAGAAAAACACCAAAATAAATCTTTTTAAAAGTCATTTTTTTTCACCAGACCCCCTTGCTGTACTTAGCACACTAATGAAGACATAATAATCAGTTATTAGATTTAGAAATTCATAACTCATATTTTTTTTAAATACTGGTACATCTAAAATGTAGTATTGCTGTTGTCATGCTCACTGTAGAACCTTAAGGCTTAATTTCAAGATCATTTGAATGATATAATAGCAATAATATTTGAAAGTGCATTAATGTAGATACGTTACCAACTTCCTGAATCCACAAATAAGCGCCGAAAGCCAAACAAAGCTGAACTAAAGGGTATATACAGTAATCAATAACTTTAAAGTTTAACTATTCATATTATCAGTATGATCAGGAGGGCAAGGGTGAAAACAGTTTTCCGTACAGTAATAATTTTTTAGTAAATAAAACTACATACCTGTATTAATAATGAAACTTAATCATAAATGTATTATATTTTATGTATGATATAAATTATAAAATGCCATATATGTACAACAGCAGCCTTTATAAATTGAGATTCCTATAAGTTAAAAAAAAATCAAAATCAGTATCCACACAGGTGCAAGGTTAGTTGAATAAACCAAGAGAATATCCAGCATATATTCAGCATATACAGCAGTAGAGCGCTTTAATAAACAGTTGGATGTTGATGAGTTGTGTATGTGTACGCTGTTACATGCCGATCAGTGTCATCTACTGAATGTGATCTAATAGGTGCTAAGCTGGTGTTCATATCTTGGCACAAGGCCTAATGCAGATGGTTAAAACTGTAATACTGTGCATGCTCTTACATGTGGATGGACCATGTATTGTTTGTGTAATTAACATGTAACTAAAAGACTCAAGAGAAATAAGAGGTATAGGTGAGCATACATAGAATCTTTTCGCAGTTTTAAATCAAATGGCTTTGAGTAAAATCTGCAAAAAGAGGCTGTGAGGGTCGGTGAAGGAGGGGGTGATAAAAAAGAAATAATTGTAGAATCCAGAGAAAACATTCAAGTATGGGAAGGAGGAGAAAGAAATACAGGGTTGCAGAAGGAGGACAAGAATGGGAGGATGAGCAATGAGAGTCAAACAGAGGGGCAGAGGAAAAAACTAAAAATGAAGAGAGGCGACAGAGATGGAAGGATGATTACGGCAGAGAGAAACAGATGAGAGATGGGGAGAGGGATTGAGAGTGAGGCTTTCATGGAAGGGAGGGGTAGAAATGATGGAGGATGAGGGAGGAGAGGAGGATCATCATCAGCGAACAGATAGGGAGGAGGAGATGAAGACTGGATTGGAGAATGAGGAAAAAAGAGGGGAGAGGAAAAGAGTTTGTGAAGAGGACAAGCCAGGCCATACATCCGGCCCCGGCTGCTTGGCACAGCACTGGCACTGCCACATCTGTTGCCCAAAGCTGGGAGTCCAGGTGGCGTGTGTGTCTACGTGTGTGTGTGTTTGTGTGTATACTCCTATGTGTGTTTGTTTATGTGTGCGTGTGTGCGATTGTGTCTGTGTTTATGTGTGTGTGAACAACAAAAGTGGTCAGATGGAACAGAGATGGTACAGGCCTGTTCCCTGCAGAGGGACTCATACATACAAGCCTGTCGCTCACAAACACACACACACAGACGCACACACACTGATGCATGAACTCACACACACCCTCTCAATGGCCACACAGACTTCACAATTGCCTGCTGTGGCAAACAAGCCAATTTGAGCTAACATTTAAACTTCAATATCACTTGTGTGTGTGTGTGGATGTGTTTGAGTGTGTCCGTGGGTGGGTGCAAGTTGGGATTTTTTGGCATCAACAATAGCATGACCTTGTGTCTGGCAGCACAGCAGGCCATGTTCGCCAGTCAGGTAGTAACTTCCTAGTGTGTGTGTGTGTTAGAGTGTGCGTTTGAATATACATTAAAAGTCTGCTGTGCGTACGACCTGAGCTGTGTTGTCATTAACCTTCCTGTCTATATTTAGGCCGAGCCGTGACGTGCTGTGCTGTGCCACACTTAAAAAGAAAGCGATTGGAAGATGGGATAGGCTGAGGACGACAGGAGGGAATGGGGAGAGGAGGAGAGCAGAGGACAGGCGAGGGTGAGGAGAGAGAGGCAGAAGACAACAGGAAGAAAACAGAAGAGAGGGTGATGTATGTAGAACAAAGGAGAAAAAGGCGAGGTGAGGGGTCAGAAGATGGATCATTATGTTGTTGTTCAGCAGCACTTGTCCCCAATAAGCAGAGACACTGCTGAGGGACAATGAGGATGCATTCCTTCCCACAGTGATCTTACAGCCCCATCTGGCTATGTGTGCGTACGTTTCTGCGTTTGTGTACTGTATTATGCATTTGTGTAATAATGGCCTACCGCACCACCCAATTCCACAGAAATGTGTCTCTTCAGATTTTCACCAGATGCGTATGTGTTGCAACACATAATTTCCTTTGGCACAGGAAAGCACCTTTTTATTTTGAAGCACCAGTTCTTGAAGTTATTGATTTCACTTTAGTTTTTCTTTTTTTTTTCTGCAAAAAATCTTTGTCATCTGAGGAAGTTGCTATTATAGACACTGTTCATTTCTGTAAATCTCAGAGAGCTTGACAGTGAAAAACTGCAATGATCACTCAGTATATTGCCATCTATTACCCTCCCTGCTGTTCCACTAATCTTTTATCAAGGGAACCAGAGTCTTAAATTAGATTTCTCTTAATTTTAGGCTTTTCTTCTTTCTTTACTCAACTTTGATAGTGATCTATAGATCTTTGGCATGTTGAAAAAACAAGACCGTAGACTTTCTTGGGCTTTAAGAAACATTGAGCATGACAACAGTTGTCATTTTCAGACCTAAAATAAGCACATGAAATATTAGGACCTTGAAGAACAAACCGTACTCCGAGTACATTTAAGACCTTTTAGCACTCCAGATTTATGTTTCCTTTCTTACTTGTCGATCTATGTAAGAAAGCAGAAACACTGATTCGACTTTATTTGAAAAAGAAAAAATGGAATTGATCCTTTGGCTGCAATTTCCAGAATGTCAGCTGATGAAGACGGAGAGGCCGAAGCCAAACACCTTCATCATACGTTGCCTCCAGTGGACCACCGTCATTGAAAGAACCTTCCATGTGGACTCGCCTGATGAAAGGTCAGTGCTCCAAAGACTCTAAGTATTTCCACAGTTGACAATGGTTAGTGAACAGTGAGGATGTCCAGTGAAGAGTCCCTCTCTGTCTGTCTACTGTAAGGTATAAAGGTGTAGATAATAAGAAGTGGATGACTAAAATTAAAAGGCTACTATTGTTGCTCAACTAAAATGGGAAATGTTTATATAGTGCTTTCTCTCGACTTTTTACCACTCAAAGTACTTTCAAAGTACATTCATACACTGCTGGCAGAGGCTGCTATAAAACCCATCAGTTTTGGACTAATTCCATTCACACTATACTGGGCGCAGTCAACAGGAAGTGTGGGGTCAAGTGTCTTGCCCAAGGACCATTCAGCATTTGTGGACAGCCCTGTAGTCAAACCCCCAAACCTTCAGATTGGGAGGCGACTAACTTCTCAACTGAGCGAAAGCACCCCCTTGAATAAGACTTTTATTTTTTCTAAGAAATAGCATTTTTTACAATACAATGTTGAGCGTAAGAAGCTTTAGTTTTTTTGACCGCAGGCTGGCGGTTGGTTTTTGTGTTTGATGTCTTGGTTTATGGCGCAAAGAATAAATGGATTGATCTATCCAAATGAATTTTTTTTTGCGAACTGAAGTTTTACTGTTTAAATGTAGTAGAACAAGTAAATGGACACTCAGTGGACAAACAGAAACATCTAGCTGAGGCCACGAGTGCATAAAAGGTGTGTCACCAACAATCTTCTCACAAAAGTGAAAAAAAAAAACTTTTCATGGGCAGACAGTGTCCTAGAACTTTTTACGTGTAGAATTTCTCGAACATCAGCAGTCGGATCAACATTTCACATTCTTAAAGCCAGAAAAAGCATATAAATGCTTTTTCAATCTTGGAGGGGGCACTCTATTGCTGATGTTGTTAGAATTAATATCTTGTATTGTTGTGAGACAAATACTGAAAGATTATGCTAAAGCGTAAAATTTGCAAGCCTTAAAACACCCTGAAAGTAGGCTTTGAATATGCAGTACACAAAAAGAGAGACTATGCAGACATATATAGAAATCATTTAGGTGAAAGGTTTATCAAGGGCACATGCATGTGTGAAGAGGTTTGTACTGTAAATAGTCAGTGTTTTTTTTTCTTTTTTTGTGTATGTGTGTGTGTCTGGTGTGTATGTTTGAGGGAAAGAGAGAGGGCGAGAGAGACAGAGTGGAAAGGAGACCTTTCAAGTAGCGTTGGCATAAATTCTCCAGCTGCTCAGTTCCTTTCTGAGGAGCTGAGGTGTTTATCTCCAGAAAATGAACAGCTTTGCCCAGAAGACCACAGATGCTTCTGTGCATCCTTTGAGTTTGTGTTTTTAATGTGTGTGAGTGCTGCAGCTGTCCGTCCAACTTTGTCTTTGTTATATATTGCTTTATAATAGTTTTGCCTCCAGATGACAAAACATTACAGCGTTATTATTCGGCTAATAACTTTTGTACGGATTATTTAATGTGTTTTATACGACATATAGATCTACAGTTGGAGCTCCTTACATTCCAGATGTGTTAGCGCCGGCTGTGTGTGTGAATCGCTGAAGTTTAAATTTGCTTCAAAAGAAGTATGTGTGGCCACAACTGGGTGTCTGTGTGTGGTTGTGTGTTACTGTATCTGTTGTACTGTACCAGAACTGGCAAAGCTCCAGCAACCACAATCCCAGCCGTGAGCTGGGAGGGTGGCACGTGTTGGCAAGGCGCCCGACTGTAGGCAGGCCCATTATCTCTCATTAGCAAAAAAAAAAAAAAAAAAAAAAAACTCATTATACAAAAACACTCAAACCAGGAGAGAGAGCATTTATCTGCTGCCTGACCTTGAGAGAGTTCCCATAGCTTTTCATGTAGCTACACGCACACACACGCATCATGGGTGCCACAAATTGAGTGCTCCATTGTTGTGTGAGGAGTGTAACTTGAGTTTGCCCTTGTTTTGCAGTGTGTAGGGTACACTCAGAAGTCTTTGCAGTAGAAAGGGATTCAGATCTTAAAAACACAAACACACACTGCTCTGTTTAAGTTCAGATGGATGTTCTCCCAGATCCCTCAAGGAAACATATGGGCATCTAACTCAAAACAAAACAAAAGACACAAGGGTGATCGTTTGGGAGTCAAACAGGTTTCATTATTATGATCTCCTCACAGCTTACACTGGGTAAGTGTATTTGAAAGAGAGCACCCCTAAATCCCAACTCGCTTCTCCAGAGTCTCGGGGATTTCTGATTATTTGAATATCATCTTCGGTTCACCTCAGTTCAAGCACTGCAGTCCTATGCTAACATGTAACCCTTGCATGTAGCACAGGATAAACACTGTTTGAGGGAAGATCAGTGGGAAACAAAATCAAAAGAGAACTCCTCCTGAGCCCAGTTCAGACTTCAGGAAACAAGATTTTCATTTTGTGTTAAAAATCTGAACTTTTTAGAAAAACACAGTTAAAGATGTCTTTATGCAGGCTTCAGAAGATCTGCAATTTCAGGACTGATTGACTTTTAGATACATCTAAAACTTCTGTTTTGGCCTCACTTACTCTGAGTCTTTTTTGCAGGAGGATGTTTGGTCCTGTGTTTAAACTATTATATTCATCATCATTAAGTGCAGTTAACATGTCTACACATCCTGATGTAAAGATGGCGTTCTGCTACACATGATGACCACACACACACACACACACACACACACACACACACACACACACTTTCACACAGATTTCTCTCAACAGATGTTGAACAACACCGCTAATGGAGAGTCAATGGAGAGGAACAATGTTAGCAAACAACAATGCATTGTTCCCTCTAATACATGTGTGTGTGTGTGTGTGTGTGTGTGTGTGTGTGTGTGTGTGTGTGTGTGTGTGTGTGTGTGTTTATGCACACACTTACTCATCCTCTCACACATACACACAGACACTTCACACACTCTCCCTGTAACACAAGCACAGACTGGTAGGCATTAGTTCTGCCCCATGATCATTGCTCATTTGCTTGATTCTCTAGTTGACCATGTTTCCTCTCTGTTAAGCAAAAAGGTGTTTATGTTAATTGAAAACATTTTAGCACCTTTAAAAACCTAGAATAAGTGAACCGGCCATCCTATGGGGCAATCTACAATAAAATCTGATAATTGTACAAAGAGTTTCTATTTGGGCTGGTTCAAAATATGAACTGTATGATTGGGGAAGCATTTTGGTCAGACCAGAACTAGAAAGAACAGAGGCCATGACAAAATCCACAGTACCAGGAGCAGCTGCACATTTTTTAAATTTCCTTTTAGTAATGATCAATTTCTGTTTTCCACTGTACCATGATGGTGTTGATTCATGTGGTTAAAAGCAGACATTACATTTAATTTCTTTTGTCTTAGTAAATTAAAAGCAAACATTAGCTAATGGTTAGTGTTCTTGCCTGAAAAGAAACTGAAATGATCGATCAGCTGTTCAAATGGATGCGCATTGATTTTCAGTCAAAAGACTGTGTTACATGATGTAAATGTTTCTTTATTAGAAGTGGGGTCTTTTTTTTTGCTTAGTTTTTCCCTGTTGTGTGTTGTCAACTCAGAGATGAGTGGACAGAGGCCATACAGATGGTGGCTGACAAGCTGCAGAGACAAGAGGAGGAAAGGATTCAGTGCAGCCCCACCTCCAACATCGATAACATGGTTGAAGAGGAAATGGACATCTCCACCACCCACCACAAACGCAAGGTAGTACACAGCAACATACACTCGCATGATCATTTCACAGGTACTCTTAACACACTGAAAGCTCACAACATGACACTTTGCAGCTGTTGGTTTTCATGTAAAGAGTGATGATTACCTTTTGGCTGCTTGACTTTAAAAGAGTCTTCAGTCAGTGTGGAACTACAGGGGTAAAAAAGCTCTGATATGAAAAGTATTGTGGAAACATAACATTGGTCACACCAAGTTCAGTGTAAACTACATCTTAAATAAACAACCCAAAGGACACCACAAAGGACACCGCAGGCTCCCACAGTTCATGAGGGAGATGAGGTTCTAAACCAAAAGCTGATATGGGCAGTCATAAAAGCCGGTATAGCTGTCTAATGCTGCATTCGAGTTACCTCGGAAGTCAGGGTTCAGAGCTGGGCATGACATCACACCCAAGTTACCAGCGTAAGTCAGAAGAAAGCAAAATCGGAGGCAGAAACAAGATGGCTACATCTACAAAAGTTATTTTAGCGCTTGCCCTGTCGGAATATAAGCAAGGACAAGGCAAGCGCTGAAATAAATTTCTTAGATGTAGCCATCTTGTTTTCGCTTCCAATTTAGCTTTTTTCCGACTTGGTTACTGAAATGCTGGTGACTCAGGTGTGACGTCATTCCCAGCTTGGACATCTGACTTCTGAGGTAACTTGAACGCAGCAATACATCATTCACTCAATAAGGTACTTATTTCAATGGGACTGTTGCATGTTTTTAACTGTTTTATATTGAGATACTTATGTGGCTGTTCAAAATGTAAGACACTGCATATGTCAAATACAAAACAGAAAATAAAAATGTCCTTAATCTGAGGTTTTATATCAGCAATAGTATTGAAACATTTCAATGAACACAGAGCTCTACAGAAGTGGTACAAGGCTCTAGCATAGCATCTATTTATATGGGAGCATGGATGAATCTTTAGCATTAATCCCCTCTGTCTCTTTAAAGACAATGAGTGACTTCGATTACCTGAAACTGCTTGGAAAGGGGACTTTTGGAAAAGTGATCCTTGTCCGAGAAAAGGCAAGTGGGAAGTACTACGCTATGAAAATCCTCAAAAAAGAAGTTATAATCGCCAAGGTGAGTAAATGACTGTTCTTTGTTTCGTCAACCTTGATATCAATGTTTTTGATTTTCTTGAATACTTTGATTTTTAAGTATGTGTCCTTAGATATAAAATGATCAAATGCATGTCATGAAGTGTTCTTCAGCAGCCGTCTCAGGTAGGTGTTTAAATAAAAATGTTTTTATTCCCTGTATGCAGGATGAAGTGGCTCACACACTCACAGAGAGCAGAGTACTTAAAAACACCAGACACCCCTTTCTTACTGTAAGTACCTCATGTGCACAGAACACATACAGGTTTAAATTTAGACGTGTGTGTGTGCAAATGGACGGACATCTGCAGAAGTGTCACAAACATACACACATACACACCGGCACACAACATATTGATCCTTTACATATCTGAGTCTCTGGAGGCTAATTATGAGTGAGGAACCATATTGTTGTACATTAACGGCTGCATCTGTTTGCCATACATTCAGCCTTTGATGTAAACATCTACACCTTAGCAGCTACTCATATTTACCACATACTGTTCACACACACACACACTCACACACTGTTTTGAGAGCAATTCCATCTCACATTTGAGTTTACCCCTGCCGCACCTGCAGCCACAAAGAGATACGAGCAACTGTTCTTTTGTTCGGCAGCTCTCTCCCCCCAAAGAAAACACACACAAACCTACTTGCTTTGAATGAGAAAATAGAGACATAAACTGTTTAAAGCTATTATTAATCGCCAAATATTGGTCCCACCGTTAAAGCTAAATTCAGACCAGACCTCCGGTTACATGCAAAATGGTTCACTCATTGTCTTCTCTGTCTTTGTGCGGTAAGTGCATGTTGGAGACAGGTGCTGTATCACTTATTTGCGTGAGAAACACTTTAAATGCAAGTTATTACTGTGTGCAACTCTGTATGTCTCTACTGTTCCCAAAATAACACAGTAAACTATTGTGAGAGTAAATATGCCCAGGTAGTTAGCATTGTCTGGTATCAATCACGTTGCACTCTGGGATAAATCTAGATCACACTGTACTCGAAGATGAAATATATGTGACTATATGACAATGGCAAGTTAACCCTCCAACAGAATGACACAAAAGAAAAACACTAGACTGTAAAGTGGATGAAACTGGCAAGACACACAAATAAACTGTGTCTTTGTGTGTGTGTGTGTGTGTGTGTGTGTGTGTGTGTGTGTGTGTGTGTGTGTGTGTGGTTTTTGTTACAGTCACTGAAGTATTCATTCCAAACTAAAGACCGCCTGTGTTTTGTCATGGAGTATGTGAATGGAGGAGAGGTAAGGTACACACACACACACACACACATATACATAGCACACATATACATAAATACGTCTTTGTTGCACTGCTTTAGACCTCTCTATCTGATCGGCCCTCTATTTTCGATGCTCAGTCATTGGATTGAATTGGTACAGATCTTGGTTTCGACACACACCTACAAGATATTGGCCAAGCTTGTTTTTTATCATCTCAAATAAATTTCCAAAATAAGATAACTCCTGTCTCCCACTGATTTGCACAAAAATATCTTTTCTATTTCTCTCGTTTATATTATTGTGATGCACTTTATATCAGACAGCATCACTCAGAGGTCCGTCCAAAGACTACAGCTATAGTTCATTCTCCGGCTGGAACTTTAACACGCAGACACCCTCAAAATCACTAATTCACTCCTGTCCTTACCACCTTTTGTTTGTTATACGGTTTTTATTGATTACTTTAAAAGCTTTAAATGAACTTGCCCAGGAAAACATTAGAGAAGTCTTGATCCCCCATGTGCCAAAGCGTCTCCTCAAAGCCAAAGAAGGCAGTCAAGGCCTTCAGACTGCAAATCACAATAAGTCTGTTTTAGAACAGCTTCAATTAATTCTTGAATTCAAAGCTGTTTTTATTTGACCCCTTTATTATGACATCTTTCATAACTGAGCTTTTTCTGCTTTTCCTGTATTATTTGTGAAGCACTTTGTGAATTCATATAGAAAAGTGCTTTGCAAAGAAAGTTTAATTTTTTTCAAGGCTATCCCAAGCTTTGAAAATACATCCAGTACAGAAAGATGCCAGAATAAAACAAAGCTTAATCTGGTTCTGGCCACCTGAAAAATCTGCTTGGTTTGTAAATGTATCATGCACAGTTTTTGTATGGATCAGTTACATTTAATCCCAGGTGTTTGAGTTTTCAACATCAACTAAGCAAAGGAATTTTGAGACATGTAAACACTTTAAGAGCCGCTAAAGTTTGACTGTTTGATCGCTGTCTAACACAGTTAATTTGCCAACCAACTGGCCTCTGGCTCGCCTTCTTGTTCTCCTTTTTCGCTCCATCCGTCTCCTGCTTGTGTCTATTTATGAACACACCTAAGGGACAGATATAGCCAGAATGACAGTCGGAGATGAAATGAGTTTGGATTCCACCACTTCTCCACTTCTCAGATTTTTAATCGGGCCGTTTTTTGCAATCTTGGTTCATTCCCTCAGTGTAACTGTCACCTGCTCCCCTCCCAGTCAGTTAGGAAGTTCAGCCAGCGCCAGGCCTGAGCGCACACTAATACACACACACACACATAGAGAAAACACCAGCAAACACACACGTACTTAGACTAATACACACAGCAAAATTTTACCTCAACGGACAAAATGTGACCAAAGATGCCTCACAAACACACACACATATGTATGTACACACATACACAACCCATTACAAACCTGCCACAGTCACAGCTGCCAGTACACTGATGAAGGCCCACCTGTCGTGTTACCCCATCTCACCGCAACCCCCGCCACACACACACACACACACTTTACACACAGACACCATTTGAGCAAGGTGGTCTGTGAGCATCACTCCAGCGGCCATATGCAAACCTCCCTGAACAATTAATGGAGGGATGTGTGCCCCTTGGTCTCATGGGTAATTTGTATGACTTGACTGGTGCACCACAGCAGGCTGGTGTCATTTTGGTGCCACATGTGTAGCTGTATGACAAGTTGACAACTGAGAGCCAGGGAAAGAAAGAGCAAGAAAGAGAAAGCGATAGAGAGACGAAGAAAGAAGTGTGAGGTGAGAGATGGAAAAGCAAGATGGAGGAGGAAGAGAGGGTCAAGCCACCCAAAAAACTGAGTTTTGTACTTTTTTGAGAGTTAGAGGAAGCTTCTTGCCAAAAACAGATATGAGAATGGAGTAAATGAAGATGGAGCCTCAAGGGGGAAGGCCAGCGAGGCTGCAGAGGGGGTTGTTGGGATAGGCAGGGAGGAGAAATGCTGGTGGTGGTGGTGGCAGTAGTTGGCCTGTCTTTAACTAGACTAGTGTATTGATTAAACCCTTGATTTGGCCCCAATTGCCGAACTCCACGCCAGCAGCGTGCCAACTGAGCCCAGAGGGTAGCGTGGAAGAGGTATGACAGTGTGTGTTTGCGTGTGTGTGTGTGTGTGTGTGTGGTGAGGGAGGCTGCTAGATGAGGCGCCAGCTGCCGAGTGCCTCCACCCGCCCTCCGCCGAGGCAGCCCACCCCCCCTACCCCCACCCAACCCCATCTCCACATACACCCCTCTGCTCACCCTCCCCTCCGCTATCTATCATCTCAATATGGTGCGGGCAGCCAGTTTGTGTTGTGCTAATTTCCTCCAATAAATCAGTAATTATTGCTGTGCCGTCCCTGCTGTCTCTCCCCTCTCTTTCTCTCTCTCTCTCTCTCCCCCGCCCTCTCTCCCTCACCCTCTTTTTGCCTCCCCTCTTCTCCCGCAGCTGTTTTTCCATTTGTCCAGAGAGCGGGTGTTCTCAGAGGAGCGCACGCGCTTCTACGGCGCAGAGATCGTCTCGGCCCTCGACTACCTGCACTCAGCCAAGATTGTGTACCGGGACCTCAAGGTAAACAGAAACAGAGAAAGGAGGTGGTTGGGGGGCATGGATCAGAGTGATGAGATGTTTGAGGGAAAACTTTTTTTTTTTTCCTGTTCCCTTCATGCAGGAGGAGAGATGTAGCTCAGGATGTGCTGTAATTAAAGTGAGGGACAGGGGCGAGCGCACATAGACATAAGCAGTAAAAAAGTGAGAGAGATGGAGGGAGGGGGGAGGGAGAGGGTGCGAGTGCCACAGAGGTAGAGAGGTAGATGGCTCTGTCTGAGCGTCTGCCTGGCAGCCTTGGCCCTGGCCCCGCTCACAGCAGCCAAGAAACAGAAAGGAGGAAAACGCAGACTGAGAGCGAGAAAAACACTTCAGCCATTAAAATTAAAAGGTTGAGTGGCTTCACTATATGCCTGAAGTTTATTTCCCTCCTCTGCTCAGAGTTTGTGTGTCTGAGTGTGTGCACCGCAACTACGTCGGGTGATACACTTTGTTATTTTCTCACCTTGTTTGCCCCTCGCTGTTTTCTTCCAGGCTCTTACCTACTGCCATGTCAAGGTGGGGTACTTACACCTTAGATACATCTTGTCTGAAAGCAAATCACACAGAGGCGGGGCAAAGTCATTCCAACTCTGATCCTCTCTCAGGGGTAGTAACAGAGCTGTAATAGGGAGGTATAAGGACGTGTGTGTGTGTGTGTCTGTGTTTGTGTTTGTGGTGCTCCTGCAGTGTAGCCATGCCTCTTGTGCCGCTGCGATGCCATAATGCAATGTGTAATCACACACTAGAACAGCAATATCAAGCCATTGTTGGGTAAAAAGTCAAAAGAAGCAGCGATGGGGATTCTGTGTTAGAGGCTTTTGACTTGACCGACAAAATAAAGCATCTTATCAGTCAATAAAGCAACAATGTCATTTCTGACTCCTATGAATTATGAAAATGAATTATTATACAAAACTCTTGTCCAAAGTTTCATGAATTCCAGCCAGTTTCATACTTAATTTAACATGATACAAGTTATCGACAAGATTACAGGTTTGTCTTTCACTGATTTCTTTTTTTTCTGAGATTTTAAGATTGTTTGTGTTTCTGTCATTGTTTGTTTCCCTCTTAGTTGGAAAACCTGATGCTGGATAAAGACGGCCATATCAAGATCACTGACTTTGGCCTGTGCAAAGAGGGCATCACAGACGCTGCTACCATGAAGACCTTCTGTGGCACGCCAGAGTACCTGGCACCCGAAGTAAGTTTTGTGTTTTCTTCTAATCTGTTTTCTGTATCCTCAGATTGTCTTTTGATTTCATTGTTGGCTTTTTCTCTTTTGCTTGCACACCTTGAACCTCTGCACCCTCTTTTTTCCTGTTCTCCTTCAGTATTTCTTTGACAAACTAAAACGAACTCTCCTTAAGTGTATTTCACTCTTTCCTCAGCACATCTCTCTCCCTTCATGCTTTAATCCCCAACACTATTTACTTATTTTTAATAATGCACCTTGATTGAGCAGTATACTCATGCTGTATCTTGCAACTTCCCAGGCCATGTTCATTGTACTTCATATTTTCAATGTTTTGGAAAACTTAAGTCTGATGTCATACCCAATAGTTCTTCTGTTTCGTCTGATACAACTCAACAACTTTGATTTTTCTTGAAAATCCTAGAAAAAGTAATGAGATCTTAGTGGAAAACACTTTTAGAAAAAACTCAGGGAAGTTAAATACTGTTTTTTTTTATTATTTAGGATCTAATATGAGCATAAAATCACATTACTGCCATGTGTCATGTGCAGGTATGATTCAACGAAAACACAATGACATCCTACTCTTTGTACAGAGAAAATGATATGATTTTGACTTCACTGTTTTTGAAACACATATAGGACTAAGAATGTATAAACTCAAGAAGTTTGCATTTATTCTTACATCTACATCCTTTGAGAAATGACAGAAATTGAAGGACAGTGTGTGGGACTTGTAAATAAACTGGGGCTTAAAAGTCCATAAAAGCATTCGAGGCATCCATACACATATCCACTCTGCAACCTCAAGACATGATGTGAACCCCTTACCCACAATGCCTTGCTTTATGTAAGGGTGTTCAAAACCTTCTTATTATGTATTTTATGTATGTACATTTTAATTTGCAGATTTCACAGGCGAACAATTACCATAAAATCACAATAAACTGTAAATATGCAGCTCATGCGTGTGAATGAGGGTGTTTGTTGAATTAAAGAAGGTCACAGCACGACGCTAGCGCACGCAGCAACACAGCTACATTCTTTTGAGGATTTTTTTTGCAGTCATCCGCTGTCCAGCCATCAGCGCTGCTTCACTGGAAGGCCAGCAGATCAACTGGCGAGAGCTTTGCAGCTCTGTGGGTGGTGGAGACAGCAATGGAGATGTGGAGATGAAGGCACGAGAGGAGAAGCATAGTGTATATCCCACTTGAAAAAGTATGGAGGACAATTTGGCGCAGCATTTTGTGCTTTTTTTTAGAGTCCCTTCCTTTGCGTGCCAAAAGCTGATTGGAGGCTGTTGGTTATTTTTCACAGGATGTGCGTCTGTGTGCATTTATGTGTGTGTGTGCGCGTGTGTACGCCGTGTGTGTGATTGCAGTAGAAAGTGCGGGCTAAAGCGAGGCAGATGGCGGCAGATGGGCGAGGTTGGAGGAAGGTGCTCGGAAAAAACCTGGAAATCTACACCACCGCCGCCGCCACTCACCCGCCTGCACGCTCTGCTCGCCCGCCCGCGTGTAAAAATAACACAGTTTGCTTGGAGCCAAGTTACAGAGATGCAAAGTAGCCGGGATTAAAAAGAGAAAGGGGGAGGTGGGGGTGAAGACAGAGGGAGATGAGAAGGAAGAGAAAATATTTCAGGGTTACGGGAGTGAAATTCAGACAGTTCCCGTGTTTGCTGTTAGTGAAAAGGGCAGATGAGAAGTGAATAAAAAGGTTTGTCTGCCGCGTGCCTGAAGGAACTCACGAATAGATACTCCAGCGACACTAAGCTTTAAAGTAAATAATTCTTTGGCTGATTTTTTTTTTTTAAGGCATTATATTGAAGTACGATTGTCAGTTTGAAGGATGGTCAAAAATAAAAAAAAGAAAAGATTAGTGTGAGATTAATGAACAATAAGCAGTTTAAGGTCCTTGTAAAGAGATGGAACAGGATCAGAGAAAACACATGGAGAGTGTTTTTCTCTGTTTTCTCATATTTTTTGTGTTTGACACATTTCCTTGTGGCTATTTTCTTAAGTGTTAAAGGGGATGGATTTGGGATTTTTCCATCTATTTGTCTGTTTGTTTTCATTTTGTTTGTTGTGCATATTTGGCATTGTGTTTTCTTTTTACTGTAACTGTAAATGTTTCATAAACATAGCAGCACAGTCAGCCATTAGTTAAACATTGAAAAACTGTCAAAACAGTGTCAACATAAATCGAGTTCCACATGATGACACTCGTGAGATAGAAGGTCTCTGTGCGACACCGACAATATGTGAGTGTGTGTTCGCTGTGCCGAGTATATGAGGTCTCTCTGTGTGTGTTTGTGTTCCCTGTAGCCTGCTGGGAATCTGGGCTGGTACAGCCACAGGCTGTGTGTGCCCATCCCATCCCATCTAGTCCTGTCCAGGCTGCCAAAGCCCCCGTCCCGCGAGCTGCATCTATCTGCCACATGGCTGCCCCAGCAGGGACCAGGACAGGACAAGACCTTCTCCCTCACGGCTGCTTTTAATCAGAGCTCCTCTCCTCTCCTCTCTCCTCGTCACATTTCTCTCATTCATAAGTTCTTCAGCTTCATCCCATTTACTTCTTCTGTCTTTTTGTAGCATTTTCACACTTAACCACACATACTGTATTGTACACAAATATACACAAACCCACACACTCCCATGCCTCCATGCCTAGGGCTGTGGGGCAGCATTCTGGCTCTATGTGGATTAATCTGCTCCCTGCCTGCAACCGAGCTGCCACCACTTTCTTTGGTCCCAGGATACACACACACACAAACACACACACTTGCACTTACATGAGCATACATATACATGCCCAACTGGAAGGTTTTAGTTTGTGTACATTTCTGTACCTTTTATACAAAGACTCGACACTCAGCCCTGTAGATCAGCACAGAACGCCAGCTTCCTTGAATTTCAAAACTGCTGTGTGTGTGTATGTGTGTGTGTACATGTGTGTGTCCCTCCTCAAGGTGCAGGGACTGAAACAACACAAAACATCTCCTAGTTTGCATCCCTCTCAAAAACTTTATGAATTTGATGAGGACGGATAAATATTCCATCTGCTGTGCGTGTGTGTGCCTGACAGTCTCCCAGCAGTCTAAGCCAGTGTTATCCCTCCAGCCGTACCAATCAATAGTATATCTGGAGCTGGCGGCGCGCTGCGTTCCCCCAGCTCCTCTCTGCATCTGCCAACGGGGGTGACCGGCTTAATGCTCAAACTCACACATACATACACACAGATTCACACATAAAATAGCACTCATAACTCTCTTATTCACTTCCACGCACATGTTGACTTGCACACTCTGAAGCAGCCGCCTGCATCATTAGCAGTTTAGTGCCGAGTGTGTGAGCTCAGTCAGTTAATGACCAGCTTTGTGTGGTTATTTGGCTGCTGTGGAAACTAACAGGCAGCTGTTTGTTGTTCTCTCTCTCACCTGGTTCCAATGCAAAAAAAGCACACCAAACATCATTTACAGACAGAGATGTGGAGAAATCCTTATCACAACCTTCACGTGACGGAAAAAATATCGTCCCAAATTTGGAGCCTTTAGTTATGACTCTTGAGTCTTTTTTTTAAATTATTATTTATTAAGAGTTTTGAAAAGCAGGATTCTTGATCTTTAGTGCTGATGATATAATTTGAAATAGTTAAAAGTTCTGTACATGCATGTGCATTTAGATATAAGATCCTGAATTCACCTCTGTTAAATCAGCACTTAGTCCTTTTTTATGCGTCTATGATAACTGTAATTCTGTTAAAATCATAAAGGTACTACAGTCTGAGGTAAAATTTCAGTATGCGCCACATTCTCAGTAGTTATTTTAAGAGTTTGTGAGTCTGCAGTTTGGATTATTAAGCCTCTATTCTGATCAATAAAAGCTGTTTATGCTTCTAAGCCACTCAGTCTGTCTGCATCTGCCAACATCTCACTGCTGCCAGTAGCTCATCGAAGCTCTCGTATAGTGTTGTTTTTGATCTTTTAGTATAAAACTGTTTGCTGTAAAGTTTAATCGTATCATCTGTTTTTGTATGATTTACAATAATAATGTGGAAAAAAACACGCTTTTGTGCGAACGTGTTTGCGTTTATTTATTCGTGTGTGTGTGCTCACGTCCACTCTACCTGCTCCGTTATTAACCGTGAGTGAGATGTTATTATTATGGGCGAGGTGTACAACATATGCTGTTCTGGCTGTTTTCCAGCTCTGCCTGTCTGTCTGTCTGTCAGTCAGTCGCACGCAAACACATGAGCAACTACATACACACATGAACACACATCATGTTAATAAGACTATTATGGTAATGAGCACCGCAAAAACCCTAAAAATACCTCTGTTCCTAAATCAGCCTCTCTTTTTCCTCTCCCTCTTTCTTCCAGAGGTGAGCGAACGGGCGCAGGAGGAGATTAAAGCGAAGGAACAAGTGAGGGAAGAAGTGATTAGAGGACATAGAAGGCAGGATAAGACAGGATAGAGAGAGGAGACATAAGGAGAGCAGGCAGGAAATACAGGCAGGAAGGCAGCCCAGACACAAGACTTTGATTTGCGAGCGACTCCTTTCACAGAACCTCTTTCCCCTTCACACAAACAGACACACACTCACTCACACACACAGCAGCTCAGAGCACTGCACCTGTGCTAGCCAACTTAGAGGTTGGACCGGCCCTGACCCGTGTTGCGGGCTGTTCCTGCCTTTTCCATCCAGGGACGGTCCTCTCTGTTTCTGCCAGGAGAGGATCAGTGTGCCACAGAGAGCTGGCAAGGACCAGAGGGGGCATCTGGTGGGCCACGCCAGCTCGCTGACTCTCTTACTGTAACAGAGGCCTCTGAAGACCTGCCATCCCAGGATGTTTGCCTCTGTATGTGTGTGTTTGTGTGTAGAGAGAGAAAAGGGGGGCTACTGTCTGCTCCTCAGCCCTTGTTGTCTGTGCAGACACTTCTGCTCATCTCAAAAAACTTGTTTGTTTGTTTTTTTCATTTTTCCTGGAGCAAAACCACATATTTATTCTCTTTTTGTTGTTTTATCTCACTCATCTGTCCCGCTGTTGAATACCGAGGACTTTGTCCAATGAAATAAACGAGAATTAAAGCAGATGTCCTATTAAATAAATGGCCCTTGTTAAAAGAAATACTAAAGTTGTGTGTCTCTCTGCAGGTCCTGGAGGACAATGACTACGGCCGGGCGGTAGACTGGTGGGGTTTGGGTGTGGTGACGTATGAGATGATGTGTGGCCGTCTACCGTTCTACAATCAGGACCACGAGAAGCTCTTTGAACTCATCCTCATGGAGGACATCAAGTTCCCACGCACTCTGTCGGCAGATGCCAAGTCCCTGCTGTCCGGCCTGCTCATCAAAGACCCCAACAAAAGGTGTGTGTGTGTGTGTGTGTGTGTGTGTGTGAGAGAGAGAGAGAGGTTGGTGAAGGGAACTGTGTAGATTTGTAAACAAAGGGACATTATTGACAAAAAAAGCAAGGAAACAAAATAAGCCTGTCTGGTAACACTTGACTTGACACCTATCTATGTGACGCATTTTAAATGTATGTATAATGTGTTATAATCATGTTATAACACTGTATAACTATAGTTATAAACACTCATAAATGATTGTAATGCTTTATAGCAATAATCATAACACATTATAAAGCATTTTATCATGACTAGGTCAGGTATTATAATGTGTTTTAACTGTTAACAACTCACTGACAATGCCCACATAGATATTGCATTATACATTTATTTATGATGTGTTATAATTTGCTTATAAACTTGTATTACTATCATTATAAACAATCATTACTTCTCATAAGGCTTTATACCAGACTTTGTTAGTCATGATAAATGCTTTATAATGTGTTTTTATTATTGCTATAAAACATTATGATCGTTTGAGTGTTTGTAACTACAGTAATACAGTGCTATAACGTGATTATAATGCATTATACATATATTTATAATGCGTTATAGAGATAGGCGTCAAATTAAGTGTTACTGAATTTTTCCTACTTTACATCTAAAATCATCATGACTTTGTTTCAACATTTTAGACAGAAGGCCACATTTTTTAGTTGGCTAAATTTTGCATAAAAGGTGAAAAATAATTAGCCACCTTAAATAAGGAATGAATAAATACTGCTAACTGCTGATATATTTATTTATAGCATGTGCATCTAATACAACCTTCAACATGGTTTTGAAAGTCTAATAAGAGTCCAAAATTCCTTCTTCCTCTTAATTACCTGGATTGCAGGAAATCCTCCTCATTTATCCACCGACTTACCTCATCTCTTTGGATGATTTTCTAATCATCTCCCTGAATTTTAGAAATTTGAAACAGAGTTTTTTCATGTTTATTAAAGAAGTAAAAAAAAAAAAGTCTTCATCACCTTGGATAACTTGCTCTAATTTGATAACTGTCTTTCATTTGTTTGTGTAAATAACTGATCTGAGTTTCTGTTCCTAACATTCCCCTCCTCTCCTCTAGGCTTGGTGGAGGACCAGATGACGCTAAAGAAATAATGAGGCACAGTTTCTTCTCCGGTGTGGACTGGCAGGATGTCTATGACAAAAAGGTAACATGGTTGTGAAACTGAAGCACATCTTTGATTTCTCACACGTTTCTTGATATGTTAAGTGTAGCAGGATGAAGGTGAGTGACTTAGTTTAAAGACTATACAAAGGTTGTGAGTTAGCTCGAGGAACAGATGAAGAGACACAGTTGTGATTGTTAGAACAGTGAAGCAGTGTTGAGCACAGGGCAATATGAGAGGTGAGAGTTTATATCCTGGAGGTTTATCTTTCTGCTGTTTGCTGGTCTAACACCAGAAAGTGTAAGTTTGATCCTGTGTGGAAACACTTACAGCATGTCAGGCTGGTGCTGAGCTTCTTCCAATCATTTGTCTCCTTTCTGGATCATTCTTCTTCTCATTCTCCTCTCTCTGTCTACTATTCCCACCCCCATTTCTTTTTCTCTTTTGGTCCTTTCTTCCTTTTTTACCCATCCTTTTTGTCTCTCCCTCTTCCACTATGTATGTCTGTTCCTTTAGTTTTATTTCTTCTTCCTCACTTACCTTTACTTTCCTTATCTTTTCCTCCCATTTTCTCTTCCTCTCACCACTTCTTTAGCTTTTTTTCCTTCCCCTCTCATCCCCCTTTTCCTTGTAGTAAAACAACACAAAGGTTAGACTGAGTCCTCTATGAGTCTGACAGAGAAACAGGATTGTTCCTCCTGATGTTGTTTAAAGACCCACTCTGATGAAAATCATGTTTTTCTTGGTTTTTTTATATGTTCATATGGCATTTTTCTGATGCTACAGGACATATGAGAAAACTAAATGCGAAATTGCTTTAGTATTTCTTTATTCAAATCGCTGTGAGAAACAGCAGGGTCAGAAACAGTGAGATTTCATATGTAACCAATCCAAGCTCCGCCCCCAGTGCCGTGCTATACAAGCCACACTCTGCATATAGAGAAGAAATAGAGATGACGATGGCAGAACAAGCGTGTGCGTTAGCGGATTGCAATGCTCGTACGAAAGCTAATTACAATATTAGCTTTCACTGTGTCCCTAAAGACTGTAGTGTCCAAGAGCTGAATATCTTCTATGTTACCTGCCACTCCTACCAAATCGTCAATGTTAGGCTACAAGCTAACGTGAAGATGAGTGTGCAGAGCAGTGCTTTCTCCGCCCACGACTCAGAGGCAAATTACTAATGAGCTACTGGAGCTCTGCATGAGAAAAGCCTTGAAAATGACACAGATAACAAATTTTTTGGGAAAAAAAACTTAATCACAATTTAAAGACCACTGAGAACACTTTAAGTAGTAAAAAAAAAGTGATCGGAGTGGAACTTTAAGACACATAAACAATTCAGGTCAGGAACAATAATTTCTTCATTGCAAGAAAATTCTGCACTCCAGTCTTTAATGCCTTTCCTCCAACAGCACCAGCCATTGTTATCCCACAGTTGAACTTCATTTGTCTCACCTTGTGTCTTGGCCTCAGATGGTCCCTCCCTTCAAGCCTCAGGTGACGTCTGAGACGGACACCAGATACTTTGATGAGGAGTTCACAGCTCAGACCATCACCATCACTCCACCAGAGAAATGTGAGTCTCTCCTTTTCTCTCTTTTTCTCTCAAAGGTTTATGCACAGACATATGTCCTCGTGAAGCTCAAAAAAAGCTCACTTTGATTCCTTACATGACTGGAATTACTACAAATAAAAGGATGAATACAGAAATAAATACAGTAGGATGGTAAATGTAGCCCTTTAAACCGCAGACATGCCAGAAAAAATAACATACAAGCTGTGTCGTGTGACTTGGATGGATTTCTGCAGAGGATCATGATGTAAATTTAGTTTTTTTTTGGATTACAAATAGCAACAGAAAATCGAATCTCTTTTAAGGTAATAAATGTGAGTTTAAACGAATTATCAGTGATTCGTCTTTTTCTTTAGGTGAGACATTTCAACTTAAATTAATGGGGGAATCAACACTGAAAAGTGTCGCTGTTTTTTTTTTTTTGTTTTGTTTTTCAAAGTGTGTGGAATAGTCCTCGGGCCACGTGCAGCACTTCACAGGCTTTTGAAATAAAGACGTCGCTTTTCAAAATGTTTCGGCACTGAATTATGCATGAGTGGAACCGATGTGTCTCTCCGCGCTTACGTGAGGTTCCACTTGTTTTGTAGGTCGCACAACAGTTAGTTAGGAGGAGATTGGCACATCAAAGGGGCACTTGTTAAATGAATCATGTTCTGTCGAAGTCTACAGCACAATAATGTTACACAAAGACAATACTTTGAGATGTTTGATTATGTTTTGACATGATAAAATCAACCACACATTTCCTGAGCTGATAGTGTGTGTTTAAATGATCTTGACGGGGATCCTAAAAAGTAAATTAATCAAGTCATTTATTTCCAAATCTGAAGTTGACGAGGACGGGATGGACTGTCTGGACAACGAGAGAAGGCCGCACTTTCCTCAGTTCTCCTACTCTGCCAGTGGTCGTGAATGAACTGTCCATCACATTGACATCATCACAGCTGGTCTCTGAGGTCATCAGTGTGGGACAAAAAGACCCACAGCTATGGACTGATCTGGAATGACCTTGACTTGAAGGATTTCGCCCTTCCTTCTCCTCTTTCTCCTCTCTTTTTCACCGCTCCAGTTTGCTCCCCCTCTTTATTTTTTGATTCCTTCTTTCAGAGAGAGTAAATTTCTTTCTCTCGAGTCCTGCACTGCAACCCCAACGTGATCTGGACTGTGATGTGATCAGTTACTGTGTAATGTCCCTTTAAAGACAGGAGCATTACCCATGGCCTGCTGTGCTTTGACATGTGTCAGTCCTACAGAAATCATGACAAAAAAAACTCAAATATCTGATCATGGAAGACGATGGCTTACAGCAGAAACAGCATTTTTTGTCATTTAGACCCAAACTGCCGTTACTGGTTGTATCTCAGGCTTTGACACACCGACAGATACTCACATAAACAATTCTGGGATTGATTGAGGCTGCCTTGCATTGAAGAAGCAGTTGTCATCAGTGAGCAGAACCTTACACACCTCATATCGTCAAGCAGGATTTGACTCAGGTTTTGCTCGGTGCAAATCATTGTTGTTGCTGCTATTTCAACTTCTACAACTACTACAGGTTCCACTACTGCTACTACTGTACTACTGCTACTACTTCAATCTGGTGCTACACTACTAGCTTAATGCTGCGGATCATCATACAGGCGCCAGCAACACATCAAACACCTGTATTTAACGTCTATGCTTGTACAGCTGCAGAACAGGTGCCACTACTGCTCCTAATGCACAGCTAATACATATAAGCTACAGGATAGGGTGTCGCGTGTGTGTGTGTTTGAGTGTGCGTGCGTGCATGTGGGTCTGTGTTTAAGATTACACCTCAAAGCACAGCAGCTCAGGGCGTTCAGCTCCTCAACTATGAGCTTTACTCTTTTACCAACAATGCAGTGCAAGGTGGTTAATACATCAATCACTGCAGAGGTGAAAATGAGAGGAACACCGTTTGTTTGAATGTTACGCCCCGGAATTTTTGAATTTATTTCTCAAGTCCTGCGAAGTTTAAATGTCTTATGTCCCAAAAGGGAAAATGAAATGGTACTGTTTCAGTGACAGAAAGCTTTACTATGACCTTTTGTCATTATGGCTTTAGGAACCACATGGATGTACCTCTCTGCATTTGTGTGCAGGAGAAAAAGGGAAACTGCAGCAGGAACAGATTCACCGCCGAGTGAAAGCAGAATTCCATAACGACACGTTGAGCATTGTAATGACAGGAAAGAGAGAGAGAGAGAGAGAGAGAGAGAGAGCAGGTGATAAAAACCCCAAGATTGAAATATTTATAATGTGATCATTTACAATGTATTGATGAGTGAGGTAATGTCTGATTCTCTGTGAGTTTCTATGAAGGTATTAAAAAAAAAAAAAGACATTATGGTCTGTGAGGAGGTACGCATCAACAGTTATGGGTTTACACCAATCACAGCAAAGCTTAATATATATATACATATATACAGTATATATATATATAAACATATATATACATACATACATATATATATGCAGTATATATATATATATATATATATATATATATATATATATATATGCATAGATATATATACAGTATATATGTTTTATTTATTGTTCTACTCATTTGTTTTATATTTAACTTTTTTCTATTATTACATTATTCTAGAAAACAAAAAAAAGCTATTTCTTAGGGCCGAGATGATGAAAAAAAGGCACCTCAAGAAACAAAAATGGCTGATGAATGTAGGAGGGAAAGCAGATCGCCTTCCTGCTCCGTTATTTCAATGTTATTTGTGTTGTTTGTAACCAAAATGTGACAGCCAAGAGGTGACAGCACGCGTTAAAGAAAGGCACTCTGTATTTTACTTTTACTTAATTCTAATCCAAATATACCCACAGGTGAATGGATTATTGATCTACCTTGTCCTTCATATTTATCATACCTGAGGTCTGTGTGAGACTGGAGAAGAGTTCAGGAAGAAAGACAGAGAGAAAGATGAGCAAAAAGGAAAAAGTGGACCGGAGAGTGGATGATGGAAAGATGAAACACTGAGTTGTGTTTGTAAATGTTTACTGTAAGTGAAGGAGGAGTCGAGGTAAGAGTCGTGTTTGTGAGATAGCTCCTGTCACTGTTTGGTTTAAAGTTTAAGATGACAAAAAGCATCGACACTGATCAATTTAAAGCTCTGGGATTCGGTCCAACCTTTGGACCATCCCCACACACTCTTCCTGTCTTTGACGTGTGCTGTCATGTCTTCGGTCTGGACTTTGTTTGCGTTGTCATGTCTTCCAGTCTGACCAACAAGATTTTAAAATCCCCACTATTTCTCTGTCTTCAACCGCCATTGAGCCTTATGGTTTAGCGCAGAATTATTCAAAAACTTTAACGTTCAGCACTTGAATCCAAAAGAAAAACCACCAGATTTGAGGGAAATATATATTTTTAAAAATGTGAAATCTAAATTAAAATAAAGAGACACCAGGGGATGTGTTCTCATTAGTCATAGAAAGTTGTATTCCAACATATTTATTTGAATGTTTTTATTATTATTATTCTCATTGATGAATAACTTGAATTTATTTTCTATCTTATTTATTTGATGTCACTGTTTTAAGATTTAACCGTACGGGGGGATAGTTGTTTCACTGCAGTTTAAGTCTCAGACTTTGTTCCTAAAATAAATGCCTCTATTTTTTTTTCCTTACAGATATCTCTGATATGATACATTACCTGTTTTTCTTGCTGCTTTAAAGTCCATATGCTTTACTCTTGCACATCCATTAAATTGCTGTTCGCTTGCAAAGGCGCTTTATGGCAGAAAGTATAAAAGGTTGGCGCTGGCCTGCATGCTGTAGTCCTCCTCTGTCCGCACTACCAGTGCTGTGTCAAAGTGGCACTCAGAACTCTAATGAAAAGTACTTCTCTGTGATCGATTGAGCCTGTCTGGCACAGCCGAAGCAGCAGAATCCCACCCAGCTGGCACCCTCGACAGGCTCAAGCAAACGCTCCCAAGTATTTGGAAGGATTTCAGCTTTGATTTGACCCAGGTCTGTGAGTGACTGAGGAGTTCTAGCTGTATGTGCACGCTTACCGCCAAAATCATTAGAAACCAGAGCTCATAAAATACTGCTTTGTAGCTTTGGCCACAGCACTTTCACATCCATCACTTTTTATATGATTCATAGGAATCTGATTCAGCCCTGCTTTCAAGTGAGATTTTTAGATTTTTTTAAACTGTTTTTAAGAATATGAGGATTTTTTAAGTACATCTCCCCCTCTCATACTACAGTTCATTTGGATGTTGCTCTGATGGTTACAGTTGGCAAGACCTGTGTGATTGTGTCCACGCACCAGAGATGAGTCCGCGCTGCCACTGCACAGCTCAGTAAATTGGTCAGTCTTCATAAAGAAAAATGTTAAGATGTACCCGACTCCTTCTCAGCTTCGGTTTAGAAAAGTTTTCCCTCGGGTGAGCCTCCAGCTCCACTTATCAAACACTTCTCAACGTTCAAGTTTATTTACTTGGAGCTGCAACGTTGGAGGCTGAGTCTGAGGCCAGAGATCAGGAAAGAAAAACAAGTTTGCCTCCAAGTAGAGTTAATGGAGAAGGTGAAGCTTAGCGATTCTCTTCATCGTATGTATTTGCCCCCAGAGACTATGAATCAATAGTTGGCACGTCGGTAATTTACCTTTGTCTCAAGCAGAAGTATTTGAACTGGATGGTTGAGCTCCTTTTAAGCCTCGTCACAGTTTTACCGGTGTGAACAGAGAGTCCATGTGACGCTGCACTGACAGTGTTCACCCTTAAATCTGCTGCTGTTTGTATTGTACATCTATCACACAACAGATCTGACTCCAGTATCATTTGAATAATATGTAAAATCCTTTCAAAGACCTCAGCTGCTCCGTATTGATCTGTGTCAGCCAAAAACCATGTGTTGTGATCATCACAGGGCTCAATGCAGAGAAGTACAAGGCTCCTGTGTTTGGAAGCATTTCTGAAAGTATTTGACCTCATGACTGCGACATAAATCCTTCCCTCTCTTCTCTCCAGACTACTATCATCATTAACATCAACCAGCATGAGACGCATTTATTTACAACAGCAAACAAAAACAGCAAACATGTACAGATATAACTAAACGTATCTGAGTTTAATTTCACGTCCATGTTCATCTACTGTAGCTTCACAGTTGAGTTCGAGTTTCCTGGACAGCTGCCAGCTGTTCACAGAGTGGACCGTGTTTCCCCTGAATCACTGTTATACCAAGGTTAAGCTCTGCAGAGACCATGTTGACTTTGAGACAGTGTGGGGCAACTGGGGAGATCGATCAAACAGCCTTTTTCTGTCCCTCATGCTGAAAGGATGCAGTGTTGGTGGCCGGTGAGGCCATGAGGATGTGACAACAAATTACCATCAACATGAAGCTGTTTTTTACACTGTACATCCTTAGTATTTTTACACATGAAATGTATATGATAGGGATGCACATTATTTTCCTTCTTACAGACAGCTTCAATAAAGCACTATGTCAATCTGCTGAGACGGTGTCCTCTTGTTGTGCTTTATGACTGCAGAGAATATCTTTTAGCTTCCAGATCACTAAGTTTGGTTTACAGTTTTCTTTGCAATCGGCCTAACACAGACTCCAATATGTCCATGTAGATTCTCATTCATCCAGGTCATGGTTTTCTTGAAGACTTCAAAATCAGGCAACTGGACTGTGTAGAGTTGAGAAGACGTTTCACCTCTTATCCAAGAAGCTTCTTCAGTTCTAAATATTGCTAGTGTGAGGAGCAGATATTTATCTTACTACTTGTCTGTCCCCTTCTCCAGTAAGATGACAATGACAATAAGAAAAAAACAAGAATCTTTGAATCTATAATATGAACTGCTTCTCACTTCAACTTTGGGCTGTTGGTTACATTTAGAACGCGAGGTTATCTGTTCTGACATACTGTGGGGAAGCGTTTGTAAATTTGTGGGTTACAGTCACTTGTTTTGGCCTCGGTAGAGCTTGTTTGTTAAAGAAGTTAAAACATTTAGTAAATGTGTCCAATGTAGGCAGTTTGTGTCAAACAAACAGGAAATGTTTTAACTGTATAGGCCACATAGGCTTATGTTGTGCAAACTGTGTGAAGAGTTTTGCAAATGTGTCAGAGGTATTGGAATTTGTGTTAGGACAAAAGTAAAAAACTGTAAATATTAGCTACAAAATGAAACACCTTTGAGAGTCGTGGTTTTGTTTTTCACTTTTAAACAAGAAATCAAAATAAGGAGCTTTTATTAAATTCATGTTTGGAAAAAAAGACAATCAAAACATAAATACCCAGCCACTACAGCCAGTCCAGATAGTAGTGACACACTTTACTGCTACATGTAAAAGAAAGACCCTGATCTTCACATTGTGTACTCAGTGTTTGCAGCAACACAAAAGAGATGAACACACTCCTCATCCTGCACGCTAACGCAGTTGTTCGATATCTGCTCATCTGCGGGAGATTCTCCGGAAATCCAGACTTAGAGGAGGAGAAAGGCAGGACAGACTCAGGTGGACACACTCTCAACCTGTCTCACGTTTGGCAGCTACAAAGACAACACACAAGACACACACACACACACACATTTTAATAAAAGCAGTATCTAAGCGCTCCACACACACATAATCTCCGTGATAATGAATCAGAGCAGAATTCAGACAACATGTTTTCCAGTAAATCCAGAACCAGGCAGATTCATTAGTCATAAAGGGACAAATGTCTCTTAACTGATTTTTATTTTAGTAATCTGTCAACTATAATGTGCACCACCATCGCTAATTCATTTAGTAACAGTGAGTCACACACTGTGCTGTGTGTACAAGAGGTGAGGTGTGTAAATGTGTGTGTGTGTGTACCTCTGTGTGTAGACTCTGCATCTCCTCGCTGAGTGTGTTTCTCTCCTGCATCAGCTGGTTCTGTTTGGCCAGCAGCTCACACACCTGCTGGGCGCTGCTCTGACAGTGACGGTCCAACTGCTGCAGTCTGCAAAACACACACACACGCGCACGCACAGAACACACACAATATTGACTGAAACTGTGTGAGAGGAGCGTACCCTCCTGGTTGATATAAAACCAAATGTTGTAAATATTGAAAGAGAGCTGGATCCACAAAAAGCTTTTAATATCACCGGACTTTGTATTGACCAAGTAATCAGCATTGTTTACAGGAGTGTGACAGCAGAGTTCGTTCTGGATTTAGAGCGCAGACAAGGAGCTGAAAGACAGAGTCCATAAACCGCAATACTGACCAGTGGATGGATCCGGAAAAAAGCACCAAAGTTAGATTCATTATCAGTACGGACAGTGCAACAACCATGAAGTGACACTATTCCATCACGAAAAGTCCCTGTGGTTAAAATTCTACTTCGCTTTAAGTCAAAATTTACTGGCCTGGATATTCCTGCATATTTGATCAGTGATCTTAATGTCTGGCGAGCATTGCAGATTTGATGCCATCATCAGTTGTTGTGGTTTCATCTGTTCAAATGTCAGAAACACCTGATTCCAATCCAGTTTCTGATCCCTCGTCATTTCCGGGTGATGTTTTACAATGAGTAAGCGCCGTTTCTCCTCATCATCAACAGATCAGATCAGATCAGTGACACATACAGCAGGCACTCAGCTAACACACACACAGATGAAATGATACACATCCTCAGACTGGTTTCATATTTTCATCATGTAATAAATTTATAAAATAAATCCTGTGAGATGAATTATCACATTATTTTTATTTCTCTGCAGACAGAAAACTGTTCATTTTTTTTGTACTGAATCGTGTCATCAGGATCACAGACTAACGAAGAAGAGCACATCAACATGTCTAGTATGTCAAATGTTTGAGCACTATGAACATAAAATGTGTTACTCATAACAGGGACGTCCCAATTAGTGTGTGTCCTATGTGGAACAACGGCTCCTGCACACACTGAACTCTTTCACAGCACAGAGTGGCGACCGTGTGTGCGTCATTGTGTGTGTGTGCGTCATATTGTGTGTGTGTGTGTGTGTGTGTGTGGAGCTGGTGTTTTCCAGCCGGAGTTTTGGGGGTGGATGTGGAATGCCTTTAGAAAGATTTCCCACCCGCAGCTCATTATTTCATCCATTCATCCATCTATCCATTCAGTCAGTCAGTCACCCCCCTCCTCTGGTACAGGGGTGAACTCATTCACTCTCTGTCTCTCTCCCACACTCACACACGCTCTGAAATGAGACTTAGGGAACTTTTAGCAGCGTTTTCACATATGAATACTTCCCCCTTTATCCCTATCCATATTTTTAATTTTCATTCTTCAAAAAACTGAGGAAACAATCCTCTTTTTTCACTACAGTTTCTGCTTTAACACATTTATGCATTTTGAATAAAGAAATAAAACAACCCCAAAACTGGAATATTTTCATAAATACTAGAATGAATTCCTGTGATATGTTACTTGGGTCTAGGGGTGGGAATCACTAGTGGCCCCACGATACGATATTATCACGATATCACGATACTTGGACCACGATACAATATTATTGCGATTTTTAACATTTTGCAATACAGTGAGTATTGTGATACAATATATTGCGATTTATACAATTTTTTCAACTGTTAATCTAACTTAGCATTTGTCCTTCCTCTATATTTGTCTTATTCACTCTGTATTTTATTTTCATGTAGCACATCTTTTAAACCTTATATATATATATATCTGTTGCACTAACTTTCTCCTGCTCTATGATGTCACCTCTGCCGACCTCACTGGACAAACAGTTGATTTTATTTTTCTCCATTATTATAGATTTGACTTTATATTAACAAATAATTTGAAAAAATCGATTCTTAGTGAATGAGACGATACAATATATCACCAGACAAAATATCACGATACTGTGCTGTATCGATTTTTTCTCCCACCCCTACTTGTGTCACCTCTGAAATTTTGGATAAAAAAACGAGAGAATTTAACGCGATAGTTTCCAATTCAAGAGATCTAGGCCCTCAGTGACTTAATATTTTTCATATGAAATACTGGAGATAAACTTCATCATCTGACCATCTGATAAAATGCTGTGAAATCAACGATCGACTCTTCTTATGTAGTCATCCTTTGAGTAAAAACAAGAGCTCTGCTGAGGAGGCCTCTGTTGGGTCTACATAATTGTGTCGAATCTGTAATAAAAAATAATTCAATGTTGATCAAAATTCAAACTGAAACAGCCTGAGGAGGAGGTGGTATGTATTTGTGGAGCTGCTCAGAGCCTCTGCAGCCAGACAGTTCGAAGAATAACTAAATCAGATTGGGAAAAATTAAAATGCCGGAAAGCCTTTTAAAAATAAAAAGCACTTCCTGTTAAGTTATAGGCATGAATTTTGCTGTGTTGTTTCAACAGGTTTAGAAAGCCATAAGTAAGGCATGGAGCTGAGTGTGATGAAAAAGGAGGAAGAGGAGGAGGAGGAGGAGGAGGAGAATGGAGAGAGTTGTGGCTCCGGGCAGAGATAGGCAGAGAGAGGTAGCTGGGGGAGAGACAGATGCCCCTGCCCTGCTGGTCATGTTGGCAGCGGCAGGGCTGCCTGTGTGTGACAGACGGGGGAGGAGAACATCCCAACTCTACGCCACAATCTGCTCCCCACCTCCTCACTCCCCCCCACTTTGTCCTCACTCTGCCCTGCGCTGCCTCACTCACCCCCACGGGTTTGATCCTGACCCTGAGTGTCCCTCGTCTTCAGGATCTTCCTCTCCCCTACATTTTCTTCCTCAGTCCTTTCTGACTGATCTACCTTTACCCTTCACCTTCCCCTGCTTCCAGTCCTGGAGGTTGAGGTTGTTCATCTTCCTATGCGAGCGCACATCACAACACAGCAGGTCATCACAGCGTCACAGTAACACAGAGAGAGAGCCCTGCTGTGTCAAGCTAGGACACGAGACGCAGACAGAGACGGTGTGCCACACCTACACACAGACACACACAGACACACACACACACACAGCGCAGAGGAGCTAAAGGTCAGAACCAGAGCCTGTTGTTCTGAAGCTGTAAATGTTTGATGAGGAAAGTGCGTCGAGAAAGTGTCGCCTTTAGCTCCACAACAACAAAACTAAACCGAGTCGCGCTGCAAATATGCCGATCCGTATTCAATTACAACCACAACACATTTAGGTGCACGACAAGCCTGAAAACTATTTACTCTACAAAAAAGAGAATGAATAGATCAGATTTTTTATGGGTGATATTAAGCTGGCAATTGGCAGCAAAGCTTTGAAATCCACTCCAAGTTTGTAAAGCGCAAAAATGCATCAAAATAATTTGCCAAGTGGAGTTTTACACTTACTCTGCCTATTTGCTCTGTGACGTTTCAGAGAGGATTCGTTTTCTTAGTGATTCAGAAACATACAGCATGAACCAACAGGAGACGACTGATAGTAACAAAAGGGAATTTACCTTCGTTATACAAAAGTCACTGTGTGGTTTTACGATGACACCACAGGGTCAGAGTCAATTTTTTTTTTTTTACAAAAAGTGCGATCAGATCTGTTAAGTTTCCTGCCCATTTTCTTTATATTTATTACAGAGTTTTTATAACCAATTAAAAATCCCCGGCAACATCACGTCCCAAAAATGGTGTATTTGTTGGTCTGTCACCAAAAATCAAATTGACAACATGATTAGATTCCAATAGAGGTAAATGTGAGAAAAATGCTTCTTGTTATTTGGCCAAACTTACCTTTTAATTGCCAACATTTCAGATAAAAATTGAGTATATGATTAAAAAATTGGGTTTATTTAAGGGGGCATCCCAGCAGTTCAATGTGACACAAAACACTGAATAATTACTCCTCCTCCTTGACTCCCTGAGATGTGTATGGATCAGATAATACATTCATTCATTGATTCTTCGGTTACCATGTGGAGAAAGTCGAATGAAAGTCAGTTGCATCATCCCGTATTTGTTTATCTTCACATCCCAAACTTTGAAACACAGGTTGTAGTTTGAATTTTTGATCCTCTTATCAAAGTTATTCTGAATCTGCCTTGAGCCACAGTCAAAACAAACTGCAGATTTAGATTTGTCATATTGATGGAGTCTGCATTCAAGACCGTTCGGTTTATTTCTGTCACATCTGAGAGGAAAATTTAGATTTAAATGAGTCTTATTTGCTACACTAGTTTTTCCATTTCCACAGTACAAGACAA